CTGTCTACGGTATCGGATGCTTTCTCGTAGTCGATGAAGTTGATGTAGAGTGGTGAGTTCCATTCAATTGATTGTTCCACAATGATCCGTAATGTAGCGATTTGGTCAGTACACGATCGATCCTTACGAAATCCAGTCTGTTGGTCTCGAAGTTGGACGTCTACGAAGTCCTTCATTCTGTTTAACAATACCCTGTTCAAGACTTTGCCTGGTATTGAAAGAAGAGTGATGCCTCTGTAGTTCTCACACTTGCTGAGATCTCCTTTCTTTGGTATTTTGATCAGGTATCCTTCTTTCCAATCTGATGGTACTTGTTCCTCATCCCAAATCTTGTTGAAGAGAATGTGAAGTATTTCTGCAGTTGCTTCTACATCTGCTTTGATTGTCTCTGCTGGAATATTGTCTGGAGCCCCTGCTTTGCTGCTCTTTATTTGTCTGATGGCCATACTGATCTCTTCAATTGTTGGTGGGCCAACATTGATTGGAAGGATACTAATTCGATGTTGGGTGAATTCAGTGGGGCTGTTCGATGTTGGAGTTCCTTGAAGTGCTCCACCCACCTCTTTCGCTGCTCCTCAATGTTGCTGAGTACTTTGAATTCCTTGCTTTTCACTGGTAGTTCTGGTTTACGACAACTTCCAGCGAGCTTCTTTGTTGTTTCGTATAATAGTCTCAAGTTTCCGTCACTTACAGCCTGTTCCGCCGTCATTGCTAGATCTTCCACGTATTTCCGTTTGTCGGCTCTGATCCTCTTCTTCACTTGCTTGTTTGCTTCTATGTATTCGATGTGCGCCTTAGCTTTCTCTTCTCCTGATCCACTTTAATTGATTGCTATCTTCCTGTTCTCTTTCTTGAATCTTATCCATAGTATCAGCAGAAATCCATCCGAGATGATGGTGCTTCTTGTGGCCCATAACCTTATGACATGTTGAAGTTATTTCTTCCCTGATCCCATTCCAGTTATGCTCCACGGTAGTTTCCTCTCCATCAAGTAGATCGTGAAGAGCTCGAAACCTATTGTTGAGGACTATCTTGAAGTCACTGAGTTTGCCAATATCCCAAAGAAAAGCTGCATTAAACCTTTATGATGTTGTTCACCCCGTTGTCCAGTGCTTCTTATAAATAACATACAGGACAAAAATTAAACTGACATATAGGATGACTTATTCGCATAAAAGAAAATATTTGAAAATTATTGAACATTTAATGAATTTAAAACTTCAGACCTTAGTTAATTTTCTGTGTTAGAATAATTCAATTTTGAATGTAATATTTTATGTGAATTAAGCACAAACTTTAAAAAATAGTTCATTATTCAGGACAGGAAAAAAACGGATTTGAAAAATCAAATTAATCCAATTAGTTAGTATCTTATGTTTAGTGTTGAATTTCCTGGAGGCTTTAAAATAATATCTGTTAGTTTATCATCATTTATCAGTGAAGCATTTGTAAAATCTTTTTAAAAAAGACTTTTTTTAATATTCTAATACATATCTCTTTGGATTTTAATCAAGAATGCCACTGAGACAATAATATCCGAATAAAATTATGCTAGTTTGATTTGGTTGTTGATATTTATCAAAGTGAAATCAACTGTCTACAAATAACAATACAAACAAATATATTTCCCCACATTCATCCACTGGATTGAGTCAAGTGGAAATATAATGAACATTCAAATAGTTTCCAACTACTTTCAATCAACTTTATCTTTTGTGTCGAATATATCATACTTTGTCATTTCTATCACTTTCACTGTAATTTTTATGTTTTTTGCACAAATGTTGAGAAACTAAGAAAAAACTCCTTTTCTAAGAAAATAACTTCTTGAACGAAGCATGCTCTTTGTGATCACTTTTATACAGGACTGTAAAAACTATCAAGAAAATTATTTATGTAACACAGTCCTACGAATTTGCTTGTGTGATTTTTTTTATTTTTCAATATCTATTTTGTGTCTCATTCTGTTTTACTGTATACTTTATTACTGTTAACTGAATAAACAATAATGTTCATTATATATTTACAATTATTACATAGCTATCAATGGTATTAGTTTTTCTGGTTAGCGTTTTTTTGGCAAGTTAGTTTTTGACGGAGGAGGAAATCAAGAAGAAGCGATGGAAGTGGATAGGACACACACTAAGAAAAGCACCTAACTGCGTCATGAGACAAGCCCTCACATGGAACCCTCAAGGCAAAAGGAAAAGAGGAAGGCCAAAGAATACATTACGCCGAGAAATAGGGAAAGATATGAGAGGGATGAACAAACATTGGACAGAACTGGAGAGGGAAGCCCAGGACAGAGTTGGTTGGAGAAAACTGGTGGGCGGCCTATGCTCCATTGGGAGTAACAGGCGTAAGTAAAGTAAGTAAGTATCAATGGTATTAAGTTAGTTAAAAGTCGTTTTATGAATAATACCACTAAGATTTTTTTTGGAAAGAATATTGTGATGATTGTTATCTTAATGACTTTCGAGTAACAAGATTTTCATGTAGAAACTGATGATTATTTTATTGGTAATGGGTTTTGTAGAGAATGATTTGAGCTGTAAGTGGTAGTAATTCTTCTATTCAACTTATACATTAAATATGGAATAATAGCAAATTTGTAACCCTAGATATGGTGGAGTTACAAAGTTACGTGGAATGCACTTGTTTTCAGATGAAATCATAAGTCATTATTGTCAGCTAATACATAATGCAAACACAAACCTATTCAGAAGCTCATGCCACTTTTTAAACAATCTTCAATAAATGTAGTCCAGCTAATCTCTCCAATGAGGCATTATAACTGTGATTTCCAGAAATTTCAATGTTGCTGATGTCAAATCTGTAACAGCAAATAACATTAAGATCACCTTAAATATTAAAACTAACAGCAACGTTATCAAATATGCATTTACTCTGTTCAGTGAATTGTTTCCTCGCGTCCCACTTCATATACTACCAAACATAAAACACTTAAGATGAAACATCAGAACTTTAAACTTAGTAGGCTCTTTATGTAACTGTTTCCTTAATCCTAATCACAACTCTCGAGTCTTACGTTATTTTTTCTATTTTACGACAGCGATTTTATCAGGCTTTAGACGGCAGATCTACTGGTGCAAACAAATAATTATTTACTGGAAAATATATAAGTAGTATAATTTGTAAATAAAAATTTCACAAAACTTTCATGTGCTGAACGTAACTGCATAAAAAATGAGTTTCCGTTTGTTTTACTGAATTACAAATGAATATTAATATAGTATCCAAAAAAATCCAGTTAGTGGTAGATAACTCTACTATAAGCTTGAAATTAAGTATGATAAGTGTTACTCAATTTTTTTTACATGCAAACATCCCAAAGTAAAAAATATAACGCGTCTCTAGTTGTTAATAAATAAAAGCTTTCATTAAACTTATAAAAGGTACGACGTTGTCAATCAAAGAAAAACAGATTACAGTTCTGGTGACTTAATATTATACCGTAAAATTCAATATAGTTAATCTGAACGACATACCTATAGGAGAATAACAAAAATAATGAAAATTCATTTCATTTTTCCAATTATGCAGTTGTTTTAAATCTGAACAACTTGAATGAATTAAATATGCTTGAAGAGTTTAGATTCCCCAAGCGAAGTTTGGCTATACTATTCATATTCATGTGGTGTAAAAAGTTAAGTACAATGTATGCTACGTTTACATACCTATCTTATAACACATACTGTAGAAAAAGTAGTACTGTATTATTTTATAGCTACAAAAAGTTAACACTTAGAAAAACAGTACAACGGTATCTCGTTACAGATCTATGTCAGATGATACAGTGTCAATGATAGATTCTTATAAAAAGTATTTAGTTTAGATGATGGATTTATGATTTTTCATTGACTGACGAACTAAAGACAGTTATCAGGAATTTTCAGTCACAAACACACCTAAACAGGTTATTCATACGAAGGTGGGAAAGAGTGACCAAAAGCACAGCACTAATCGATAACGTCATAAATAGATGGATTGAGACAGAGTTCCCCAAACGCCGTTTGCTAAGTAAGTAGTCAGAAAATATAACTCCTAACTTATAAATCTGTTACCGTGGTGAAGGGAGTCATTGTCAGTGTCGTTATGTGTCATTCTTTATCTTCTTACAAGAAATGAATGTCTTATCTTTGTGCACAATTTACTGTCTATATCCATTCAAAAGAACATTCTCCTAGCTCTTCGTTTCATTTTATATGAGTTTCAGTATTGTAACATGAACTGATCAGTCAGTCATGAGCTTTTCACTTTTTGGGTTCTTTCTTATCACAAGCAATTCCGATATCATTACTAAATAATAGATTTTAGCATCGCGAAGATACCAACTAGAAAAGAAAATGCTTTCCAAAATACCTTAGTCAAATATCAACTGACATAAAAGATTAAATCTACATACATTTGTTTAAATATTTTAAGATTCCACCAATTTAAAAACATCTGTAACAGTTCATAACAACCCTGAATACGAATTGCATATACTAAACACCTTAATCGTAGAAATTCGTACGTACGTACATCAGTTCAAGTCGACATACCACATTAGCACACAGAGATCGAATTGTCAAATCAAATCCCATAGTAGTAGAAGTATTAGCGGTAATCAAAAAGATTAGTGATCGAAGATATAATTCGAGAAGTATATCGCAGTGAAAAAAAAGAACTGTCATATGAAAACAGTGTCATTGTGAGTCAGGAAATGCAGGAAATATTTCCATATTCCTGAATCCCATGTTTCCCGACCTCAAAATATACACGGCAAGTAAATATGCTGTACATTATTACCTTGTCCAGAAACTGAATGATTTCTAATTAAAAGCTACACAAGACAGGAGAGAAACAAAGAGATGAAGACCACTCCATAATGGTACAACATTCCCAAGAAAATTAAATACATGGAAATTGTTATCGCTATCTTTAATTCTTGAATTACCTAGTTATCAAGTCAAATAAATAATTTATGGAAATTTAGTAAAATCCTGTAACTAGAGAATAAAATACGCTCTACTGAAGAGTTAACAAAATTGCACAAACTAGAAACGAATAGGATAGCAAATATATATTCACTGAACTTTATCCGATTACACATACACCACATAACTTTTACATGGGTGTTTAATTCAAGATTTAACTTAACACTGACTTACATCTAATTATTGTCAAAAATATGTGTATAAAAGGAATCAAATCTGTACAAAGTTCAGGAAGAAATAAAGACAAAAAGATCCATTTGAAAAAGGGAGAAGATGAATAAATAAGTAAAGCCATTACAAAATTAACAATGCATTAAAAAAAGAAGGAGATTGAGGAAAAAGAAAACTTGGCTTAGATTAGTTAATAAAAGACCATATTCTATCATTATTCATCAAAAAAAAAAATAGTCATAATTAAATGTTGGAAATTACTTTTTTTTCCTTTTTTTTGATTGTCAACACAGTTTTAATGTGTCAATGATTTCAAACAGAAAGACAAATATGTGTATGTTTTGTTTTGTTGACACCAGTTTATCAAAAGTAGTAAATGGATAAAAGAAAAAAAAGGAAAAAGAATAGATTGTTAAAACCAAGTGAAAAAAGGTTTTTTGTAATAACGTAAATTGAAACGCTGTTCATCGTTTTCATCGCCAGCGCTGCCAGCTAAATCCACTTCAGTCTGTTTACCATCATTATTAATTGGTATAGTTAGTTTATTTTTAAAAGATGATAGAGCAACTAGTCCATGCTCTAGTTCATCTTCATCATCATCACCATCATCTACAACGTTTTCACTGGTAGTAGCAGCAGAAACAACATCAACTTCATGTGGATGTTTTGAATTTGTATCGGGTTGAGAGTTATCAAGATTTATAAAATTATCACAATCAATTAAGTTATTTGTCTGATTTTCAGTTAATATTGTATCTTGATTGGTCTGTACATTATTTGTAGGGTTAACATCAACTGTAAGGTTGCTATAATTATTACGATAACTAGAACTTTCAGGCATATTTTCATTTTGAGCGAAACCAGCTGCTAACCTTTGATGAGGCCATCGATGTCTTGTAGGACGCTTTTTAGAGGATAACTCCAAAGTCAGAACTGGCATTCGTACAAGATCGTAAGGGCTTTTTGAATTTCGTAGAGCTGCAACTAAATTTACAACCTGTAATCAGAACATATAAATATGTTATGAGAGTAACAGTGGAGGAAGAGGTAATGGCAAGCATAAATTCATTGTTTAGTGATAGATAGTAATAGAATACATGGAACTAGATTCACTGTATTAAAAAAATATTCAACTAGGTATACACTTAGATGGTTATGAATGAGAATATCCTTACTAAAACTCAACGGATTACTAAATTACTAGGTTACTGTTTAAAAATTAATATTACTTAATTTTAAAGCTTTTTATTTGCTAAACATTCTTTAATATAAGAATTTTATATAAGGATGTTTGGAAATTGATGTGAACTATGTTCTCTTGTTGCAATTATTATAAACGTTTTATAACCGCTATCATACTACGCAAAAAGGTGATGCTTATGTGTTTATACTGTACTTGATTTTCCACGCGGTAGTTGAGGTTTATCAGCCGTTGACATTTCGCAAAAACTATCTGTAGCGTTATCAAAGCGTCTTGATTATTGTCATTCGGTAAATGCAGAGATTTTCGCACCTCTTACAAGACTGTAGTCTAGAAGACACATGAATTTGTTATCTGTAAGTGATCATAACCTGAAACGTTCATATTCTCTGCTAACAGTTGTTTTTGTTTGATCAGCTCCATTAAAAAGACAAGACTGGAACGTCTTTATTATGTTTTCCGAGTTATAGTTATGTGGCTGCTATGGTAGTATTAAGTTTGAATAGTTTTCACGTTCTCCAGTGACAAGTTTAAGTAGCAGTAGACAAACTTTCTACGTGTCAACCAGTTACTACTTGTCATAACTTAGGTCAGAAAAGAATTTGTTGTAACTCTAACTGAAAATCGTATACCAAATTCAACTGTGGTAAGCTTCACTTATCAACTCAAAACTTACTGCAATGGTGACTACACCCAATTAATCTTCAATCCTAAGTTCCAAATACTCTTGACACAACCTTTAAATTATTAGAAGACTGTGAAACACATGCATATATTTTATGCGAAGAATGATACTCTATAGATTGCTTAGTAATCAATAATTACATTGCAAAATTTTATAACTTGGAAGAAATTTTGTGTTGAACAAATTTCAAAACTGAGTTTATAACTTTTAGAACCTAGTAGAATAGCATATATATAAATTTAACAACAGATTACAGTCGAATATTCGTCAATAAAGTGACAAGAAATTCTTTCCAATTTGAAGATACATTTAAAATAAGTGTGCATGAACAACGAGTTCTGTAAATTCCAGGGAAATTGAGATCAATATCACATATCATTTCGCTTAGAATAAATAATGAAATTATTTAAACACGAAGATTATATATGCACTTGTTAAAATGTTTATTTCAAAGGAGTGTTTTTGAAGGGCCAGCACGATTCATATAACTGAATAAACAGTAACTACCAAAGACAAATGGGTGAGGTCGCGCAAAAATCCCTAGATCAATCAGAGTTAGACATTAACACCGTTGGATGCCGGCCCAGTGGTCCGATGGTAAGGCGTTCGCCTACAATGCCAAAGGTCCCGGGTTCGAATGCTGCGAGGAGCAGGAGTCGTGGATGAGCACTGCTGAGGAGTCCCATACTAGGACGAAACGGCCGTCCAGTGCTTCCAGGTTTCTAATGGTGGTCTAACAATGATGATTGATTAATGATTTCAAATGTGTAAATACATCAACTGAAACATATACAGTCTCCAATGAAGTTCAATGAGATTTATTGTTTATTTATTCTTTAGACAAATTTCTGTTAATAACAATCAAGACAATCTAATAATAACTTTTTCACAGTGATTTAATCCAAACTAAACTACCATTCAATACAATTTTTTAATAAACAATTAACAATTTACTAACCTGACCCCGTAAAACAGACATTTGTTTGTTAAAAGTGGATAAGTCAAAGCCTGGATCAATCTGTAATTAAAGAGATAATGACAAGTGTATTTTTGGAAGCAGATCATTAAATTGCATTAATTGTTGGTTATTATTCAAAAAATTTAAGTAAACTAGATAACATAAAATATTTAAATACTTTGTTAAAAGATTATTTATCACCGCTCCCTTTTCCATTTCTTTTCATTTCGTTACTCACCACTGCTCACGATCATTGTGTAGGCCTTTTGTCAACCTGTCTTTAAGCTGCCTCCGCTCCTCATCCTGCTCAGAGCAAAACGAGGTGAGTTATCGAGCAACTATCAGTTCAGTAGATGCTACTGTTTCGCCCTAACCTTTAGGCTTACTTTACTGGTAGATATCACTGCTGTTTTTACAACCTTCTGGTTATCACTCCAAGCTGTCTCGGGGTGAGCACCATTTACATGGCCGCCTAACTGATTTCCTAGTTATGCTCGAAATATACTCTTGGCTTTGCTATCGTTTAGTAAAATTCTAAGGGGTTTATTTTCTGTGTTTTTCTTCTGTTCAGTAAGCTGAAGACATGTGCCCCACAGTAAGCAGAAATCTTTTAACGAGACTCTGGTGGCTGATAGTAATGTGGTCGATTTAGGTCAAGTATTGAGTCGATTATTGGGGTAGCTGTGTAAAGAGAAGTTTCTCCTTGTGCTGAAAGTTTGCTAGAAATAGGCGATTATCTGAGCATAGCTGCAGCAGATGGTCGCCACTATCCGTTCAGTGTCGCTACACTATAAGATCCACATGTCTTTCCTTCTCACCTAGTCTACAAACTTGATCATTGAAGTCACAAGCCACTATTACTAGGCCTAAATTTTTGAAGGAGGTCCGAAAGCTTTCTGTAAAATTCATCTTTTACCTTATCTGAGCTGCAGTCAGTGGGAGCATAGGCAGAGACAACGAAGAGGCAATGGTGTGTCCCTATCTTCACGAGTTGTTAATGTCCCAGTTAGTCGGACAGCGCAGAAGCGACTATCTACTGGAATTCAGTCTAAGAGAGCTAGTTTTCCTTTAGAACTCAATGCTATGCATGCACCAGTAATTTCAAGGGTAGTAGCAGTGAGGCTTCCAGGTACACGAAGGGTGAATAGCGACGGTTCTTTATGCCAACAGGGTGAGGTCAAACGAATGACTGTACTCGGATCCTGTATGAGAAATTTAACAACGCAGCATACATCAATAGCATGAGATTCTAGTCCTAGTTAGGGACTATTTGTCACAACGTCCAACACTTAGTGTTAAGCGGGATTTCAACACACGGAAAATAACAATTCGTGTACTCAAACCGTTAGCATTAGCGGCGTAAGGTGATAAACATATGTGAGTAAGGTAAGTCTTTAAAACAAGAGGGTTATTAAGAGGTGAATGAAGGATTGGATCGTGACCACGTTGATCTCCTCTACTGTTAGGGTTATAAAGGCGGATTTCGATTCCCAGGTGCCTATACTGTGGAAAGGTTTATTGAAGGACCTGAAAAAGAAGTCGGATTAGTGTTGGTCTTAACGACCTGGAAGCGTGACCGCAGAGCACAAGGGACAACTGCTTGAGGCCGGTCACGCACGGCCGCACTTGTTTAAAAGTCCTTACAGACGGAGACGGAAATCCGTGAGGGTCAACCTTTCCTAACCCCTTCATTACGTTGTGAGATGGAAGCGTCACTTCAAATTCTGGTCGTATGATGGAAACATCTTACTGCTATCACACCCCCATACAGTCAACTACACAACTTTGTCATCAGACCTTAAGTTGCTGCTTTTAGACTTACCGTTCTCCAATCAACCTGCCTGGCATGGTACAACCTAAAGGAACAGGTATTTCAGCCAATATTAGCTTGGTTGAGTCATCACGATAGGCAAGCCCGACCACCATGTCCAGTTTGCAGCTACGTTGGGTTGTAAGAAGGTAAACATGTATTCTGTCAAGTTTCCCCAATCAAATCAAAAACTCATGTGATGAGTCAATATATATAAGTTTATTCAACGCTATGATCATGAATGTTCAGTAAATATTGTTTTTCTTGAAGATAATTAACAAAACTATTGATTGTGAAACTATAAAATGGTTTTATTCCCATAAAAGCCTAAAATAAATGAAATTCACCCCTTTCTCCATAATTTCTCCAACTGCCATAACATTAGATCATGTGAGTGTATGTATAAACAGTTTAACCCATAAGCCGTGAAGAGAAAATATATTTTTCTAACAAGAAAATTATATTAGTACTTTTAAAATAACACCAAGATATTACTAATTCACATACAACACACAAATAAGCAGAGATGTCATTTATTTAGAGAAAAACCTTTACTAGATATTACTGAAAAGGTTTGATCAAAAAGACCAATATATTTTTTAGATAAAAAAATATTCTAAATTATGTAATGACATGTGAATATTCTTAAAATAGAACAGACAAAAAAAATTCAATTTATTAATTTCAGCTGACTTAAGTGTACCATCCATTTATTGTCAATGTATACTGATCAACTAGTTCATTAATTACTAAAAAGATTAGTGTCAATAAATCTATGAAAAAAGATTATCAGTCAATAAACCATTAAGTACAAAGCAACCTACTTTGAATAAATTATAAAGATCACGAACTAGACTATTGATGAAGTGCATGTCGGACAATAATGGAAGAACAGCTTCTTTAATTGCATCTGAAAATGGTTCTTTAGCCATAGGGAGCCAACCCCAATAAAAAGGATCTGTATTAAGAAAATACAATAGAACGATCTTTAAAATATCTTCATAAAACTAAAATAGAAAAAACTTGTGAATGACAACGATTCCTAGCATTATTGCTCAAAGAATAGGAATGTTTGAAAAATAATCTCTGATTCGTAGAATTATTTAAAAAAATAATTAGTGAGGAATGTTTTATAATCAGCCAGCAGTATGTAATTAGTCGATATTATGCATTGAATAATCTCTCAAGGAGTTTATCCAAACCAGTAAAACATTTTGCACAAAAAGTTTGTTAAATTTAATCAATTAGTTTATTGATCGAACGCACTCACTTCAATCTATTTAACAAATCATGCAACCTAGACAGATTTGAGATATTACAACTTCTAATCAAACTAATTTGGTGAACTATATACATCAGGGTCGAAAGAGTTTAGAAAAACTCAAAAAACTACAAAATCATATTTTGAAAGAAACTCTAATAAAAATTAATAAGGTATTGCACAACACTGAGAAGATAAATTACTTTTAATAATTTTTAAAAGGGATAGTGAAAAATTTAGTAGAAATGGATTTCCTAGGAGGTATACTGAATATCCTCATCTCCTTTTTAGATGCCCAAACTGTTATATTCGAAAGAAAATTAAAGTAATAATTTTATTTTTCCTTTCATAGCGTGATACAGTCGAGTATGTCTGTATATAAACTACTTATGCTTGAAATATACTATTCATAGAGCAGAGGCTAGTTACTGTGTTCAGGACTCAACGGAAAGGACAGGGAAAGAAGCTACTGAATAAAGGACCAACAAGAACCTAATGGTGATTCAAAGCTACTAGTGCAGGGACAAGTCGATATGCCGACTGGTGGTTCTATCGTGTGATATTAGTGAGTAGCCAGTAAGTCATGATACAGACAGTCATATATATTGCATACCAATAGTTGTTGCACGCTTCATTGGATAGGACTATAGGACTATAGTTGTTTACTTGATGAAAACCCGTTTGAATGTTTTATATTAACTATGTCACGTAGAGTCCGAAATTTCAGTAACCTCTCGATACAGCTTCGAACTAGGAATGAGTTTACGATATAGTGCAGAATTTCGACGCTCATCTACATTTTCCACATACAAGGGCATTCTCGTGACAAGTTTAGAGAAAATGGATGACAATACAAATACGGAAAACGATGTCCAGTATGAGAACAACATTTTACTGTTACATTGTACTAACGAGGCTATTTCAGTCGTATCTACTAAGTGAATAATTATATTCAGCAAAAGTGACATCTACCTTGTATTATAGGAAAGAAATATACTTCTATAAGTTATGGGAGCCTATACCTCACCTTGCATTTAGTGGCGGAATACTTATGACTCTATATCTACGTATCGTTTCAGTACTAGTGGTATAAAAGATATAATCGATTCTCTCTGAGTCAGAGCTGTATACTTAAATCTGGATCACCTTTAACACAGTTGAAACGTTAGTCTATACGTTGAACATTGGATATACAACCATTTGGTCTACGTCTAAGAAACCTACCAATCACAAGCTCATTGTGCTTAGTGGCTTACAGTGTCTAATTACCATTGTTGAGGTAGCAGCACCAAGTAATTCCTATCAGATCAACACTAGAATCTTTGGTTAATATAGCTCAAACAAGTTTCAGGTAAATCGTTTCAATGGTTACCATATTAACTACCGCTCCCCGCCATTTGAACTGATTTGAAGAAGTGACGAGGTTAGTTTATGATATACTGCCGTAGTATAAAGGACGGTTGTGTTGGATTAAACTAAGTATTAAATTGAGTATATGGAAAAATGGCTAAGAAGAATACTCTGCTCATTACACAAAAGAAATAAAAGTTATGTAAGAACATCCATTCTGTAAGGGGTTCAGTCATCGTGTTTTACTTAGGGTACGAACCTAATTCATATACATGTTAATGATAAAACAAATGAGTAAAATTCCGATCGAATACTAAATACATCTACAGTACATACTAACTAAAAAACTGACTACCAATTATGAAAACGTATAGGTTGGACTTACATGCTCTCCATTCATCTGGATGCTTAAACGGGAAAGACAAACCGTTGTCGATTGCAAATAATTCTATTTTTGGCATATCAACAACACCCCAACCATCTTTATTGGTCTGAATCAAAAAAGGATATATGATTTATAATTAAGCAAGATTTACTAACTTATCGACAAAGGTGAATAAGCCTAGCACCTGCGATTGTACAGCTGTTAATAACAAAGTATAGACTCGTTAAAGTGGTTTTAAACTAGTTTCATTTATCTGCTTAAACCGATATACGTGAAATGCAATGAATGTAACTTACCAGAATACTCTCTTTAAGTTAGGTGATAAAAAGTCAGAAGGAGTAGAAACAACCAATGACTGTCATAAGTGTATATTTCAAAACAAAATATACAGCGCATCGTGTGTGACAAAAACAAAACTTAAGAGAACATTTTAATCCCTCAGAATTACAGCATCCAGTTTGGAAGGCAGAATGCATTATTTTCAAAAATAAGTATGACATAAACTATCATATGAGGTTGATAGGGGCGATTAAATAAATTATAATTCGTAAATAAGAAATTAACCGATGATACACTGGACTTACCTCATCTGTATCTTCCTTCAGATCCGAACTTTGATAACGAATAAGCCAATTATCATTTCCACGATCTAAAAGAGAGTAATTAGATAAAATTCCCTATACTTTTCATCCAACCAGAAATATGAAATAAACATTCCCTACACAAACACACACACTACGTGTCACTTATAAGCAGTAAAAGCACTTCCACAAATATACAATACACAACTACAACCTTAATTTAAGTACAGTAATTTGTACCCAATTTATCAAACAGCAACTTAGACTTCAGTATGATAGTGAATACATTGTTAGCTGGTAGGAAATAATTGGTTGGGAATTTTGGACATTGTTTTCAATTTTATCAATACCTAGTACACTGAAGTCTGTAATCCTCAGTAGTTAGCCACAAGAGGAAGTTGTTACTCAATTTGTAAAATGTAATATCACAAGGAAATAAAACCACTGTGTTTTCTATCCCTAGCTTTCCGAACTAATGGGAACTACATATTAAATTCCAAAAATCGTTTGAGCAAATCATCGAACTCTTTTGAGTCTGAAATAAACATGAGGACTAACAAGTACAAGAAATTTTCACTAGGAAGGCTTATCGTTATCAAGAAATATCATCAGGTTACATGTACTCTAGAGGAAACATGGAAGTGATTAACAAGCATATTATTGCACTATTTTTGACCCTAGACAATAAGCTTTCAAGTTGAATGGTGATTTTTTCTACCTCTGAATTTAGTACTGACCAGGAACAAGTAATTGAAAAGGACGAAAACTATTATTGATTCAACGGGATGAAATTCTCAAGATTCTTTTCCGAATCAATCAGCCATATTTTTTTCTGGATTTTTGAACTAATATATTGCATTTTTATACCTGACCTTTTGAAATAATAATCAACTCTTTTAGTAAGATTTATCCTTGACATGAAATAAATTGTAATTAGAAAACACATGAGTGGAACCGATTTAGTCGAACTATGTATAAATGCATGCTAAATAGGATCTAGTCAAAATGCACTAACTACCTATGCTAATCCAACAGCTTAAAAACTATAAAAGCTAGCCACCGAATCTCCAAGTGTTTGGAAAGTAAATTGAATTGATTTGTCATACTAATCAACGAGATCTTACTCAGACATGGTTCGTAAGCAATGAATGACAGTCTGTGTACGATTTCGCTATTCAACCGAACTCACATTGAAAGCATTATTTTCAAAACCTTTCATATGTTATCCGGTAAAAACTATAGATGAAACCTTGGAGTCACCTATTAAATTTCTTACTGAATAAGAAGAACCAGTTGCTTATCAACTAAATAATAATACCCTTTAAGTTATTGGGAAAAAGGTGTGGATAGATTACTGGAAGTGAAAACCGAGGTTTGAAATATAGGGAAATAGCATTTTCGGACATTCTTTTTTGATGCCACTATAACTTCATGCATATACTGAAGTTGGAATGTAGTCAATTGGTTAAACACAGAATTTGGCACGAATATGTGTCGGCCCAAGTCGCCACATCATATGATCAGAAACCAATTAAATTAATACGAACAGTAAGTAAGCTGAAATAATGGTACTATTAACGATAGTGAAAAGGATTACACATGGAAGAATGTGAATCGAAAAAATGAATAAAAATGCCTTGTTGCATTAAAAACTGACGTGATCATTGTATACCTGTATTCCGAATTAGATAATCAAGTACAACAAGTTTTTCAAACTGAAATCGGAATTCTGAAGCTGTAGGCTTAGGAAGCGATTCATTATCAAAATGGCGAAGCCAATAGTCAGCATCTCGACAACCAGAGACAAAAAGTTGGAAAGATCCGATCTAGTGAAAAAAAGTAGATGTTTAATGGTAAAAAACAGGCGAAAAAATTTCAATTAATTTTACTACAATTGTTAGAAGTAATGAAATCCCACCTCCATACCTACTGATGAATAGTTCACTTGCATATAAATACTGATCTTCAATTGTTAATTTCTGCAAAAAATGGCTGCGATTCGTTAAACTACGTATATATGACAAGAAATACTCTCAAAGTGCTGCACATATGTACAGAAATATCTGGCTGAAAGTAGATACAAGTGCATAAAAAATAACTGCTAGCTCAATACAGTATCAATGTAAACGATAAACTATATAAAACAGACAAAAATGAAGGAATCATCAAGAAAAAAAGGTAAATACCGCCTGTTAAATTTTATACTATACATGTTCTATTAATAAAGAGATTTAACCACAACAAAGGTTCAAACGAACTTGAGTTTACGGCTCTATAGTTCAGAAAACATTCAGCTGACTGGATGGAATTCATCAAATTTACATACAAATCAGCATCTATATAATAAGTATGCACGTTTAGAAGTGAATACAAACTAAACAAGATAAAACAACCTATTTGGTGAAATAGAGGCAATCACACTGGCATTACTTAGAATGACAATGAAAATCTGTGAATGCACACAAAATGTATGATTGTTTTGCAAAAGAATCAGGTTATAGAAGCACTGATTAGAATTCATTAAATAACACAAACCAATTTATTCAAGTCATGATATTATAATTGGTCAAATAATAATACAAAGTGATTAAATATCTCTATATAAATAGAAAAAGTAAATTAAAATTAATAGCTTACAGAATGTCAAAAAATATGCACGGGTCACCAACAATAACAGTAAAAATCAGAATAGATTAATCGATCTAATATTTTCTAGATGAATGATTCTTTAATTACCTGTTACTGTACTAACCTTGATTAGCCTTTAAAAATGTTCACTATTATCTCACAAGTTAAATCCAAACTAGGCACTAACTGTGCTTTTTTTAAGTCAATACATACGTTAACGCAATCACCAACCAATATTAGTTGTGAGATTTGAAAATAGTAAAGGTGTGTTCAACAGTTTGGTCGAAAAGAACTTAACTAATAAACAATCAACATAACTTTTATTCGTAAGGGTTAAAGTAGGCTTTTGCTGGATTTTACTGAAGATAATCCTACAACTAAGTATCTGAAATCTACGATCAAGATGATAGCAAACAGTGATCATCAATAACCTGTTAATGTTTCGGCAGTAAACATTTGACTCATTTACAAGTAACTAACTCAATTTTTAGTTAAATGTTTTCCGGACAGACAGAAACAGCTATTTTGTAAATCATTATTACTTGATATTTATCTTAGATCTGACGTAAATTTAACGTTTACATAAGAACCACTCTAAACGTGATAGTTCGGAAATGAATGATTTCCTACAATGTTGACAAAGTATACATACATAAATTACATAACTGACTTGCGAACACCATTAAAACATTCCAATAACTGTTTGAATTCTGACAAATACGTTCATATGCAAGAAGTCATAATTTATAAGACAATTTGAGCTTAATTAAACACCTGAATCTTGCTGTGAAATGGATGTCACAGTTCTTGTGATTGAAAATGCATCAAGAGATAAATGAGAATGATTAAAATAGTCTTATTTTTAAAGTAAAAGAAGAGGATAGGAATTTGATGAATTCATAAATTTAGCTAGAACCATCTGCTGTTATTTGCTATAAAAGCTAGACGACAATGAAAATCAAGCTTAGTTCATGTTCTCATTGATTACTTTCAGTTACTTTGTATTGACTGCACAAGCACAGACCCAAAAGGGTTATTAAGCATCACAATTTTTAATTAAACGAAAGTTGCTCCTCTGCAGTTTACTGCCTCCTGACACGATAAGACGTGAAGAATTCTAGAAGAAAAACAGCAATCCACCGGAGTCAGAACACAATACCAAACCTTAGTCTAAACCACAATTGCTAATATCATTAAATCTATCAAAAGATGTTGTGTTTGAAGCATTAATTTTCCTTCCAGCTACATAATAGAAACAAAACTCAAAAAATATGTGAATAAATGATGAGAATCTAATATAGTGTCACATATTTATTTCGATGGATCAAAAACTTACTTTCGGAGGAAGTCCGAGACGGTTGAAATGACGACCTAACTCGGGGAACCGTGAAGCAACGTGTTGTTTAGTCCTAGATTTAGCACGATCAACCGCACTGTAATTGAAACTTTCGCTTACTAAACGAACAACCTAAAATAAACGGAAATGGAGCTAAGAACTATGTATTATCGAAAATTTTATATATGATGAAATACATTTGAAAAGTGATTAATTTGAGACTACAAGGCAATGATAAATGTCAAAATCTAAGAACAAATAATATCACAGCATAAAAGGGTTACCACAGTCCAAAATCTTAGTTGAAACTATTTTGTGGTAAAAATAGACGGTAAGCGCTGAATTAGATTCCCAAACGAGATCGTTAATGTACTGGAGTAACAAAACATTCATTGCTGAAACATGTAAGTGGGAAAAACCCTCACCCCAGGTTTTTCTACTACGGGGAATAATGAGCATATGTTTGCAACTAATTATTGATGGACTTAAGACAGAACTTATAGACAGCATAGCTAAACTGTTTTAGTGTGGGATGAAGATTTCTGCTTTAAAAGTGACTTCGCTGGTTATCATATATGAACTACATGATTAAATATTCTTCATTTCTTTTATACTGTTAACGACAACAAATAAAAAGCACCATTAACGAAATTCGACTGAACAAACTGGACCAAATATCAGTTTTATGTAAACTGATTTCACACCATAGAGACAGTATATACAAAATGTTAATAATTCTCAAACAAAAGAGTTGCTCCAAATTGTAACTATATCTTCAGTATTATGAGCAGCAAGTAAACTTTAAACAATGTTTAAAATGTAAGACATTAAAATACGTGACTAGAATTTAGTGTGATGTTTAGACTGCCGCTTACATCCTTACATAGAACTCAAAGAACAATTAAAACTTCAGTAGAGTCAAAAATAAAACTGACGTCAGGTCACAGTCTCTGATTATCCGTGTGTTCATTCAAACAGCTTAAATCTATTTGTACAAGCAACTTCTGACAAATGAGTCGTTATTTCAGCCTTTAAAGCGCTTTAAAGAGAAAGTAGTAGAGGTATGGCGTCCCACTGACATTTCGTTACATTATTTGACAGAAATCAACAAAACAACTACCTTATTTTGACAAACACAGTATTACTTTTCAGAAAGAAATCTATATATTCAAGAAGGCATGTAAAATATATTCTTTGAAATCTGATTAATAATAAGATTGAAAGAACAAAAAACAGATAATATAGATTGGGAGCTGAAACCTACTTTTAACGAGAATATAACTACCTAATATGCTCCACTAAAACTTTTATTTATGCTGCTGATACATTAGCAAACTCCACTAACAGTGTATATAATGCTCAAGGGCATACCCGACTAGCTATTTAAGGTCAGTCACTCAGGAACAACAGAGAACTGGGTCCGAGTGTGCGTACGTACGTACATCAGTTCAAGTTATCATACCACATTAGAACAGAGACATGGAATAGTCAGTTCAAATCACATAGCAGTAGAAGTTGAAGCAGTATTAGCAGCAATCAATTGATTCGCCATCCTTATCTAGCACCCTATCCCCAAAACCAGTATAATTAACTCAACGGTTCCAGCATATACAAGCAAGGCTTCCAAGATACACATGATCGAATACTAGCAAACTACGAATATACTCTATTCTTACTGGCCACGTTTCACACACGTATTGTAGGACGGAGCAAACTGCTGCACAATAAACCCATCCTTTGATCGGCAGACGGATATCTCGCCTACACCATAAGTCACGCAAGTCGGAAAAAGATGATCGAAAATCCTGTACCCATGCCGAGACTTCGTCACACACCAGATCGTCACCACTGATGAGACCCCCAAGATAAATGAAGTAGTCGACACGCTTAACTACTTCACTCTCTATCACTAGTTCAAGCGCCAACCTAAGCCAATCCTGAAGTAACATTTCGCATTTCCAGTGAGAGAGTTGCATCCCGAACATGCTCACATTGTTACTCAAGGTGGTGAAAAGACCGCATTTTGTCAGTTTATTCACTAAATACAACTATATCATCCGCATATTCTACGTCAATAAATGAATCTCACAGTAGAAGTCAGACGATGAAAGTGTCGTATCAAAAAACATGTCGATGATAAAGTTGAACAAGAATGGAGAAAGTCGACAACCCAGACGAACACCAATCGAAGTAATCAATTCCAATGACAGTTCGCCATTAACTCTCACTCGGCTATTAGTGTTCCAGTAGCCAACTTGTATAAGGTCAATGCAGCTCTCCGGCATACCTTTCAATGACAAACACTGTAACAAAACCTAACGATCGACAGAGTCAAAAAGTGTCTTGAGGTTGAGGAGTACAACTATTGTCCGACGTCGAAATGAGTGTCTGTGTTCTCAGACCTGATGAAGTGTAAATATTTGGTCTCTAAACTCAATCCCAGGTATGAAACCAGCCTAGTTTTCTCGAAGATGCTATTCACACTCTCTATTCAGTCATCAGTCAGTCAACAACAACATAGAACTTCGTACGTACGTACGTACATCAGTTCAAGTTGCCATATTACATTAAAAGAGATGCGATTGTAACTTCAAATCCCATAGCAGTAGAGGTAGTAGGAGTATTGACAGTAATCGGAAATTTTAGGGTTCGACGATAATATTCAAGAAGTAAAATCCAGTGAAATAAGCTTAAACGAAAAAGATAAAGATGATGAGGAACTCTGAAGGTTAGGATTTGAGGGAACACAAAGAATGAATGCACCTGCGCCATCGCAAACGGTTTTGATCCAAGTCATTCAGGGTCTCTAACCATCAATTACTATCATCTAGAGGGCCCTGAACAGGAAATCGACACCTACCAACATGGCTTAATCCACTTATCAGTGACTTTATGGATTTGTGCCATGTTTCGGCTTGGCCGCCCCTAGCTTTCTTCCAACCTATTCCTACATCTCAAAGCACGGCTCGACGAAGCAGTCGGTGGTTAGGCATACGCAACACTTGTCCCAACCACCTCAACTGATGAAGTTTCATTACTTCATCTATTGATCTGCCATTCTTACCTAGCACCCGTTTCCTAATAACAGCGTTGCTCACTCGAGTTTCCCAGGATATACGAGCAATGCTTCGAAGACATCGATGATTGAAAACCAGTAAACTACGAATATCTTCTACTCTTAACGGCCATGTTTCACAGCCATATAGTAGAACACAGCGAACTGCTGCACAGTACACTCGTCCTTTAGTCAGCAAACGAATATCTCGCCTACGCCATAAGTGACGCAGGTTGGCAAAAGCCAATCGAGCCTTCTGTATCTGAGGTGAGATCTCGTCAGTCACCAGGCTATCAGCACTGATGAGACTCCCCAGATAAGTGAAGCGGTTTACACGCTCAACTGCTTTACTCCCTATCACTAGTTCAGGTGCCGATGAAACCCAATCTTGAAGCAACATTTTGCATTTCGAAAGGGAAAACTGCATCCCGAACATGCCTGCATGTTGCTTAGGGTGGTCAGAAGACTCAGTTCTATTCGGTGAAGACGCTGACAAAGTACTATGTCATCGGCATATTCCAGGTCAATAAGCAAGCCGCCTGGTAGAAAGTCTACTCCTGAAAATTCAGACGAACATAATGTTATATCTAGCAGCACGTCTACGACAACCTTAAACAAAAATGGGGAAAGTAGACCAGTGGTGTTCGAGTAGAGAGCTTGTATAAGGTTAATGTACTTCTTTGGTACACCTTTCAATGACAGACACTGCCACAGAACCTCACGATCCACTGAGTCGAATGCCGCTTTTAGGTCCAGGAAGACAACTATTGTAGGACGCCTAAATGTGTGTCTGTGTTCCAGGACTTGTCGTAGTGTGAAGATGTGGTCTATACAACCACGTCCAGGTTGAAAACCAGCCTGGTTTTATCTAGTCTGCTCTTCACGAGCACTAGTAAGGCTTCTAAGTATAGTTGAGGCTAACAATTTAGAAACTTTACTAGTTAGACTGATTCCCCTGTGACTGTCACAAGAAGACTTTTGTCCTTTCTTATAGATTGGGATAATCAGTGCTTAAGACCAGTCGGATGGGACTACGTCCAGTTCCCAGATTCTACCTAAGATCTCAGTCAACGTAGCTGCTAAAACCGGACCACCATCCTTAAATAACTCAGGGGTCAGTCTATCAGGACGTGCTGCTCGCCCTCGCTTCAGAGTTCCTATAGCTTTTTAAACTTCGTAAAAACTATGAGGACTTACGTCAAATTGCCATTCAGGTTGACTGGAGGTCGTGGGCAACCGAAGTGTGGCTGAAGGCCAGTTGAACTGATCCCTAAAGTGTCCTGCCCATCGATCCAATCTCCTGGATTAAGAATGAATAATGGTCGCATCATTTTCCAAAATAGACACACATTCGGGTTACTAATACCGGTTTCGCTGATAAGACTGAATAGTTGCCTACTGTTGCCTTTTCCATCTCCCTTGCTTTCGCTACCCACTACTGTTCGCGATCAATGCGTAGGCTTTTTATCACCCTGCGCCTGAGCTGACTGAACTCCTCATGGTACTCACAGCCAGGCGGGATGAGCTTTCGAGCATCCATTAGTTCGGTAGATGCTAATGAGATCCACGGCTCCTTCCTAACTAACTAGCAGATATCGCGATGTTTCCACAGCTTTTTGGATATCATTCCAACCTGCCTCAGAGTGGGCATTACTTACTACATGGCCGCCTAACTATTTTTCTAGTTTTTCCTGAAATATATTCTTAGCTTTATTATCACTAAGTAGAACACTAAGAGGTTTCTTTGTGATATTTTTCCTACGTCCAGTAAGTCGCAAACAAATACGCGCCCGCACTAGAGCATGGTCTGAGTCTAAACAAGTGCTGCAGAATGAGCGGCAGTCTTTAATAGAGCCTCTCCACCGATGGCCTATAGCGATGTGATCTAGCTGAGTGCAGCGTTGAGACGACTTTGGGGGTCGCCAGGTCAAAAGATGTTTCCCCCTACGCATAAATTTAGTATTTGCTAGAAATAGGCAGTCACCTGAGCATAGCTGCAACAGACAGTCGCCATTATCTGTTCGATTAGCCGCGACACCATAAGATTCACGCAGGCGTCTTTTTTTTACTGAGTCTCTCTACTTGAGTGTTAAAGTCACAAGCCGTTATTACTATATCAGAGCGCTTAACTTTTTGAAGGAGGTTAGAGAGGTTTCTGGAAAACTTACCTTTCACCTCGTCTGAACTGCAGTCACTTGGAGCGTGGGCACAGACACAAAGAGACAAAGGCAACATTCCCTATCTTTACGAGTCCTTACTGTCCAGTTGAGTCGGACAGCGCATAAGCGACTGTCTATAGAAATCCACTCTAAGAGAGCTAGTTCTGCCCTAGGACTTAGTACTACACCAGCGAGGCTACGGGAACCAGCATCAGGGCTACCTGAAACACGAAATGTAAACAGTGTTGTGTCTCTGTCTGCACTAAGTGAAATTAAATTGATTATTTTACTCTCATCTTGTATGCGCGCCTCAGAGACGCAACATACACCGACTGCATGGGATACCAGAGTTCTAGCTAATGAAGCCTGTTGACCTATTTGGCACAAGGTTCGAAAATTAAAGGCTACAATATGCAGTTTGGAGTGTGGCTTCAGGAGACCAGGAATAACGTTTCACGAGCTCAAACTGTTTGCGTCAGCAGCGCGAGGTGACAAACGATCGAATGAAGGGTTGATCGTGGAGATAAGAGTTATTGGGAGATGTAGGAAGGATCTGATTCCGACTGATTTGGTCTCGTGCGCTTTTATGGGTATGAGGGAGGATGTTACTTCCCAGCTGCTCACACCGTGAAAGGGCTCCGGTTGTCAGAAGGGGCATCAGCCCCATGACTTCCGAAGAAACTCGACCTTCATTATGAGACCGAACTCCCAGAGCAGAGTTTAAATGGTTTGAATTTTTTCTTGCTAGCGTTTTTTTGGAAGTTAGCTCGGGGTCGACGAAGACCTGCTAGAGACTCACGAGTCTGCTGAGCTATTCTTTGAATTTGTTTCTTTTTCCGTTCCTTGTGGACAATTAGTCAAACACTGGAACAATCAGTGACTGAGACCAATTAGATGGTTCAGTTCCAAAATTCTACTTAAGGTCTCAGTCAATCTAACAGTTAGAACTGGACCACCGTCGTTAGAAATCTCAGGAGTTAATCTATCAGGTCATGTTGCTCTTCCTCGCCTTAGATTGCCTACAGCCCTTACAACGTCATTAAGAGTCAAAAGATTTCATCAAATAGCCATTCAAGTTCACTGAAAATCCCGGGTAACTGAAATGTGGGTAAAGGCTAATTGAATTGTACCCTAAAGTGTTCTGCCCATCGATTCAACCTCCTGGATTGGGAATGCATAAGTCCCTTCTTTTTCTGAGTTTCACTAACAGTCGGATTCTTTATAATAGTTTCCTTGACAAGGCTATTCTTTCAAAGAATTTCAAATCATTTCTAGCAAAACGGCTTCAGTAAGTCACATAATGATCGATGAAAATTGGCTGAAATTACATCATATGAACTAAAACCAAAAAACAATACAATTATGAATAATCCTCTAACAGAAACCAACTCTTGTTGCAGGAACGATATTCAGCCGTAGTCGCTGATCTACAAGACTGGCACCAGCCTCTGAAAGGTAACCTTGATTTGGAACCAAACATGAGCGACCAAAACAGCAAGGACAGCAGTGTTTATGCATCCACTTGGTCCATTTTGGATTCAGCTTCCCATAGGGCTCCTCGTCTTTCGGTTTGAACACTGCAATTTTCTCCTATAGAAATGTAGGTTTTCAAGTAAGTTTTTAGCAACGAACTTAAAATTGCAAATAAAATATCAGAACGTATGAAAAATGTCTGGAAGCTACACACCCCTTAACTTTAGTTACATCTCGAGTTCAAAAAATAAGAACTAATTATAAGGGCATATTAACTTTGCTTCATCCTGCAACCGATAAAAATATTCCAGATTCTTAGGTAAATAATACAAAACAATGAGGGACCATTTGTTTTGTATTATTCTACCTAACAAACTGTAACAACTATTGGACGTTATACGACTATGATAACTTTCTCATTAATTAAAACTATTTATTACCGTTTGTGACCGTCAGTAACTTTCATATGGTCTGTTTCTGAGTAGCTTTTGCCTAAAACCTTGCTAGGAACCGAACAAGATAGATCTCAAATCAACTAACTACGATGGAACTGTGTAAGTTAACTAGCTTTAACCCTTTATTAGATTGCCACCAAAACAAAATCAATAACTGATACAATTTATAATTTTTCTCATATCCCTTATCACAGAAATATTAACAAGAATGGAAGATATAATCCCTATACCTAACAACCTAGCAAAAACCACGGGTTAAAGACAGTGTAATGAGTAAGGTGAGTAGACCGCTTAGCGCGATATTTATACCATCTTAAAATTACTCCTTATTCACTTCCCGACAGCGACCTGAGAGGTAAATTCAACCTCTGCCAAAGTTGGAAAGTAAGTGACAAGAAATAAACCAGAGCAGTGAGATCTGATATACTGCATTTATTACTCATTAAAGTGTGGTATTATCTACTATTTTTATTTGTCGTGATAATCAAATAGAGTAAAGTACACCAAGTTTCATAAGGTGGATAAATACTGACAATCTATCTCCTTCCTGAAGCCCGGGATATAAGAACCACCCTTACAAAGCGACGAGAAGTATAACAAAGTTGCGACTGAATTACTAAACCCAATGAAACACTACAAACCAGGCAGGAATGGTGGTTAAAACTAGAATTCATTTCTCCATATGTAGAACTATGCTAATTGATATCGTTTAGTGGAAGTTATATCAAACTTTTATGTCTTGGAAACTAATGAATGACATTAATTATGACGTTTCAACAATTAGGAAGCGCAAGATAAGGAACTTATTCCTCCTAAGAAGTCGGTTTTGAAGGTGTTGACAGTTTGAACATGAATTTAGTGAGAAAAACAACATTTTTAAAAACAAACATACGCCGTCTGGATTCTTAACAAAGTAACTCCCACTTGACCCTTGATAGATCCTTTCAGGCAGTATCCCGGACTCAATAGCTTGAAGGGCGCTTTGTAAGACGTTATTGAAGTCTGAATCACTATGTATATCATTTACAAGTGGTGAATATGTATCAGAAGAAATATCAGCATGAACATCTCCCAAAAGAGGGGCGTGTTCATCATGATTTTGTGTTGTCATACTAAGATCTTTGAGCAGAAAACCATCGACGTCCTCTTTAAGCGTATGGTTACAATAACTGTGACCATAAATGCTATCCAAAGATGGCATACATCGGCCAGGCACGTGTGAAGTGTCCAGCAACAAACCAGCTCTGCAACGCAAACCTTAAATAAGCCTCTGTCGTACTAACACCAAACATCTTTATAAAGAAATGTCCTAAATTGATTTTAATGTAGTAATTCTGAATACTCAAAAGTTTTATCAAAATTTTAACGTAAACCACCGCAACTGCTTCACAGGCAATAGACATGGTCTACGACCTTGTTGGTTTAGGTAAATCCTCCCAGAGCTAAGCTTCTTCAGAACAGTATTGAATTTACAGCGACACTGACGCTAGAATCAACTGTATAGGAATGGGTAACAGAACACCCAATAATTGTATTATAACGACTTAAATGTAGAACTGCATCGGACTTGTGCAATCTGCCTCGTATCATAAAGTGTCTAAACTCTACAAAAAGCTCGTCAGTTGATATTTCGAAACAATAATAGGTCTAGACCATTATGGAAAACTATAAACTGACTGATAGGTAGCCAGGTAAACGGCTGACTGGATTGAGTTTGTCTCTACCAAAATCCATACAAGACAGTCACAAACTTGATACTTGCCTCTTTAATACTCACATGTGTATCAGAATTCTTTATAAGATATGAACTAATTTCCTCAGCGCGGTATTTTGGCTGAAGCCTTATAAAACGCTGGACATATCTTAATCAATGCAACTGAAGGTTCTGTTGACTAGTCAAAACACTCGCATATTTTAGAAGGTACCCATCTGTTATCGTGTCCTAACTTTCAGCTTCGGTTCTCTTTTCATGAACGTGTGGAAACTATACCAGCGGTTGGCCACCACCCTACCAAAAGAACTTTAGTCAAACGTTTACTAATATTTATGAATTTTAGATTGACGTATTAACCTTATTCTTGGATTTCCGTCAAATTATCTCTCACGATTAGTAGTAAAGTCAGTCAGAAACTTCCTGTCCAAAGTCCAGGTTACTCTGTAATTAACAGTTCATGATGTGATCCCAACGCCGATATCGATTTATCGCGGAAAATGTTGACTAATAAACTAGTAGAGCTGAGAGGTTCGCGTCAAAATATTCCGGCTACGCGGCATAGTAATAGTAGGAAATAGTCGAGAAACCTGTTCTAGGTCGTAAGCTCCGGCTAATTGTTGTGTGCAGCGTTTTGAAATACTCTATTGTTTGACAATTATCATCCCTAATCAACGGATAGATCCTACCCACTACAAAGTTGTGAACAAGTTAAAGTGAATAAAATTGTGCTTTCCACATTTTTACAAGACCGTCTACAGGTTTGACTACACAGCTAAATACTTAGTATATCCTAGCATGGCATTTGCTTTTTGTACCTTTTAAAATCCATCCGATTATGTTCAGATAAGTTTGTTCGTTTTTTATATCTTTTGTCTACTATTTTAGGATTAGTTCTTGTTGAATCCTTAGAACTGGAAGTGTAGACAACAAAAGTTCTTATTACTGACTGATAAAAGATCAAAGGATTTCTGATTTCAGGCCTGGAATAACGATACGAGCGTGCACAGTTGTAAATGAGACAACTATAATAACAAAATACTCTCCGATATCACTTGATATTGTACCATATGGTTTGAAGTTTATCAAGAAATAACTGAATAACTTTAATAATTAATAATGTTAGAGAAGTTTCAGTGAACACAATGATGATGATACACAATGATGATACAGACGACTTTGAATATTTAATTTTATTATATCCAACAGGTCGAACAGCTATTACCATTTGATGTTTCCACCTTGCTATGGGCTTTGTACTTCCTGAGGATGACTGTCAATTGGAAACATATATCTTTGACATATTTACGTCTGACATTAGTCAGAGCTGCCAACTTATTATATCCTGGCACAAATTTGTGATACAAGTCGTCGCATCCAAGTAATGCTATGAGCATGGAGTTACAGACACCATAACTAAAAGTTTTTAAATGATAAATTGCTTCATTGAATGCAAAAGATTGTTAACAGGATATTCTGAGGCAGTTTTAGTTTAAGTCTACCTTCTAAACAGATTCGAGTTCATTTTGTTAATTTGTATTCATGATTTGGGGAGCCACCCGAATGCATTAATCACATCTAACGAGTTTCGAGCCATCACTTATCGTCAGTGCCAATACTACTACTACTATTACTACTACTACTACTACTATTAACACTACGACGACGACGAAATGCAGAATTCTGGGAGTAGTCGAACACCTACTTTCTTTATCAAAAATACGATACATTGTTATGTAGAATCTATTTTGGAAGGCTTTGTTTAGGAAAGTCCCTCCATGCAAACATTTGTAATATGTTCCTATTTATTCTTTCAGTTCTACATTTTGGTAATCTGTTTAATTACATTTTGGGATGTTCTTATTGATTCTTTCAGTTCTACATTTTGGTAATCTGTTTGATTACATTTTGGGATGTTAATATTTTTATTTTGTTATAGTTTCTATTTTTTGAGCCTTTTTTCAGTTCCTATGTTTCTTTCCGAACTGCATTATGTTGTTTAAGTTGATACCGAATATGATCCTCTGGCGATTAGTACGCTCATCTTGACTGAAAGGGTGCAATTTGGATAAGAAATTGGAGCATTCTTCCAGGATTGGAAATTGTGATACGATATACGCAGGTCCCTGACTCCAGGGAGAAGGAGATTAGAGACATTCAAATTGGTGGATCAACAAATGCTATGTTTTATTGAAGCGGATGAAACTGCGCTTACTCCATGCCGAATCGTCATCCACGTCCAAATCATCCGGCTGAAATCCTGTCTTTATAATTCCTACAAAAATATCATCAGACTTATCTGTTTAAATTTAATGTTGTATTATTGACCTGAACGAGGATATTCTATATTCATTTTTTTCGGGACCCGTTCAGTATTAGTTATAAAAAATTAAATATACAGGCATTCAGCCCCTCACCTGTAGTCTTTTCACTGTCTAAATGTAAAAACTCAGATATTAGAGAGCATGCAACATGACCGTGTAATGAATCCACTTTTATGGAGGGAACGCGAGTGGTCTAATAGAAAGTTCCATTATTACAACCGATTCTACCAGTGGTTATTTTACTGTGCTTCTTGTCTATTACACTTTGTACGAACAAACTTTCTGTTTGCGTTGCTGCCATTTTCGCTCCGTCGTCTCCGTAATTTAGCCACTCTTTTCTGGCACGATTTCTTTCGATACCGCGAAATCATCAGCTAATATATTCTTTAACATGAATTCACGTAACTTCTCAGTGGCGGGTTCGTAATTGCTGTAGTTGTGATCATAGTCAACTGACACTCGATCGCTACGACTGCAACTGAAAAATCATAAAATATACTGCTTTGATTCGTTTAAACTCAGACACTCAATATACGAGGAATTTGCCTAAAACTTCCTTAAGTAGAAAACCTTTTGTAGTCTGAAAACGAATTATAGCTTCAAGGCACTTAACATGTGGCTGGTACGTTTAACCTAATTAATACCAGATAAGGAGGATATTCGTACTATTATTCTGTCGTTTAGTGACTAGAGGTCAATTAATCACACATAAATCTAAACATTCGACATGTGCAAATCAGTGAAGTTACTTTACCTAATAAGCTATAAATTCGTAACCTGAGATGTTATACAGATTTGTTCAGGCAGCGATTAACTTACAGTAGGACCGAAATTTTTATAACTGATTTCTCAGTTATTAGCCAGAAGTAGGTGTCACCATCCGTAAGTCTTGAAAAGTGTTCATATGATCCTGTTACTCTGCTCCATATTAGCATCTTTTAGGAGTATTTTTCTGGCGCCTAAACTGGTTGTTTGACCTTTGTCAAGGTAACGGCACTGGCAATTATACGTGTTGCCTAAATAAGAATAAAATGAAAATCCGACAGATAACTGTGGCTGTAACCTTCAATAAAAATATTCGGAAATGATTAGGAACACAAGTAACTAATTCCTCATCTTTTTCTGAGTGTCATAATAACATTAACATATAACATGCTAATATTTCGCTTGCTTTTATATGGAATTTTTTTTGCAAGTATATGGCTACTCTTCCGAACGGTTTCGGAGTTCACTTTTAGCAGAATATACCAGGACGCACATACTTTTTAATTTTCAACTAGCAGCCTCCGAGAAATTAACAATAATGATAATTATTTTTATGTACCTAACTGAACCCGTGTTTTGAAAAGTGAATTTTTTTCACAATATTCCGTCATAACACACGATGCTTTTGTTAAGGTTTAATCCATAAGCGTTATCTTGAACTTAGCAGTTTGGTTGTGGTTGTGTACCTCTACATATTTCTACCAACATTTGGTCTACTTTTAGATTCTCCTTTGCATATTTGTCCTATAATATTGTGAAAGAAATTTGTTGGGGTTTACTGTCCTCTACAGAAACAAAAACATTCCAAGCTACAAATCGTGAAGACCAGTCGGAAGTTATGAGAATGAAAAAATATCGTTTCCTTAAAGTATTCTGTTTATGGTCTCAAGTATTGTATACCTAACTGACTTCATTAGCAACATTAGCAAGTGTAATATTGATTGATATGGATTAGAATAATTCTCAGTGCGTTCTTTAGATTCAGATTTCTGTTGAGATCCGAAGGCTTGTGTGATTTGTCAGTCCTATCTAGTAAGATTTTGAGTTTCTAGTCTTCTATTAAACGAGCCAGTATAAAGCGTCGATACAACGTCTCCGGATAACAGGTTTCATGAGTTGATGACCTGGTGAGAAAACACATACTCGATGGATATTCTGTCGGTCCTCAGCTTTTGTACTCGCCTGCTACGTCCTGTTAGTCATCTTGATCTAGTAGGAAAAAAAGAAGAGATGTACTAGGTCTAAAACCATCTATACATCAAAGTCAAGTCACCTTTTAATCTACAGTAGGACATAGTAATGAGTTCCGACTTTTTATGCCGTTCCGTTTATGATAAACCTCGGAGTTCTGGAATTGCACAGGTAGCTGGCAAGATATCCAAGTCACATTTTAAACAGGAGCTTGTAGCCTGTAGGCAGTTTTAAAGATTTGATCTTACTAAGGTTGTGTAAACCGTTGAGAACATACTAGTATCCAACGTGATAAATTTCTGTCTTAAAGCCCATAAGGTTCTGAACCCCTTAGCTGCAATCACACGGTAGTCTACTATGATCTTAAGATCATGGCTTAACAAAGCGTCAAGACCATTGTGAGACTGGACTATTATCATCGACTCTTCCCCAATGCTGTACCTATTTGTCTTTGTATCCTCGATGTGCATGTAAGCACAGTGAGCCACCTTGATAGGTTTCAGCCATGTTTTAGACCAGCTAACCAGAACATCAAAGTCAGCTCTATGTGCTCTTGTGTCTATGTCCCCCGTTGTTGCTCAATAAATCTTCACGTCATGAGCATAAAGTAGCATCGGTAATTTAACTAAACTCGGAAGTTTGTTCACGTATAGTATAAAAAGTAGGGGACCTAGAAGTAATCCTTGCGGCACCTCACTAATTACTGGTTTCTTACTTTTTTTCTTTGATTCACTTAAGATGAGGTCCGGAAACTCCTAAATTTTCCAAATTTTAGAGAAGTTTATTGTTCGGCACCTTATCAAATACTCTGCTAAAGTCGACGTAGACAACATCCACTGAATCTCCATTATCTAGTGACTCTATCCATCTCTTGATATAAACAGGCTTTTTGTGCATAGCAATCCTTTTATAAAGCCATATTGTTCATTGTTTAACAAGTTATTTGTTTCCATGAAGGTCATTATGGCATTTATGATTATTCATTCTAGTATTTTAATTATGATGCTGGTGAGGCTCGTTGGTCTATGATTTGATGGCTATTGTCTCGATCCTGTCTTATAAATTTGAGTGGCAATTGTTTCCTTCCAATCGTGATGAGAGGGGCAGTGTTGTGTCGTGTAATTTATCTCAAGAATGTAGGGTTTAGTTTATCCGGTCCTGTTGATTTCTCCATATCTAAAGTGCTTAGGGTCTTTAGCACATCGTCCTGATCAAAGTCTACAGTGGGTAACCGACTTGACCTTATCGCATTTGAATCTAATCCTAACAGAGGTTCCTGGGTGAAAAATCCCGCAATCGTTTGCAATTGATTCTGCTTTGTCCTGATCTTCGTCTATCATTTAGGGTATACTTCCTTCCCTATTTAAGGATAGGATTTTAATTTCATTGGTGATATGACGAAAGCATATCGCTATTCGTTCTTCAGGCTTATTAATATACATGAGCTAAGTTATATGGCACATGTTAGTGAAATTACCTAGGTACCTATGCAACTCTGAGGTCCAATATTCAGTAACTTAACTACATAACCACTACATTCACATATATATATTTCTAAAAGGAATTATGTGACAGCTTAATTCAAACCCCAAGATCACAAAGTCAAAGAACACTACTGATCAAGTGAGAGCTTATAGCGAACTGTCATCAATAATGTTCGTCATGGCTGTCCACTTTCTCCATTCTTACTCAACTTTGTTACTGAAATACTTTTAGATATGACACTTCGTCTGAATTTTCAGGAGTTAACCTACCAAGAGACTCGTTTGTTGACTAATAATATGCTGATGACATAGTTGTATTTGGTGAAGACGCTAAATGCAGTCTTCTGACCACCTTAAGTAACAATCCAAGCATGTTCGGGTTGCGATTCTCTCCCTTGAAATGCAAACTGTCGCTCCATAATTAGCTTGCAGATCAATCGATAAAGTAGTGAATAGAGAATATTTTTAGGTTACTAGTATTCGATCATCGGTTTCTCTGAAGCATTGCTCGTATTATTTTGGGACTATCGAGTAAGCACTTATAGGATTAACAGTAGAGTACTAGGCAAACATGGGAATTCAACTGATTAAGTTTAGATCTTCATCAACTAAGATGCTTACGATATGTGTTACTCATGTCTAACCACGCACTGCCTCGAGAAGCGACATTTTGTGGTGGGGGGGGGGTAGATTGGAAGAAAGCTAGGGGCGGCTAAACTGGAACATGGCACAAGTTCATGAAGTCACTGGAAACTGAACTGAGCCATTTTGATTGGTGTAGACTACAAGGTCGGGGTTTGTCAGGCAAAGTAACCGATGGTTAAAGACTTCGAATGAAATAGCTCGAAATCATTTGCAATGGCGCAGGTACATCCATTCTTTGTGATCTCTCAACTTATAATCTCAGTTCCTCATAACAGTTTTTTCTCCTTCTAAATTTATTTCACTTGGTTATACTTCCCGAACGACATCTTCGATCTCTCGCCTTTTCGATTACCGCTAATACTTCTAATAACTCTACAACTATGGGATTGGAATTAACAATCTGACCTCTGTGAGCTAATGTAGTATGAAAACTTGAATTGATGTACGTGCGTACGAAGTTCTACGTTGTAGCTGACTGACAAAGAAACTTTATAGGCTGACAACAAGAATAAAACTTTTCTATTGCTTTTGTCCTATCGTGCACCAAATACCTGAAAAACAATAAAAATGACAACAACCTCATACAAAGAGCATTTAACTCAGGACCTATTATTAATATTATCTTCCAGAACTATGAGTATTCAATGTAGGGCTTTCTTACATCTTAACCTCTGTTATTTTTTCATACCATTCTACTTGTTTTGTTCTTAACTCTTTTCATTGTCTATGAAGCTATGAATTTTCGATTCAGTTTAGTATTATAACTGATCTAACATAGTTAACATCTGTGTCATACATTTTAATATTATTGTGCTGATTCCGGTATAAAACTCCGCCTCGCATCTGTTTTATTGTTTTCTGCACTTGAGCTTAAAACTATCCGATTCATATTCCTATTTTAGGCCAAAAAACAACTCATGTTCATCAATGCTTGCATATTTCTACAAACTACGTTGTAAATTCCATACCTCTATTAATTTTTGTGGACGAACTCGTCAATTATCTGAGTTACTATATGGAATTCATCCTGTTTTGTGTGCTCTTACATTTCGTCAGCGTGATATTTACCGGTTGTACGTCAAAGACATCTCAACCAATTGCAAAGATCCTGACAATCTCGTAGAACTATCTACATCGCAAATAGTTGAAAAAGCACTCAAATATGGTATACCAGTAATTCGAGTACCAGTCGAAAAACTCAAAGAATTAAGTAATTCAAGAGCCCATCAAGGTGTGATACTTGAAGTTTCTCCTACCACTGTACAACCTATTTCAGATTTGTCGATTAAGAATTTGATGTTTTCTTGGAATAATTTATCAGAAAGCTACTTACCATATATGAAAATACATAATAGACCTACTATTCTTCTTTTGGATCACATAATGGATACTATGAATTTTGGCAGCATATTACGTTCAGCGGCATTTTTCGGTATATCTGTGGTAATACTGTCTACTTCTCCGTGTGTCAGTCCATCACCCCTTATCAGCAAACTTAGTGTTGGCGCAATGGAAAGTATCTTATTTTATAGACTAACTGATACTGTAACAGATATGAAATCATTATCAAATGCTGGATTTTTAATAATTGGTACTTGCGGGGAAAACCAACTATCAAGTAAAGTCCCCAAATATACAAATTTCCTTCAACCGAATGAGGTAACAACTGTTCTGTAAATAATGTAACCGACTTACCACTATTTTTAATGACCATATCTCTCTGTAGTTTGAACTTAGTACCGAACTGATTACTTAGCAATAACTTATCATATAAACTGTTCAAAATGATACGCCTCATTTGATAATTCTGAGAAACATAAAATTTTCATAAAACATTACCAACGCCCAATTTCTGTCAAGCTATTTGTTCAAGTATTAACGAATATTCGTGCTTGTTCCAAAGCTTTGACAAATAAGTCTAAGAGTTAAAAACCTCACAAAGAGGATACCAATCCAAGCTTCCACAATTCTCAACAGCATAAATAAGATACGAAAAAGAATACACTTTGATACTGTAACCAAAATGATATGAATCATTTTTGCCCTCGATTCTGTATTACTCAGTCATTTGTTCCCACATGGTTCTCTGTCGGCTTGATCCTTTGGTTTTTATCGTAGACAAGGCGTTTTGCCTTTCTGTTCACCAAATGTCGATAGCTCATCAGAAATCAACGTACAAAAACATAGACAATCATATAAAGCAGTAGGAGGTGCACAGAAAGACGATACTATGTAACTAAACATAAAAATCTAACGGCTTAAAGTGTGTCATTTCATTTTTGAGTTAAGGTACCCAAATATTATTGCCTCTCCCTGGAATTTAATCCTTATGCTGTAGTTCTTCATGTATTGAATAGTACTGTATTTTTAATCATCTATAACAAAAGCTTTGATAATAAAAAAGGGACCTGGAAGTCCTCCCACAAAGTGAAACAATAACATTTCAAAAAGATAGCAGTATCATATAATAGTAAATTGACTAGAATAATATTTGTTAAAAAAGTAACCAAACTTTTACGGTTTTATCTAACTTTCATAGAGAATAAAATAAAAACTAAACGAAGATTGCTATTGGCTTCTCTCCTAAATCTTGTTTCATAACGTCTCAACCAGCTATATTGCATAATCTTTAGAACCCATTTCAAGTATTCTTTATAGACAGACGAATCGCAACACAATTAAGTTATTCTACGGCTCCACATTGCAAACTAACCATATCTCCGTCTTTTCTATCCAATCCCACCGTTAACCAATAATGTTCTCTATGGTACTGAACGGGACAAACTTCGTAAAATATATCTAAGTCTAATATTTGAAATAATTATTCAGTCGTTTTACGCCACCAATCTGTATTTCATTTTCTCCTTAGATTTTGGTATTTCTGTTTACGTTGCTAGTTTGAACAAAAAACAATGTGATAGCTCCAGTTAGCAGATTCTTATAATTGGTAACCTTATTACTACCTTCTTGGAATCCACGCCTGATCTCAACACTTGATTCTGTATTTCTGTCGTTCGCAAATGGTACCATAAGGTTAACTTTCTGACATATCGTGGAATATTCATAAGCTTGTATAGGGCTAATCAGTTCAGCATTAAATTCTGGTTTCTGGATAATCAGTAAACATTAGATAAGGTATTCAGTAGTCACATGGATATTAACTTATTATCAATGAAGTATGGACTTCGCTCAGCACTAACTCTATTTCATCGGTCCACTAAAAATACTGTTTTATATGATTATCAAATGTCGAAAATACATTGCGTTTTTGTATTTTCAATTGAAGACTGTTAACGTGGGTAAAATTTAAAAAAATTCACTACAGAACTTCCTCAGTTGTTAGTCCTTTCGTCCATTCTTTTAATTTAAGCGACTAAGCTAAAAGACTGATTTGTTGGTTTATTGGATCATACTGAGTAGGGTTAAAGCGTTCACTACAGTCAGGCAGATTTTGAGAGCTCTATGCAATAAATGAGTATATTATTATTTCGAGAAGCTTAATAATCAAATTATTCCGAAATTATGCCAAAGCGTCCATGAAAAACTTATTGGTTTAATGTTCGTAGTCAAATCATATTACTATCTTGCTATTATTTCACTGTTTATAATTACTCTAGGTAGGCGCCAATACTGACAATAACACTGGAATTCAACCTAGACCTCTGATACTAGCTCTGGGAAGTGAATCACGTGGCCTCAGTGAAAGTGTTCTAAATGCTTGCGATTTATTACTACGTATACCAGGTTTTGGAGATTCCAACAAGCTAAATCAATGTTTATCACAAAGTATCCCATCATCATTAAATGTGTCGGTTGCTGCTGGTATCTTATTATATCAATTAACAATGTATCGACATGGACACGAAGCTGCTAACAAGTCGTCTTTTATTTCCCCATACTGAATAAATCCTATCTAATCTATGTATGAGATTGTTCACAGAACTTTATGTATATATATTTATCCTGTATTTATTTCATTTTCACCTTTGTAGTATACATAACTATTTTTAATCAGCAATCATATATTTTTGTGACAGGTTACTATTTTCAAATAAACTGATATTTTCTATTTGCTCGTTTCTTCTGTTTTCTTGTGTGGACTTCCGATGATGAAATAAAGATTTTATTTGCATCTACTTAAATGTTCATAGATTTATTGTTATTATCAATATATTATTGAAATATTTCAATGCTATAAATTGTCGAACCATTCTATACTAGATACTATAATAGAGTTAAAAATTCTCGTAATTATTGTGATGGTATCAATGATTACCATGATTTGTTTTGCTGACAAATGAAATAACTACAAATTTAGTATATAATTATACTATACTTTGTGAAAAGTCTCCATGTATAAATACTTTTCTATTTAAACTTTAGTCATTCAATAGTGTGAATTGTAGTTGTATGTCGAATTTCTTGTTTTCTATTCACAAGCAGTTGGAATTTTTCTTCCGCCAGTTTTTTCAACTATGGTTTCTTTTCACTCGTTACTTATTCACTTAACCACGCTGAGCTTATATCTCATTAAGCAGTTCATCATACAGGGAATTGTTTCATTGTTTCGCAAAGTGAAAGATTAGAAACCTGAAATACAACGAATTTCGTAGTCTATTGTGAATAAAAACCACTTATGAAACATTAATCCAATGCAGAGTTTTATTTTTTTTAAGAACAACAGATGGTCAACTTTTACAATTTCAGGATAACTCGTCCGAGAAATTCTTATACTGCTATCGTCAGTGAACTGACGTATTTTGTAAGGGTCATCTTGATTTTCTTCAACAGCCCTTAAATGGTTTGTTGAAACCATTTGGGTAAAATCTAAAAACGTATTGATTGTAAAGTAACTGTTACTATTCTGATTCACAATTCATTCAATTGACCAATTTGAATAACCTACTGAAAATGTTCTATCAAAATGGCATTAACTATATCTCCCCTTTCTTTTAACTCGTTGAAAATTATTTTGTTTTGTCATATCAAAGAAATTCCCTGCTATATGTTTATTGAAGATTATCTCTAAATATAATAACACCCTTCAAAAAATATCTCGGGCAAATATCTATTTGTTATCTCAGGTTAACAACTTGGCCAAGTAAATTCTGTCGTCTCATTTTCAGTTTGTACCGTAGGTCTAACTATCAACGTATTAATGTTGGTATACTATAAAAGCATTACCTTTTAAAAGACCTATAGTTTTTCACAACGATATCATGCAAATGACCAGTTTTTCACCTACCAAATGTTTACTTTGGTATATCAAACGCAGACTAATATATTCTCTTATATGATGCTCATGCTTTTTCCTCGCCTAGCTCACAAACAGATTATGAAAAACGAACAAACTGGTGAAGTTTTGCTCCCACCGTCTGCATTCCTCACCTCGAATCCTAATCATTTCGATTATCCTCAGTATATGAACAATCATGCTGAACACACTAATAATTCGATATCGAACAATAAAAGCAGTAAAAATTTGTCAATGAATTCAGTTATTCCTAAGTAAGTAATCCATTGTGTTTGCGCCTTTTTAGACTGTGCACATATCGAAATTAGATGAATGTTGACAGTTAATGCAAATTTCTATTCATACACTTGTTTCTCAAATTGAATCCTGTTCCATAAATCATACTTCTAATGTAATAAATAAAAATCATTCAGATATCTACCCATAATGTTCATACATTCCTTCCGTTATATCCTCCACCAACACTGTTGATTACTGTTACTAATTAGGCTCTGTGGGTTATTCCTAGGGTTCTAGAGTTCTATTTTCTAAATTGATGGACAGATAAATGCTTTGTGACAACTTTCATTGTATCTGAACTTGGTAATAGAAACCATCTTAGCATCCATATTCTGATCTTCTAACATGTTTATATTAAACTTTTGGTTGACATATTTTAGTTTCCCTAAGAAAGTGCTTATAACCCTGGTCCTATACCTAAGAGATGAAGAGAAAATTTGTGGCCAGTAAGTGACTGTATGACAGTTGAACTGTACTTGACTTATTAAAACGCCGTATGAATGTTTGCATATACTATTCATTTTGTCACTAACTTAGCGCTAAACTCGTGAGTTAACTGTAACTGACAACAGGAGATACCGAATATTAATGACTGCTCGGCTAATACATTTGCAAAATCACTAACGCGTTTATCAAACCTGAAATCAGTGAAAATTATTGGTACGTTAAAATTGACGCATTTGATAGCCTCACTTGATCTTAACTTCCTGGGAAAGCTGGATCTTTTGAACCACTCTACAGTTCAGCCAATTTAACTTGAAATTAGTTTTCCTTTCCGCCATATTAGGAAGGAAGCCTTAATCCGCATTTAAGATTGAAGGCTAGTTTTGGAACTATTAATTTTTCCTAGAATTTTCTCAATTGAAGACAGTTGATTTCGGTGTTAATCCTTCAATCAGCTTCAACTGTGTTGTGGTCAGTAACTTGATCTCATCAATTATGAGTGGCATATTGTCAATTTCTCGATCGACACTGTTATGTCTTGCCAAAATGTTAATTACTGGTACTGACATTCCCGTTTTTTGTAGCTACAAAATAAACCGCTACTTGTTACCTGTTTAACCGGAGCGAGATCGAAATGATAGCATGCAATCAAAAAACCTTCGTAAATGTCGGTTATTGCTTTACTGTTCTTGTTCTTCACTGGTCATCTTGGTTTACCATACTTTCCAGTGAACTTCGTTGTATTGTATAGTTGTCTCATGTTTCCTTCTCTTGCAGCTTTTTTCCACCATCATTGATAGGTTTTCCGGATATCTCTGCTTATCATTTTTAATGCTCCTCTTCGCTTGCTTGTTCACTTCTGTGTATTTGACCTGTACCTTGTCTTTCTCTGCTCTTGTACTTTCCTTGGCGAAAATGTGGCATCTACCACTTATAAAACTCTCATGGTTTTACTAGTTATGCCTCCGTAATGGGGTATTTAACCATGTTTATCGTACATTGCCGTTTTCCGTATTATTGACAATAATATGCTTGCAAGATTTATTACTCTTACAGTATGTATTCTATCAATGATGCTATGCTTAAAAACAGTATCATCATTAAGCATGTATTTCATGCTTCACAAATCTTAAGTCGTAACAATTTATGAATTGCAACCGTTTTCGTAACATGTCCTTATTTCCAATTGTAGCCTATTCTTTTATATCCATCTCATAAAAACAATAAACTGTAGTGACTTCAACTATCATTTGCAGAATTTTACTATGATTAAATAAGTGCATAGTATCTTTTCATGTGTCTATGATGCTGTCTCTTCTTCCATCTGAAGTTTGTGCTGCTGATGATGTTGTTCAGAAGAACGATGAAAGCTCCGCAACCAAAACATCCAGCTCAGAGAACGAAACACTACCACATTACTGTCTCTGATTGTAAATTACTACTAGTTCGATTAGTACAACCTAATAACCGATTAAAGATTTATGTACTTGACTATGGTTCATACTTTTTGTTTGAAGGCTAATGGTGATAGCAATTGACTGCACATAGTTAATTAGGTGCTCCATAGTTCAAATCTGTAACTCATACATTCACTGCATCAATTACTGAACTATTATTTGCACAATGAATAATAAACCAAGTCGCAATTATACTAGCAGTTTTTTTATTTTATTTATTTACTCAAAGTATACATCATAGATTTATCGAAAATAAGTCACGTTTATTTATTTATTTACAGAGAAAGTAAGAATTCAACTGATTCGAACGATGATGATCATTTTAATGAGCAAATCAATTCAGAAGCGACAAAATTCACCTATATCAATAAATTTGTCAATGAACTAAAGCAGGAAAATGAATCTCTTTTACGAAGTCAAACAAAAGCTTTAGACGAATTGAACAAAATACGAGCATACATTGAATTCGGCAGGGTTCCATCTAAAAATACATTGCATGAAGATTCATGTGAACAACATAAATGTGTTTGCAACACAGAATTATTAGAAAAGGTTATCATATGTTTAACTAAATAGATTGAATTAAACTAAACGTTTATCGATTTTCTAAGCCATAGATACTGTTACTTGTCACTTCTTGTTTATCACTGATCCATTTTTAAAAATTAAATTCCATATCTCAATATAGGTTTGAAAATTTAGTATATTTTTTCTAATGTTTCCAGCAAAAAATTGAATTGACGGTCTAGGATTTAGTGTACAATATCATTGTTTCTATTAAACGATAGATAATATAATATTGTTAATATAGTATTGTCAGTAGTTGATTAACGGTTGATGAACTGTTGGAAGGTGGTTTCCAAATCACAAGAAATGACTGAGTTATGTAGATTAAAATTCTGAGCGAATAGTTTAACAAAAATTGGGCGCTGAGTATATAAAAAAACATCTGTAAAAATTATGCTTGAATAATCTCGGCAAATGAAATTTGAATAATTTCAGAGTTTATGTTTAAGAGAAATATTCATGCAGCTGGATATGAAGTTGAAGTAGCACGACCATTGATTGAAACATGCTCGTAAATCCTTGGTAGACCTCAGGAAATTTGAGGATATGTGTAAAAGTGTACGATACACATTAAAACAGGATATAAGACTAACTTCAAAGGAACCAAAATTCTTCAGAAATATTTTAGTTTGCATAAAGAAAGACGAATTGCAGAACCAATCCCTATATAGAAAAACAAGAACAGTTTGAATACGACTTGCAGAACATTATAACTAAGTATATCAATATTCACATTTCACATATACCTTAACCATCTAAGTTTGCTCAAATTTACTAACAGATTTATAATGGATAAAAATAATTAATATGTCCCTGATTATAGTCAGAGGTTTCGTTTACTCGCTGAACTCTTAATTTAGAAACAACATACAGGTACACAGATACAAATTTATTCAAATCTAACAATTCATTATATTACTATCAACAAACTTGACATTTAAATCTGATTGAACAAGGCTTAAGCATAGTTTCGTTAGTAAACCTTATTTATCTTTAAAAATTTTCATCCTTGATCATTTCCCTAAACAGGTTTAAATCAGTTGTCTGTGAGAAACGTTGAAAGTAATTAAAAATCAATCTGTACGACTGTTCAGATATAACTTCCACGCAATGACTAAGTTAGCCTACGTACATGCATCTTCATCTTAAAACTGTTTATTGCTGTTTGTCGGTCAACATCAAGAAGAAGATTACACCTGCCACTCATCTTGTTATGCATGCATTGAAACGCTTTCTATGCAGATGATCTTATTGCTGTTTAGTATAAGCAAAGGAAAGTTTTACTTCAGACATCATCCTGAAGGAATATTCTTTTCCACTGATTCCTTTCACTCCTTAACTTTGTATATTTTAGTTCACTTTAGCATATTTTTATTGTTGATCGTCTTACAGACAGTCAAGTCTGATTCTGTTTATGAAGTTGTCAGAATCAATTGTTTCATCAATTCAATAGGGTTTATTTAGAATAGAATTATCTAATTTTCTTTTTTTTTATATGATTTTTCTTTCTAATTCTTTACATTTTCTAGTTGAAATATTTAGAAAATAAAAATTCTCAATTAAATCTTCAACTTGAACAAATGAATAATCGAATGAGTAGTTTAGAGACAGTTTTAGCAATTCAAGAAAAACAATTATCAAAAGAAACTAATAATGAAGTGTCATCTATTTACAATAAGTAAGTCTTACTATCTCATTTTAAAACTTTGTATATGGTATATTTCGTATATAGGAGATATAATGGCGTGATTATGGATAATGTTTGACTAATTTAGACTACATCGTTTAAATGATCCATATTCACTTAACCATGAATTACAAACAGACTGATATAGACAAGAAGAAGTTAGAATACGATACCCAATTCACAAAATTAGTCGCTTTAAATCATTTATGTATATTATTTCAACAATCTATTCAACAATGCTAGCAATATAGTTGTCCAAATAATTAAAATAGCCATTCAGTAGCAATCATTTTGATTAGCTATCCAGGAATATCATTTTTTTGATTTACAATCAAAATTTAGTTTGTTTCACAGTAATATCATCGCGTTGTCTGCATGAATTCCTATTGAACAAACATTTATACATTATTTGTACATCTTAAACTATGTCTTTTATTTACTGGTACCGGAAATCATTCTAAGCGTAGAAACATTTATCATTGAAAGGAGCACATCAAACACTGTCAGGAACACACATTAGACTCCTTTACATTCCTAATCTTATTGACCAAAACAAAATTATGTTTCACATGGTGTCATGTTATTTCTTAGTAAAGAGGCTTAAAAAATAGTTAACTAATCCTTTTGCAGTTATAAGAAGAGTTTTCCAAATTAAAGAATAGATGTTAACCAATTCCGTTATGTTTGCCATGTAAAAAATACTAATCTTCTCATATGGTTGTACTACCTGTCTTACCGTAGCATTTGTCACTTGATGGTTTTACCATTTTCAAGTAGTAATTTAAAGACATTACAAAACTTACAGTATTATCTCATTTTAGAAGTCACTTTACATCCATCCACGTATTGGAAAAGAGCAAATTATGCGCACTGCAAAGTCACATTTTGACAAATAATTGGATATCTTAGCTGTCTCACAGATAATGTAACTTTACAAAAGCCAAACAAATGCTAATATCCGCAGCTTGAATTCTCAATACAAAAACTTAATATAATTGATAAATTTATCATGATAAGTGATTTATTCTCCTTATTGATTCACTCACTGCTGTCAGACCAAAACACATCGCATAATTCTATGGACAGTCAGGGTTTTCTGAAAAATATCTGTCAGCGTCTTCACTATCCAGGGTTACTTTGCTTACATACTGCGAGGTGATGTGATAAACTCTCAGTATAATATTGTTGCGTATAAGGTTGAACAAAAATGGAATTCTTCCACGAGTATATGCATAACAATAACTCACATCAATTGAAATTAATACTTTTTATTGAAACATCTAAACATCGGTACAAAAGAAAGCCTAAATATTTATGCTCCATACGAATTATTGAATTCGTGAATAGGTTGGAATTCTGGCCGAATGCCCAAACTGGAGCAGGTGGTTTTCCTAGACGTTCACTCCCCGAACTAGGGCAGCGTCAGGAGATCCAGTCCCATGTCAGCCAGTGACCAAAGTTCATACGCCATTCGTTCCATCAGGATCCTGGAGCCCATATGCACCACGGGTTTGGAACCAAAGTTTTCCAACTCCCCGAGATGGATCTTCCGCACCCACCAACTCAGTTTAAGTGCCAGTCTAACATTCTCTTTCTTCCCTCTCAATTTCGTAGACGACACTCCTGCCACGAGAAGACAGCAAATAGGATTTATCTAGCAGTAACTATATACGTATGCCCATGTCAGAGCATTCCAAGAAAGAGGAAGCAGAATCTCCCTACTTTCCGCCGTTCCCCAGGACATTTGGGCTTTACAATACGAAAATACAGTGCTTTTCTTATGTAACTGGATTTCCTCTTCATAGCACATACTTCATACAGACAGTTTTGAAACATTCATAAATATTCACGTCCTTTAGTTAAATTTTATCTTCCTAAAATACCCTTTAAATTTTATAACTAAATGTTTCATTATATATATGCCTGGTCGATAAGTTTTTAACCCTTTTTTTCAGCTTAGTCTATCATATTGAATTCATATCTAAATATTCTCCTGTCAGATTGAGTTCATTTCTAAATTGCACAAACTGTTTATCATTTTTTACTTCGGGTGCTTGATTTCAAGCACATTGATAATTTCCACGAACACTATTGATTTGTTTTACAAATATAAATTTAAATTAGGTCTGGAAAAGTGGAAAATTTACTTTGCACATGGCGCAGACATGTTTTACGCTTACTTATTGAAATAGAAAATCTGAAGTCTGAAAATTCCTATACTGTGAACAAACCAAAACGTGCCTACGAAAATTTGCTTTCAGAATTTAACTCTTTAAAGGCAACTTTAGAAGCAACTGAATTTAAACTGAAAGCTAGTGATTCTGCTTTGAACATTGAACGTAATAAAAGACAAGTGAGTAGAAGTATTAATTGTGAAAAATAATAGTAAGACCTAATAATTGCAATTTTATACTTTTTGTGTTCATTCAAACCAGAATATGCAATTAGATTCAGTACTGTGAAGTATGTTCATAAACAAGGAAGCTTCCAGAGTAATACTGCTGCCATAGTTATAAAAGTATAATCCAAATACATACATCTATATATTTAGCCTTCATATCATTGATATAATTAGTGAACTGCTGGCTAGTAATCACTTTTTTGGTTTACTGTCCAAAATTATACTTCTCACTAGTCTGTCAAAAAAACACTAACATAGAAGTTGATTTTATAAAGTTAGTCTATTTCACCAAAAATTTTGACATACAATGTAAAAATGCTTACTTTGTAGAGTTTAAAAATATACATACAGCTTAACTGCTCAATCATCTTTGAGCAAATATACACAGTTTTTCTAACCATATACTTCGTAGTTCTTAAATTCTGCCTGATTGTGTTTTCAAGGGATCTAAACAGCTGGACATAACTACTTAGTTTATCAGATTTAAATTCCATATATGAAGGGACCAGTTTATAATCATATCACTGGAAACAATACGGTTTATTGAAAACCCACCACATAAACCTACACTTTGTTAGTGATTTGCATCAATGTATAAATCAACAGTCTATTCCTTAGTTTTATGTTTTTTCAATCATTTAAATGTTATCGAATCTGTAGAGGTTTGTTGATAATTAGCTTATAATTTTGTAACATACTTCTCCTGACTTTGTAATAAACTAAAGTATGCAAGCTTTGATGTTCTTGAAACTATACGTGTTTAGTCAGAATATTCTCATGTTTTCGATCAGACGGTAAAAGACTAAAGGTTTCCATAACAGAAACATGGTCTTGATTGGTCGCAGGTGCATTTCATTAACAATTTATGTAAAAATGAAATCAGTTTTCAAGTAGATATTAACTCTAGTTAAACCATCCGCTTCCTTTATATTAATAAAATTCATTTCTCTTCGTAAAGTTGGGTTATATTAAACAGTGAAATACAGGACTTGTTCTTCATCCTACTTGGGACTCGTTAGCTGGACGCTTTGTATTCTGGTGTTGATGTTTACATTGGAATTTGAACCTAATACCTACCACTTTAAAAACCGTTGCTTCGTTCACCAAACTACTGAGTCCGGATTGCCACTAACGTGTTCAGCGGGTATGAACAGTGTGAGTACCACTGGGATGCAGGTACATCCAGCTGATGAGTTATAAGTCCTCTTTCTAGATTCCATTGCTAGCTGAATTCAAACTTTCGAAACACTAGTTATTATACACCAATATCAACATATCCTCCTTATTGAGCATCCATGCCGATGAGCACTGTTCGATTCTACTGCTTAATCAATAACCAGAATTTACAAACCCTTACAATCTCATTTGTCTTGGTTTATTTATTACTTTTACTGAATACAAAAGTTTTAATAAGATGAATAAATATTTTGCTTGTAAATACATTATTGAGTTGATTGTTTTGGCGACTTGTGCGATAAATGCTATTGTAAAATAATCTCTTAACTTAATTTTATTATCATATTTCTTAATTTTCGTTATTAGGGATTTGAAAGAGATTTGGAAAGTTTACATTCAAAATTAGCAACGACTCAATCAAATTTAACAGAATTGCATGAGAATTATAAGAAATTCGCTTTAAATACAAAACAACATCTTTGTCAAATTGTAAAGGATATGCAAACGTTTATGAATTGGCCAGAATCCAGTTCATTCAATCAACAATCCCCAACAACAATATGCTCAGTTTTTCGTCGTTTAAGACATTTAGAAAGACGTTTAGATTTTGCTAATTCTCGGCTTCCTTTACTACGTACTCATTTATTATTATTATCATCATCATCACATCAGAGAGTAAATGTCACTACAAAGTTTGTTAACCAGTCGACACAGATCACATACGGATTAAAACATTGGATTGGTGATATTTTATCAGAATCAGAGAAAGAAGAGTAAGTCAAAGTGTGTCCTACCCAAATGCCTGTCAACTTTATACCTACAAACTCACAGAACAAAGTACCCATTATTTTGTCGTATTCAGATAGTAATTGATGTTTTAGATATATATAACAGATATCTCTCGCTTACTTGCCTAAACTCCTTTAATCCTTGGTACAGAACAGATGGAATGTGGCTAGCAGTAGAATAGAAGACTCGTCAGTTGAATGTATCTGTGTGGCGAACGAAGTTGTAGAGACCAGATGGAATATCAGTGTATTTAGAGAAGACACAGTTTACTAACAAAACATGTAAACCAAGTCTTCAGATTTCCATCTGCGAAACAGGCAGATAACTGACTGTCTTCTTTCACATGCTTCCTTGTCTTCACAACACTTTAATTTTGCAATGAATTCCAACCCGACAATTTTCTCAGCAGTTGTAACTTCTGGGTGGTACTCCTCTGCATACTACTTATAAACCACATTGTGAGTAGTATCTACCACATCTACATCCCATAGTTGATGTTCACTCGGGGACTCAGTACTGTTTTTTTTTAATGCTATATTGTCATCGACTTAGCTCCCGACCGAAGCTGCTACCTTGACGTGGTGGTCGGGCTTGCCTATCGTGATGACCCAACCGAGCTATACTGGCTGGAACACATGTTCCTGCAGGTCCTACCATGCCAGGCAGGTCGATTGGAGAACGATGAGACTAAAAGCAGCTACCCAAGGTCTGAGGGCGAAGTCGTACTGCTGACTGCAGAGGGGTGTGACAGCAGTAAGGTGTTTCCCTCGGACAACCAGCATCTGCAGCGATGCTGCCTTCTCACAAGGAAGGAAGGGTTAGAAAAGGTCGGCCCTAAAAATGTCACACCTCCCCTACCTCACGGATTTCCGTCTCCTTGGGTAAGGGTGCCCACTAAGGGCCTTTAAGAACGGAGCTAATCCTCTAAATACCTTTCATAAAAAGGCCGTGCGTGACCGGCCTCAAGCAGTTGTCCCTTGGACTCTGCGGTCACGCACCAACACTAATCCATCTTCCTTTTCAGGTTCGTCAAGAAACAACCTTCCACGGTGTGGGCAGCCGGGAAGTGATAACCGCCCTCATACCCGCAACAGCACACGAGACAAAATTGTTCAAAATCAAATCCTTCCTACATTCCCTAATACCTTTCTTATCTCCACAACTAACTCTTCTCACATTCATTTATTACAGTGCACAGCTAATGCAAACGATGCGAGTTTGCGAAACGTCGTTCCTGGTCTCCTTAAACCCCGTTCCAAACTACATGTTGGAGCATTCAATGTACGGACATTGTGTCAAATAGGGCAACAGGCGTCATTAGCTAGGACTTTAGAATCTCGTTCCATCGATGTGTGCTGCGTCTCGGAAACGCGCATACAGGATCCGAGTAGCATCACTCATTTGACCTCACCATGTCAAGATAAAGAAGCAGCTCGATTTACCCTTCGTGTATCCGGTAGCCCTGATGCTGCTTCTAGGGGCCTCGCCGGTGTAGGTATAGCATTGAGTCGTAGGGCAGAACAATCTCTCCTTGACTGGATCCCTGTAGATAGTCGCTTGTGCGCCGTCCGACTGAACGGGACAGTAAGGACTCGGAAAGATAGGGACACTCGCCGTTGCCTCTTCGTCATATCAGCCTACGCCCCCACTGACTGCAGCCCAGATGATGTAAAAGATGAGTTTTACAGAAAGCTTTCGGACCTCCTCCAAAAAGTTAAGCGCTCTGATATAGTTATAATGGCTGGTGACTTCAATGCACAAGTAGGTAGACTAAGTGAAAATGAAAGACACCTAGGTGGATGTTACGGTCTCGCGGCTCAAAGAACAGACAATGGCGACCGTCTGTTGCAACTGTGCTCAGATAACCAACTATTTCTAGCAAACACTAATTTTAAGCATAAGGAAAAACACCTTTTGACCTGGCGACCCCCGAAGTCGTCTCAACGTTGGACACAACTAGATCATATCGCCATCAGCCACCGATGGAGGGGTTCGATAGAGGACTGTCGCTCGTTCTGGGGCACATGTTTAGATTCAGATCATGCCCTAGTGCGAGCACGTATTTGTTTGAGGCTTGCTGGACGTAGGAAAGACACCGTAAGCAAGCCTCTTAGGGCTTCACTTGATGATAATCAAGCTAAGAAAATATTTCAGGAGGAACTAGAAAAACAGTTAGGCGACCATGCAAGTGATTCCCATCCTGAAGCAGGTTGGAATCATATCAAGAAGGCTGTGGAAACAGCAATGGTATCTGCTAGCAAGGTAAACCACAAGGCTAAGATGAAGCCATGGATATCAGTCGCATCCACCGAACTGATGGATGCTCGAAAACGCATCCCACCTGACTCTGAGCATGATGAAGAGCGTAGTCAGCTTAGGCGCAGACTCATAAAAAGTCTGCGTAACGACCGCGAACAGTGGTGGGTGGCGAAAGCAAAAGCGATGGAAAAGGCAGCGGCGATAGGCAACACTAGACAACTTTTCCGCCTTATTAAAGAAACCGGTATTGGGAACCCGAATGTAAGTGAGACTATCTCGGAAAAGGATGGTCTTATTATCCATTCTCAATCTAGGAGGCTGGACCGATGGGCAGAACACTTTAGGGATCAGTTCAACTGGCCTTCAGCCACACTTCGGTTGCCCACGATCTCCAGTCATCCTGAATGGCAAATCGATTTAAGTCCTCCCAGTTTACATGAAGTTGAGAAAGCTATAGGAAATCTAAGGAGAGGTAGAGCGGCAGGTCCCGATAGGCTTACCCCTGAGATGTTTAAGGATGGTGGTCCAGTTTTAACGGTTAAACTGACCGAGATCCTAGGTAGAATCTGGGAAATGGACGTAATCCCATCTGACTGGTCTCAGTCGCTAATTGTCCCAATCTACAAGAAAGGACAGAAGTCCTCTTGTGACAATCACAGGGGAATAAGTTTAACTAATATAGTTTCTAAATTGTTAGCCTCGATTATACTTAGACGTCTAACTAGAGCTCGCGAAGAGCAGACTCGAGAAAACCAGGCTGGTTTTCGACCTGGACGTGGTTGTATAGACCACATCTTCACACTACGACAGGTCCTGGAACACAGACACACATTTAGACGTCCGACGTTAGTCGTGTTCCTGGACCTTAAGGCAGCATTCGACTCAGTGGATCGTGAGGTTCTGTGGCAGTGTCTGTCATTGAAAGGTGTACCAAAGAAGTACATTAACCTTATACAAGCACTCTACTCGAACACCACTGGTCGGGTGAGAGCATATGGCGAACTGTCATCTGAATTCTCTACATCAAGTGGTGTCCGTCAGGGCTGCCCACTCTCTCCATTCTTGTTCAACTTTGTCGTAGACATCCTCTTAGAGTTAACATTAAGCTCGTCAGATTTTTCAGGGGTTACCTTCTACCAGGAAAGTCGCTTACTGATCTAGAATATGCCGATGACATAGTTCTATTCGGTGAAGACGCTGACAAAATGCAGAGTCTTCTGACTACCATAAGCAACAATGCGAGCATGTTCGGGATGCGGTTTTCCCCCTCGAAATGCAAAATGTTGCTTCAAGACTGGGTTGCATTGGCACCTGAACTAGTGATAGGGAGTGAAGTAGTCGAGCGTGTTGATCACTTCACTTATCTGGGGAGTCTCATCAGTGCTGACGGTCTGGTGACTGACGAAATCTCAGCTCGGATACAGAAAGCTCGATTGGCTTTTGCCAACCTGCGTCACTTATGGCGTAGGCGTGATATCCGTTCGCTGACCAAAGGGCGGGTGTACTGCGCAGCAGTTCGTTCCGTTCTCTTATATGGCTGTGAAACATGGCCGTTAAGAGTAGAAGATTTTCGTAGGTTACTAGTATTCGATCATAGATGTTTAAGAAGCATTGCTCGTATATCGTGGGACAGCCGAGTAAGCAATGCTGTCGTTAGGAAACGAGTACTAGGTAAGGATGGCAGATCAATCGATGAAGTGGTGAAACTTCATCAGTTGAGGTGGTTGGGACATGTGTTACGTATGCCTAACCACCGACTGCCTCGACGAGCTATGTTTTGTGGTGTAGGAGTAGGTTGGAAGAAAGTTAGGGGCGGCCAGACCAAAACGTGGCAGAAATCCATGAAGTCCCTGACAAGTGGACTGAGTCATGTTGGTAGATGTAGACTACCTGGTTGGGGTCCGCGAGACGAAAGTCATCAATGGTTAGAGACCTTGAACGACATGGCTCAAAATCGTTTGCAATGGCGCAGGTGCATCCACTCTTTGAGCTCTCTTAAATCCTAATCTTCTGGATTAGCCAGCACCTCTACCTTTGTCTTTCTAACCTTATCTCACTGAATTATATTTTTTGAATAATATCTTAAACCCTAGTCTTCTTTATTATAACATTAATACCTCTACCATCTTTATCACCATGGGATTTGATTTGACATTTGCGTCTCTGTGCTAATAATGTGGTATGGCAACATGAACTTATGTACATACGTACGAAGTTCTACGTTGCAACTGACTGACTGACTGATCGACTTAGCTAGTGTCCAGATAGCTAGCCACTTTTGCAACGAGTATGAGTTCTAATTTAATTTGAAATTGGTCGAATTATTCCGTTGTGTCATGATGACTATATCGAGGCAATCCGCATAGAATACCGATAAGCCAACCAAGACTGATCAAATTTCAGACAAAACATCAACAGTGAGATAATCGAAACGATGCTAAATTGAATGAAGTCTTTGAGGTTTTGTTCATTTTCGGTATTTGTAGTCTCACCGACGATCTTCTTTAACGCATATCGATGATTTAGAGTTTCTTGTAAAGTACTTTGTTGTAAACGCGGCTACGTAAATCTTCAGTCCTAACGGCGTCCAATTCAAATATCACAAAACGACCCAAAAGGCTTTCCCAAATCTCCTAGAAATCAGAACGTAACACCGTGGAAGGAAGATGTTTATTGGGTCGAAAACAGAAGAAGAAGTAGGTAGGGGAAACGGAATTATTAAGTCTTCCAGATAGCGCGTATTTATACACTAAGGTCGAATAAGAAAAAGCATCAACGTCCGTGACATTGACAATTTAGGACGACCAATGGAAAAGAATATTTGAATGACATTGACCGTCCAGATGACCAATAAGAGGTAACATTGAAGTATTTGACCCTGACGGTAAGAACGATCAAAATTTCGGCCAATAGAATTCGACCAATAGGATTGCAGTTCTAAAAATAGTATTCTTAGGATATTTGGTGAATATCCTAACACCTCCCTCTGGAAGAAAAAAAGGAAAAAATACATAACAGCGACGCAGCCGAGGGTTTACTTGAAATCATTTGATTTTCTTCGCTTGCGTTTCGACCACCTCGGAGATAAAATCCCTGGAGCTGTAGGATGTTCTGTTTGAGTAGATGACTCGATAGTGTCTGTTGGAGGTATTGGCGGAACTTGATAAGTATCCAACAGCAAACAGAGTGGGAGGCGCTTCGTAATTTTACCTTTCTCTTTATCTCCCCCTGGCCTTAGTTGATCACGAGGTCTTTTGGTATTTGAAAGGCTTTTCATGATATCCTTATCATTCACTAGCTTCACTTCGACGCTTGAAGATTTACAAGAAAGAATGGAGTCACGTGAATATCTTTGTCTGTTTATTGTATCATGTTTTTCTCCATCACCCCAGTCTGCTTTATCTTGGGACTTGACATGCATGGTGACGTCACACAAGTTATCTGAGATCACATTTTCTTCAGGCATGGCAACTGGCTGCAGTCCGATACCAGGCTGAAGCGGTTCAGTGAGTCGTTTTTGAAAATCTGCAGCATGCTGTTGTGTAACGGCAGGAGTTTTTACTTGATTGCAGACAGTATTGATGGGAAGATCAGCGAGACCAAGTTTTTCGAACCAATCTAACCCCAGAAGGTTGTGAGGAGACTTGTTGATATAGCATGTTCCATTGAAGGTTGTATCTCTGAACGAAACACAGCAATCAAGTTTACCACGAAGACGAAGGTGACCCCTACAGGCACTGACAACTATCTGCGATGATGGTTTGATGCGTGGTTGACCCAAGGTTCGCCAAGTCTCTTCTGACAGAATAGTGATATCTGATGCAGTATCCAACTGCATTCGAACCAGCTGACCATTCATCGAGAGGGTCAGAAATTTGCGTCGAGTAGAAGCATCGGTGTGGAAGACTGCTGCTAAACTCCTAGATGCAGCAACCGGCTTTTTGGAATAACGACGCTGCGACTGTGAATTTCGCCGGCCAGTGAATCGGGTTGATTGGCAAAAACCGCTTTTATGACCAATTTTCTGACAGCGATTGCACACATGCTGCTTGAATGGACAAAATTTCACATAATGCCAGTCTCCACAGTGCCAACATGGTGAGGGGGGCTTCTTATGCGTTGATTTTGAGTGATTAGAAACAGAACTGGCATTCGAACGACCAAAGTTTTTCGATCTAGAAGATTTGTTCTGCTGCTGAACAATGTGAACTTCGGAACCACCCTGGCTCCCAGACTGAACCAAAGTGGTGTCACACTGTAAGTTGGTGATGCGTTGATACTCATCAGCGATAGCATCGAGTGTCAGTGTTGGGTCTTGTTCGAGGCGGTTAAGCGATCGAGTTCTGATGTCGGAGAATTTGGGTGATTGTAGACTGCATATGAATATGAGTGATTTGAATTGGTCATCAGTAAGGGATCTGTGTTTGAACCGTTCACACTCGCGGTTGACAATACCAACATGAGTCAAGAAGTCATCGGACTCCTTCATGACTAGTTTTAAACAACGATAACGTGTATTGAAAATAGAATGCTGATCCCCAAAAAGTTTGCTCAGGGACTGAACCGTAGCATCGAATGATCGGTCACGCGGGTTCTGAGGTAGGATGAAGTTGCGATACTTGTCCAGTTCTGACGGACCAAGTTTTCGAAGGAGAAGACGCACCTTCCAGGAATCATCTTTGTCAGCAAAATCAACTTTGAAAAGATCTTCATAACGCATGAACCAAGTATCAAATGTAATATTGGCGTCAGGATCATACAGAAACTCAGAAATACTACTGGTCATACCATCAACTGACTGAGGAATTGTTGGTGTAGATGAGACTTGAGAAGAGATGTGCGTCTGAGTAAGCATCTCCATCAGCTTCAGCTGCTGTGCAAACAATTTTTCTAATGTAGCTGGATCCATATTTAGTCACCAACCCGTCGCCAAATTTGTTGTAAACGCGGCTACGTAAATCTTCAGTCCTAACGGCGTCCAATTCAAATATCACAAAACGACCCAAAAGGCTTTCCCAAATCTCCTAGAAATCAGAACGTAACACCGTGGAAGGAAGATGTTTATTGGGTCGAAAACAGAAGAAGAAGTAGGTAGGGGAAACGGAATTATTAAGTCTTCCAGATAGCGCGTATTTATACACTAAGGTCGAGTAAGAAAAAGCATCAACGTCCGTGACATTGACAATTTAGGACGACCAATGGAAAAGAATATTTGAATGACATTGACCGTCCAGATGACCAATAAGAGGTAACATTGAAGTATTTGACCCTGACGGTAAGAACGATCAAAATTTCGGCCAATAGAATTCGACCAATAGGATTGCAGTTCTAAAAATAGTATTCTTAGGATATTTGGTGAATATCCTAACATACTTAAACTTATTGTTAAAAATATCAGCCATTTTGCAGGATGTCGCCTCTCTTTTCTCCACGATAAGAACAAATATAGCGTACGTAATGCGTAGAATTACGTATTTTCTTTTCATGTTACACGTTAGGATTGAAAATAAAAATCTCCCAGAAGAACAAATGATGGAAGTATTTCGAACTTTAATGGTTCAAATTAGCTGCTAACATGTCGCTGAACAATAACTAATTAACTTCGATCTGGGTAACCTATATATCCTTGCACCATGAAACAATATCATTTGCAAGCCGATAATTTTTTGAGTAATTTCAATTCACATACTAAACTTATTTTCATAATCATAAAAGTGTTACTCTATATTTTCAAATAGGATTATTTCTCAGGCTCAAATGGAAGCACTTCAGGCTATAAAGGAGCGCGATCGAGCATTAGAACAATTGTCCGATTATGTTAAATCATTTAATAACCGCGTTCAGGATGCTGAGAAAGCAGGTTTGTTTTGAAATTGCAGTTTGATCGATTCATATCTAATTATTAAGCCATTCTTCAAGTATAAGGGCAATCGATAACCATGTACGGATGTATTTAACTGAGTCTCCCTTTGTTTCCCGTTCACTTAGTCCCTATCATTGATACGAATTCATATTAGTCGCTAAAGCTGTCAAATGTCAGAGCATAATGTTCAACTTTTGGTCAAACAAAGTCATAATGTCAATCATACTGTTGTGATTATAGCTCTCAACTTAAGGCACTAAGTTTTATTTAGGCAGTAAACATTGTTTTATTCTAAAGAAACAGCTATATCGTCAGTGCCTACTGGAAAAACTTTAGTCGAGGAATATTTTCATCCTATTCAAGGAAACCCGTAATTTACTGTATTTATGGAAATATATGTATATTGCAGTGCAGAGCATAACTCTGCCCCACATCTTACATTAAATGTCTTATAATTGTACATTGGTAAAATCATAACTGCATTTGTAAAGCCAATTTATAATCTTGTTGATTTGTCTTAATTGATTTTTAGTTCTAACCGAATTATCAGAACTTCGAGAAGCTAACAAAATTTTGAATCTATCTTTACATGATGAACAAAAGGTTAGTTATTTTCATTGAGTAAAACTAAACAAACATTACTGTTCACCTTATTCCTGAAAGTATGAGATTATTAATAACCTTAATAGTTCGGTGACAACCTTTTTAGTTGCAGTCCTGGGTGACATTTATTCAGACATCTAAAGACGTATCACTCTTCCCAAGGTTACAAATTCACCTTGCTCAATAGTACCAAACAGCATAAAATGTATGTTCACGTCTAATTGCTTAACATTAGAGTGATTTGATTCAAATTTAATAATTAATTAGTATAGGAGTGAGTTTTGTGAAGAAATGTACACTAAATACTAGTTATAAAATTTAAAATACTAAGCTGAAAAATAATTTCCTTTATACACAACACATATATAAGATTCCTCCTATATAAAATATTATTCTAAATAATTTGTCAATCTTTTCATAGGTGGATATAATTCTATCCGAAAAATGTTCAAAAGCCTACAATAAATAAGTAATACGGTCCATAGTCTCTTAGAGTTAGATTTTTCCTTACAACTTGTGCATAACTATTGAGTTGTTTGTGTAAATTATTCAACCTAAATAATAATAATATGTCTATGATTGAGGTTAATTAACAAGTTGTTAGTTAATCAAGAATAAATATGAAGATAGCAAAGTAACTAATAATCATTTCGTTCTTTATATAATAGCAGCGCTACGTACTCTGTCGATTTCCAATATCTACATAGTCAACCGCAGACACATGTTGAATATATTAATGAATGGCTATCAATGCGCATAGCAATAATGTTTTTTCTTCGTCATTTATAAAAATACTTGAATTATTTTATAATAATATTTTCCATTAGGCGATTCCTAAAGTAGTATTATGCTATTAATTATTTTTACACATTTGAAATCATCAATCAATGATTGTTAGACCACCATTAGAAACCTGGAAGCACTGGACGACCGTTTCGTTCTGGTATGGGACTCATCAGCAGTGCGTATCCACGACCCCTGCACCTCGCAGGATTTGAACCGGGGACCTTCGGTATTGCGCGTGAACACCTAACCACTGGGCCGGCATCGAAGGTCCCGGGTTCGAATCCTACGAGGTGCAGGGGTCGTGAATACGCACCGCTGATGAGTCACATACCAGGACGAAACGGCCGTCCAGTGCTTCCAAGTTTCTAATGGTGGTCTAACAATCATTGATTGATGATTTCAAATGTGTAAAAACACAAACGCATAACTACTTATCTCTCCCTACCTATCTCTCTTATGAATTGATCATAGGAATATGTTTAAGTCAGGAATAAATCTGTTTGGTTTTACTTATTCAAGTTTATTACTATAATTCTGTGTATAAACTATACTTTTATGGGAAGAAGCGGAAGGGATTCTGTGTGTATTTTCCACTGCCTTTTTTTCTTTAGTTTGTTCAGTCCTGGTAAGTTTGGGAATTCATGTTTTGACTGTATGAGGAAAGAATTTTTTTCTCTAACCTTTTATCAGCGTACACATTACTTACGATCTTATAATTTGTTCAGCTCATTTGTTCTGTGGAAATTCATCCCTTAAAAAGATTATTCAAACACCACGAAATTGATTCTTCTATATCATTGAGAATTTTGCAAATTTAATTTCTCTCATAATTAGTAAAACGTTATCAAATAATTTAGACAAGATTCATCTTTCAAGTACTTGTTCAAGATATATTTTCTTTCGATTTTTCAATTACCTAACCCGTTACAAACCAACCTGTTTTTTTTTAATTATAAATATTTAATTTATTCCAATGGTAATTCGAATCTATCAAAGTTAATATTCTCACGAATCCCTTTAACATCACTTTCAGATTCAAATAATACTTAACTTTTCAATTTACTTTTCGTATTAGAAATTACAAGAATGTTCAGATCAATTAAAAAGTGAAAAACAAGCCAATAATGATCTCGAAAAAAAATATACAGACGAAACTACACTTTTAAAAACGGAGCTTTATGAGACAAATATGAAACTTAATAAAGCTTTGACGGAACTACGTCGTGCTGAACGTCGTATTGACCGGGAAATTAATGAAAGAAAACTACAGGTGACTTTAAATTTTTTTATTTCCTTTCCATTATTTGTAAAGAGATCCGTACAGTCATCAATTGAATTATCCTAATTATCATATTTGATAAGATGTGAGCAGTTTTACTAATTAAAACATCGTCTGGATAAAACTAGCGTTTTTCTCAGTAACAGACGTATTGTGAACTTCAAATGATACTTTAGAGGAGGTAAAATTCAAACATTCTCAATTTTTATGTTACAGTTTTTATAAAAATTCCATTTCATATTCTGAATTACTCCTGCCATTACGAAATTAAAGTAAGTAGTATGTAGTGGAGCGTCTCTTAGGAGTCGCTACCGGAGAGTGTAGTGATTGCAGACCGAAATGCATGGTGCGATCAAACTATATCGAAAACCATAAGAGATGTGCGAGCTTGTATTTCAAATGGATGGCTGAAAATTATGTGTATATATTTTGTACATAAACTGTCTTAAATATTACACATATATATTCCACGTGATCTGGGCTTCTTCGTACGTTACACCAGTGTTTTAAAAACAAATGTTAATATTTCTTCTGTTAACAATACAATTCTATGTCATCACAAGCCTCGATAAACTAATTTTTAAGTATTTTTAACCATATGCTTCCGTTATAATGTTAAGTAGTGGGATGACAGTTTATACTTGCGTGGTTGGATAATTAAGAAAACTACCTGTGAACTCCTCACTTACTGGACACCAATATCGATAGAATAGCTCCTTGCAGTTTGTCAAACCCGTCATTTTATATACTCCGAATACTCATACCCAGACACTACCTTCAATTCATTGTTAGCTGGCATAAGTTTCGGAAGGAAAGGGGCTTTTGATAACAAGATATGACACCAAATAATGTAATCATTGTCGATCGGATCCGAATGCCCCAAATTTTTAGAGGGATCTATAAAACTCCACAAGCCGAATCGTATGATGTAGCTCAAAAACTACCAGCAGCGGTGCAGATAATTCACTATCCGTTTTCCCCATCTCTCAGGTATATCCATGCCATTTCTTAATTTTTCACCGTTTTAAATTTTTTTAATTTTACTTCATACATGTGTTAAGTTCAAGACGAAGAACATTCGTCCTAGGTTCTGGTTAGTTTCTTATTTAGTCAGTTCTGTGCTGTAAGATTTATCGAATGTTGTAACTGTACATTGAACGCATACCTTCTACTTCCAAAAAAGATTATGACTTGACCTCTGTATAATATCAAATTACGATCTCAAAACAGTGAGATGTACCTATATGCATATTGATTTCAAAGTATTTAACAACTGTTCATCATGATAATTTTATCCCTGGTTTTTTTTTTCGTGGGTCCAACATATAGGTCAATAATATCGAAAATACCTACAAGTCCAAAATCCAAACTCTAGAGAATGCACTTCATTCGTTTTATCCAGAATCCTATCGTTGCTATGGCAACAATATAGCAAAGCCATCAAATTTTATGAAAAAAATGACAAGTCCAGTAGTACCCACATTCCCAAATCATATTGGCAAGTCTATTTCAAATTGTTTAACTTTACCACATTTTAGATCTCGATGAATCAATACGTAAACTTGATCACCTTGCTGATCGACTGAACAGCGACTTATCAAGTGATTCAGATGCTGAAAAAGATAATGACCAGTGACTCTTAGAATCATAAAAGTTGTGTACATCTTCCTGTTCTAGTTTGTTTTCAACATAGTACAAAACATTGAAGGTACGTTAACAAAAGTAATGTTAATATACATATAACAAGTGGAGGATTTTCTACATGCAATATTGATTTATTTATAAAGTTTTTAATACAGTGGGCTTATCAGAAATTGCCAAATGACGTGTGTCATTGGCCAAAGAACTACTTTCTCTTTGTAAGGTTGAGACATGAACCATTGATAAGCCTAATTTCCTAGTGAGGAGACATAAACGAGTGAACATAAAATCGATTCAGTTTGGTAAAATAAACTTTCTTCTTTAATCTCTGTCTTTTCTTTCCAGTATCCGGACCCGTGCATAGGTGTGTATCAGTATCAACTCTAGGATAACCGTTACCTGACTCGCTTGTAAAATAACGGATTACTATACTGTATAGTTTCGTTCAAGTAGTAATCAAGATGTTGAAGTGCACCAATGAAAAAACACTCCTGTTACATTATGAAATTACAGCAAGAATAAAACCATTAATTGAAAAATAATTATCCTGAACTTCGATTTCTGTTTGTATTTTAATGGAATGGGACCAAGAAAATAATAAATACGCACGTCTAGATATATTAGTCTAGTTGTTATCTACTGTGAAAAATCTCAGTATACAAACAGCTTTATCTACTTAAGTGAGTACTCACACCGCGTATTTGCTAAATGATTTCAAGGGCCGTCAAATATGATAAGTGACAGTTAATTTACATACCACCTAATGCGTCAACTTTTGCCACAACGTTGTATTCACAAAACTACGTCTAAACAAGGCAGTTTTTCCTAGAACTTTCACGCGAGTTTTCTTAAACTGAAATTTTGTAGACTAGGAGTTTATCTAGATATTATGTGTGAAAAATTTTCAATTGAATGGATGCAAATCTAATCAACACTTCGAAAATTTTAGCTTATTCTTTGACAGCTCATAAATTATCGGCTTCATTTGAAAACACTTGAGTAAATAAGTCTTGCAACTCACGATTTTTGTGTTGAAAAATTCTTAATTAGCAAATACTTCTCATCGTAATTTTTAACTGCTCTACATTAATATTTACAAATAAGTGCATGCTTTTATTAGCAAATTTCAAAATATGTACTGTTTTAAGTAAGTATCTGCAGAATCGTAAAGCCTTTATTGGGTTGTCTTCAGATTTATTTGTATTGATGAAGTGATTTTATTGTCCTAAAAAGAATTCTTCGGTTGACAAAGTGTTCATGATTAGTTGAGTAATATCCGCAACAGAGTTACTAGCATCAATAATAAGGTATTTTTCGTCTACTCCAAATGACTCTAATGTTTCTAGCTGGCTTTCTATAAGTGAAGGGTGTGCAAAATGTCCTTCACGTTCACTGACCCGTTTCTGTAACAGACTTTTGTTAGCATTTAGCAACACAAAAAGTGTTCTAGTTTGATCATTCACATCGCTGCTACTGGATAAAATATTTCGATAAGACTTTTTCAAAGCACTGCATGCTAATATTGCATTCTTATGTTGCATTAACTCATTTCTTAGTGACTGAAGCCATGGTAAACGGTCTTCATCACTCAATGGAATCCCCATAGATAATTTTACTCGATTACTGTCAGGATGATAGCCGTCACCTTCTATGAACGGCCAGTTAGTTTGAGTAGCCAACGCATTTCCTACTGTTGATTTTCCGCAACCACATGGTCCCATAATCACAATGATCATGCTGGTTTATATCATATTGGGCCTATAAGTGAATAATTAAATTAAGCGATTAGTATTTTGTTTTTATTACTGACACAAAAATATGTATAGTGACCTTAACCTCTCTTTGTGTTCGATCTCGAGGTAACCAAACAGAGGGGAAACTCCACAAGAAAATTTGGCGTAAGCTTAGGCGAAAATACAATCGACTAATTATTCTAAGTGCCCTGGAATAATAGCCATCTTTCGAACTCCAACCCTTCATGATATATTTTTCGCCGAAATTCAGATCGAACTGTAGCTGTTACCTTGACGTGGTGGTCGAAGTTGCCTATCGTGACGACCCAACCGAGCTATATTGGCTGGAACATATGTTCCTGAAGGTTCTACCATCCCAGGCTGGTCGATTGGAGAACGATGAGACTAGAAGCAGCCACTCAGGTCTGATGGTGAAGTCATACTGCTGACTGCAGAGAGGTGTGACAGCAGTAAGGTGTTTCCCTCGGACAACCAGCATCTGCAGCAATGCTGCCTTCTCACAAGGAAGGAAGGGTTAGAAAAGGTCGGCCCTAAAAATGTCACACCTCCCCTAACTCACGGATTTCCGTCTCCTTGGGTAAGGGTGCCCACTAAGGGCCTTTAAGAACGGAGCTAATCCTCAAAAAACCCTTCATAAAAAGGCCGTGCGTGACCGCTCTCTAAGACCGACACAAATCTACCTTCTTTTTCAGGTCCCTCATGAAACAACCTTCCATGGTGTGGGCAGCTGGGAAGTGACAACCTCCCTCATACCCATAACAGCACACGAGACCAAATTGGTCAAAAGCAAATCCTTTCTACACCCCCTAATATCTCTCTTATCTCCACGACTAACTCTTCTCACATTCATTTATCACAGTGCACAGCTAATGCAAACGATGCGAGTTCGCGAAACGTCGTTCCTGGTCTCCTTAAACCTCGCTCTAGACTACATGTTGGAGCATTTAATGTACGGACATTGTGTCAAGTAGGGCAACAGACTTCATTAGCTAGGACTTTAGAATCTCGCGCCATCGATGTATGCTACGTCTCCGAAACGCGCATACAGAATCCGAGTAGCGTCATTCACTTGACCTCACCATGTCAAGATAAAGGAGCAATTCGATTCACCCTCCGTATATCTGGAAGCCCTGCTGCTGCTTCCCAGAGGTCTCACTGGTGTAGGTATAGCATTGAGTCCTAGGATAGAACTAGCGCTCCTAGACTGGATTTCAGTAGATAGCCGCTTGTGCACTGTCCGACTAAACGGGACAGCAAGGATTCAGAAATATAGGGACACTCGCCGTTGCCTCTTCGTCGTATGCTGCCTACGCCCCCACTGACTGTGGTTCAGACGATGCGAGAGATAAGTTTTACAGAAAGCTTTCGGACCTCCTCCAAAAAGTTAGGCACTCTAATATAGTAATAATGGCTGGTGACTTTAATGCTCAAGTAGGTAGACTTAGCGAAAATGAAAGACACCTCGGTGGATCTTATGGTCTCGAGGCTAATAGAACAGATAATGGTGACCGTCTGTTGCAGCTATCCACAGATAACCGCCTATTTCTAGCAAATACTAACTTTAGGCATAAGAAAAAGCAACTCTTGACCTGGTAACCCTCAAAGTCGTCACAAGACCCGACCCAACTAGATCACATTGCCATCAATCACCAATGGAGAAGTTCGATAGAGGATTGTTGCTCGTCCTGGGGCACATGTTCAGATTCAGATCATGCTCTACGGCGAGCGCGTATCTGTTTGCGACTTACTGGACGTAGGAAAGAAACCTCCTAGGGTTCTACCTAATGATAGCAGAGCTATGAATATATTTCAGGAACAACTAGAAAAACAGTTAGGCGGCCATGTAGTAAGTGATGCCCACAATGAGTCAGATTGGAATGATATCCAAAAAGCTGTGAAAACAGTGATATCTGCTAGTAAGGTAAACCATAAGGCTAGGAAGAAGCCGTGGATCTCAGTAGCATCTACGGAACTGATGGATGCTTGACAACTCATCCCACCTGGCTCTAAAAAGAGCGAAGTCAGCTTAAGCGCAGGCTGATAAAAGGCCTAAGCAACGACCGCGAACAGTGATGGGTGGCGAAAACGAGAGAGATGGAGAAGGCAGCAGCGTTAGGCAACTATTCATACTCATCAACGAAACCGGTACTAGGAACCTGAATGTAAGTGAGACTATTTGGGGAAAGGATGGTCTTATTATATTCATCCTCAATCCAGGAGATTGAATCGATGGGCAGAACACTTTAGGGATCAGTTCAACTGGCCCTCAGCCACACTTCGGTTGCCCACGACCTCCAGTCAACCTGAATGGCAAATTGACGTAAGTCCTCAGAGTTTTTACGAAGTTCAAAAAGCTAAGGTAAATATGAAGCGAGGACGAGCCTCAGCGCCTGCCAGGCTTAACTCAGAGATTTTTTAAGATGGTGGTCCAGTTTTGGCAGTAAAATTGACTGAGATCTTAGGTAGAATCTGGGAACCGGACGTAATCCCATCCAACTGGTCTCAATCACTGATTGTCCCAATTTACAAGAGAGGATAAAAGTCTTCTTGTGACAATCACAGAGAAATCAGTCTAACTAATATAGTTTCTAAACTGTTAGCCTCGATAGTTCTAGACTCGAGAAAACTAGGCTGGTTTCAGACCTGGACATGGCTGTATAGACCACATTTTCACACTACGACAGGTCCTGGAACATAGACACAAATTTAAGCGTCCGACAATAGTCGTCTTCCTGAACCTTAAGGCGGCATTTGATTCAGTGGATCGTGAGGTTCTGTGGCAGTGTCTGTCGTTGAAAGGTGTACCAAAGAAGTACATTAACCTCATACAAGCTCTCTACTCGAACACCACTGGTCGGGTGAGAGCCTATGGCGAACTGTCATCGGAATCCTCTACTTCAAGTGGCGTCCCTCAGGGCTGTCCGCTCTCTCCATTCTTGTTTAACTTTGTCGTAAACATGCTTCTAGAGTTGACAGTATCATCGTCTGAATTTTCAGTAGCAGACCTTCTACCAGGTGGCTCGCTTATTGACTTAGAATATGCCGATGACATATTTCTATTTGGGGACGTCTCTGATGAAATGCAGGGTCTTCTGACCACCCTAAGCAACAATGCAAGCATGTTCGGGATGCGGTTTCCCCCCTCGAAATGCAAAATTTTGCTTCAAGATTGGCTTGTATCAGTACCTGAACTAGTGATAGGGAGTGAAGTACTCGAGTGTCGACCGCTTCTCTTATATCTGGAGTTTCATCAGCGCTGATGGTCCGGTGACTGATGAAATTTCAGCACGGATACAGAAAGCTCGATTGGCTTTTGCCAACCTTCGTCATTTATGGTGTAGGAAAGATATCCGTTTGGTAGCCTAAGGTCGAATGTACTGCGCAGCAGTTCGCTCCGTCCTACTATATGGACGCAAAACATGGCCGGCAAGAATAGAAGATATTCGTAGATTACTAGTATTCGATTATAGATGTCATAGAAGCATTGCTCGTGTGTCTTGGAACAACCTAATAAGCAATACTTTCGTTAGGAAACGAGTACTAGGTAGGGATAGCAAATCGGTAGATGAAGTAATCAAACTTCATCAGTTGAGGTGGTTGGGACATGTGTTACGAATGCCAAACCACCGACTGCCGCGAAGAACTATGCTTTGTGGTGTAGGAGCAGTTTGGAAGAAAGTAAGGGGCGGCAAGACCAAAACATGGCACAAATCCATGAAGTCACTGACAAGTGTACTGGGTCATGTTGGTAAATGTAGACTGCCTTGTTGGGGTCGGCGAGACGAAGGTCACTGATGGTTAGAGACCTTGAGCGACATGGCTGAGAATCATTTGCAATGGTGTAGGTGCATCCACTCTTTGTGTTCTCTCAAATTCTAATCTTTTGGATTTCTCAGCACCTCTACCTTTGTCTTTCTAACCTTATCTCACTGAATAATACATCTTGAATGATATCTTCAAATCCTAATCTTCTCCATTGCCAGTAATATTTCTACTATCTCTACCACCATACGGTTTGCGTCTCACTGCTAATGTGGTATGACAACCTGAACTGATGTACTTACGGACGAAGTTCTACGTTGTAACTGACTGATTGACCGTTTACCTTTTGCAAATATATCTATGGTGTTTACGATTATCTCCCGAAGACAATAAGCTTCTATATGAAGTCAATCCGAGTGAAAATATCAATAAATGCATGGAAAATAAATTATTTAAAAAATTAGGTTACAGTATAAAAGATTGATGAGTTGGTATCAAGCCTTCGTTGTCACACAGAAGTACGATAATTGTTCACTTTAAAGTGGAATAAAAATCGCAGATTTCGAGTGCCATGAGAAACTTGAATAAGATTGTGACAAGAAGGGATATCTGGTGAAATCAAGCAATACGAAATAATTGCAATTGTACGTCGTTACTTGCATTATCTTCCTTTCCAGAAGTCTTAAATTCAGTTCATTCCCCATGTCATGAAAGAAACCTTACTCTGGGATGCCATGTGTTTTAAGACATCTGGTGAGAAAGACGATGTTAAAACGCCTAGCGCCAAACCCTCACTCCTAACTTCAACATAGTGACCTCGTATTATTCGACAAAAACTAACACTCAATCTTCTCGAAATATGACATAACCATATTCATCGGTCCTATTACGTAGATGATGGTGTAATGTCCGGTATTCGCTAAGTTCATGTGAGTCTGAAGGTACTTTGTGCGCTTGGGGAGTGTATGGATCAGTATGTTAGACTATGTCTAAGAGAAAAAATACAAAAGTGTCTGCAATTCAGTAGACAGAGAAAACGCACTTACATTGAATAAAGAAGGTAATCTAGAACAATCTGAAATATCAGAACCAGGGGATAAAGACGAAGTGATGATCAAAACTAGAAGTTGACAGTATATAGTTTTCAATATTACGTTAAAATGCCCAAGGTCAAATTAGCCTCTTTTTCGTTACTGCGACCTAGAAATCCTCAGTCCAATATCCAATATCTTTTTCACGAGCTAGTGTAAATCAATTTGATTTCTTCGCGCTCGATTCTTGTTCTTTCGGTACGGTTCCAGGTGTTCGGTAATGTCCAATGGATGGAGGTCTAGCCACTCGACTATCTGATTCTAGTCAGTTGGCAGTTGGTTGTGAGTTTGTATGTCTCGGGATTTGAATGAAACGTTTGTTTCAGGGCAGTAGGGTTTCTGGATACTAGCAGCCGTCACATTACCAAACCGGAGATCAGTTAGTTGCAATGTGGAGAGTAATAAGGGTAAATTAAAATGATAATATGAGTAAAATTTCAGAACTGAGTAATATATAGATGAATTTAGTTAATTAATTGGTAGTGAAGATTGTGAGAGAGGACCGAAGTGTAAGCAAGGGAGAGGAATAGGCGAGATAGATTAATTAAGTGATCTGAGGAGATGGCAATGGTAACAACTAGCAGGTCTCAAGATGTGCATCAGGCACAGCTTGTCCAAGAGGGAGATGATAGTCCGTATGTGAGTATGTGATTATCAAGTCTCTTCTTAAAGCAGTCCACTGAGGGGGCTGTGATTACCTCGGCTGGGAGAGCATTCCAAGTTGCGACGACTTGCAATGAGAAAAAGTGTGCACGAATCTGAGTGTTTGCTCTTTGATGTGCAATCTTTTGAGGATTGCCTCGAGGGGAGTGGTGGTGATGCATTGGTAAGATGCTCACATTGGGATGGTTTGGCGTGTTTAATATGGTGTACGCCATAATCAGGTCACCTCTGATTCTCCTGTAGCTCAGTGGGAATAATCCCAAGAGCTGGAGTCTATCGTCGTAGGGTTTATTTTTCAACCCTATCACCCATTTGGTTGCTCGTCTCTGCACTCGATCCAAGAGATTAATGTCTCTTTTAAGCAGAGGGGGTGCGATGACGTTGTGAACCTCCAGGTGTGGGCGCGCGTATGTCCTAAAGAGGGTTAAAAATAATTTCGGGGTTACAACACCAAGCTGTCTTCGCATAAAGTGAAGAGTCGCATTTGCCTTGGCTGCATCCCCTACATAGTTCGGACTCGTGTGGAGGCTTTCTGTGGTTATTAAACCAAGATCGCGCTCTGAGGAGACATTAGGGAGCGGACTTCCATTGAGAGTGTAGGTGGTTTGCGTCATATGAGGCAGGAAATGCATGACGTGGCACTTCGGTTGGTTGAGTTTTAAACCGTTTTTCACTGCCCATTTCTCAATGGATGTAAGGTCCTCTTGAAGCTCAGTCGAATCCTCTTCGCTTCTAATGGACCTCCAGATCTTCGCATCGTCTGCGTAGATCAGTGCCGGTGAGCTAACTAAGCTTAGCAGGTCGTTAATAAATATCAGGAAGAGGAGTGGGCCTAGGATGGTCCCCTGTGAAACTCCTGAAGTGGATACTCTCCAACTCGCGTGCACCCTGTTTACCTTAGTGCGAAACTTTCTATCCTCAAGGTAGTTTCTGAGCCAAGATACGAGTGGGTCAGTGAACCCCATTTCCACAACCTTTTCGATTAGGCGTGCGTGGGACACTGTGTCAAAGGCTTTTTCGAAGTCGAGAAATACTACGTGCACTGGTATTTTAAGGTCCAAACAGGATGTCCAACTGTCTCATCCGAAGAGAAAATTAGATGCACACGACCTGCCTTACCGAAACCTGTGTTGAGTTTCATTTAGTATTTTATTCTTATCCATGTACTCCCTCACTTATTCGTCCACTAGTCCTTCCGCAACCTTTGATAATATAGGTAGTAGTGCGACTGGTCTGTAACAGGCTGGGTCCTTTCTATCTCCTCCTTTGAAGATTGGAGAGAGAGTAGCTTGTTTCCATTCCGCTGGGAATTGGTGTGACTCCAGTGAATGCACGAACAGGTTGCATAACGGTGAACAGAGGGCTTCAGCGCACTGTTGCCAGACTATAGGGCGGATGTTGTCACAACCTGGTGACTTACCTGGGCGTAAGGATTTTAGTTTCCTTAATACTAGGTCAGGAGTGATACGGATGTTCCCTAAGCCGTCAGCTGGTATTGGGTTGGCGTAATACTCTGAACATGTAGGCGCCTGGTCCAAGGGAAGCATCACTCATATAATGTTCTTGACGTTGATTGAACGTGTGTCAGCTTGCATCAGTTCGAAGTTTAAGCTTAGTTACGTAGATAACTGATGCCTAGAGTTCTAAAAATAGTGAAAATCACTTAAAGTATGTTCTTTTTGACGTGAAAAATTATATCCAATATTTTGAATATCTTTGTCACGAGCTAGTATAAACCAATTGATTCCTTTGAGCTCGATGCTTGCTCTTTTGGTTCCGTTTCAGGTGTTCGGTAGTGACCAGTGGGTGTGGGTTTAACCTGTCCAATTTTAGTTAGTTGGCAGTTGTTTGTGAGTTAGTATGACCCGAGATTTGAATGAGTACGTTTGTTTCAAAAATATATGGTTTCTGAAGACCAACGTCACCAGGCCTCAAGTCAGTGCAGAATAATAAGGGGAAAAGTCTGATGTTAATAATAAGATTTCAGATCTAAGTAAATAAATGGATAACTTGGATAATTAATTGGTAGTGAAATTGTGCGAGGGAACCGAAGTGAAAGCGAGGGAACAGAGACTGAGATAATTAGCGAAATAGATTAAGTTAGCTATCTAAGAGGATGCCAATAATAACAACCAGCCGCCATCAAAACATACATCAGGTACAGCTTGCCCAAAAGGGAGTTAATAATCGACATGTGAGTGTGTTTACGTAGTCCACTGAGAGGGCTGTGGTCACCTCAGCTAGGAGAGCATTCCAGGTTGTAACGACTCTTAATGAGAAAAAGCGTGCACGAAGCAGGGTGTTCGCTCTTTGCTGCGCGATTTTTCGAGGATTGACTCGAGGGGCGTGGTAATGATACTTCGGTAAGATGCTCATGTTGGGATGTTTAGGCATGCCTAAAGTGTTGTAAACCATTATTAGATAATATGATTCTCTTGTAACTCAGACAGAAAATTCCCGAGTGCTGGAGTATATCAGCATAAGTTTTATTCTTTAATCTCATCACCCGTTTTGTCTCTCGTCTCTGTACTCGATCCAGAAGATTTACATCTCTTTTAAGAAAGGGGGTTGCGGCGACATCGTAACCCTCAAAATGTGGACGCGCATATGTCTTAAACAACGTTAAGAATAATTTTGGGATGATAGTACCAATTTTTCTTTACATAAATTTAGGAGTCGCAAAGACTCCCAAACTAGCGTGCATTCTATTTACCTTGATGAGCAACTTAACATTCTCTAGGTTGTTTCTGAGCCATGATAGGAGTGATTCAGTGAGGCCCATTTCCACAACCTTCCCAATTAGAAGTGCATGGAATATTTTCGTAAGCTTTTGAAAAATTTAGAAATATGTGCGCCGGTATTTTTCGGTCTCATCAGGATGTCCAACTGTTCCATGCAAACAGAAGATTCGATGTTCACGACCTGCCTTTTCAAAACCCCTTTCAAGCTTCATGGAGGATTTCGTTCTTATCCATATACTCCCTCACTTGTTTGTTCGCTGGCCTTCCCATTATCTTATATAGCGTTGTTAGAGATGTTACTGGTCTGTAACAAGCTGGGTATTTCCTATGTCCTTCTTCGAAGATCGTATGGAGCAGCTTGTTTCCATTTAGCTGAAGGTGAATGAGACTCCAGTGAACAGGTCACAAGACAGTGAACCGAGGGCATCCTCACACTGCATCAAGACTATGGGTGAATAAATTTACGTCCTGGTGAATAACCTGGGCTCAAGAATTTTAATTTTCTTGGTATCAGGTCAGGAGTAACCCAAATATTCCCTAGACCATCAAGTGGAGCTGTGCTTGAGTAATACTCTGAATGTATAGGTATTTGGTTCAACTGACTGGTGAAGTTGGTTTTGAAGGTCTCGGCAGTTTCTAGGTTGGTAAGTTCTACGCCATTTTTTCCTTTGAGATCACAAACATCCTGGTTTGTAGGTTTGTTTTTAGTAAAGGACCTAGATATATACTCTGATCTCTCTTGTATTTCGGTAGCTAGCTTCATTTGGAAGTGTCTCTTATCGATTCAAACTTCGGCATTGCATTTGTTTCCAAATGCCAAGTAAGAACTACGGTCAGAATCTTTCAGAGAGACCTTCCATTTGTTCCATGCTCTCCTTATCACCTGTACAAAGCTTTCAGTGGCCCTCTTAACCCATATTCTTCTGGTTCGGCGTGTGCGATTTGCCTGAGGTACATTATGTAGGAGAGCATTGTTAAAGATGACTCTCACTGCTTGCTCGTGGTCCTCGACTGTTTACCCCATGACTTTCGGGGCCCTTGGAGCTCTTAGAAGATGCTCTCTCATGCACTTGTGATGCTCCTTAGTGTTGCAAAGTGGGACCCGTTTCCGTCCTGCCTCAATGTTTCGTTTATGACCATGGTAAACATGACTGTGCCATGGTCACTACTTCCTATTGGTATATGGATGTGAACATCCTCGACAACGAACCGATTATTTGTTAACAAACAATCCGAGTTTGGGGATTTCCCATCCTGAGTCCATCTAGTGGCGCTGAATACATACACAGTAATTCCAGAACTTCTGATGGCTGCGCTAAGTCGTCTTTGGGACCAACCAATAGGTTGTACCTTGTATGCTAAGATTTAGAGATGGGATGTTAAAATCTTCAGCTAAGAATATTTGATCAAGCACAAAGTGTAGCATTTGCAGTATTGTTTCAGTCGGTGTATCTTTCTAGTCCTTAGTCCCTGAGTAGAGCCAGTAAATCCCTCTGACCAAGTATTTCGTGCCATTAGTGTTGAAACAACACCAACATGATTCTGTCACCTTGGTTAGTTAGATACCGTGAAGTCCTGCAGCTTTGAAATGGCTGTTAAAATGTGTAAACACGACCTCTAGCCTGGAGTATCCTATCGCATCGGAAGTGTCGTGCCTTGTAAGCTCACTCGATCGTCTACAATGTTCGGAGAACGTCATGTTTCAGTTAGGATTGCGATCTTCAGATCCATCTGAGAGCACATATTCCTGATTTCTAACATCTTACCCCTTCGTCCTATTATGCTGTTATAGAGGCACTTAGTGATTTTCTCATCAATTAGTGCACCTCAGTAGCATCAGCCGCTGTCAGATTTTCAAAAGATTTGTTCTGACCGAGTTGACCAGTTTCGTGGGAACTGTCCTCTGAGGGCTTTTTCCTGTGTAGTGCATCTAATCTTCGAGACCATTACATTCTTGTTTTCAAATAATTGCTAATTAGAGAGCTTCTACTATACACGTTTCATGAGAAATCAGGTTAGATCCTAAAAATAACGCAATATCATTAAATGGAATGTAGCCACAATATTTACGTTGACAGGTAAACGTCCAGAGCTACTGGTCTGGCTTCCATTTATCGAATGAATAGCCTGAATACCTGCTGTTCAACAAAGTTTTGGGATAATTTTCAAGAGTCACCTAATGAATTTCAACGCCTAATTTGAGAGTACTAGCACTGCATTGTAGACTATACACACTCATCGCATGTATTAGTAAATTTACCATAACCTGGAAGTGAAAACGAAATACAATTATGTCGTATTAAAACCTAATCATTGAAAGCCCTGGGAATGATAGGTCATTAATTACCCTTAGAGATCTAACTAAGACTGTAGTCTGGAGTTTTCAAACTTATATCCGATGTTCCGAGGATCCAAGGGTCCCAGCAGATCTTCTGTGAGATAGTTCATGACTGCCTCATCATACGTGGATTAACCACAAGGACGCAGCTTGCTCACCTTACTCATTTTAGTGGAAGACTTTTTATTCCTTGTTGTCTTAATCTGTTGTGGTGATTTAGATTTATCGTTACGTTAGATTGTTTAAGGACAAGTCGCTAACATACTAAGTACAAAAACTAATACAACACCCATGCGCAAAAAGTAAATAGATTAGAGTAACGGTGGATAAGATGCAGTTAAAGTCTGCTATACTTTTGTTGTTTTTAAAAATCCTGGAGCAGTATTATTTAAATTATTGAATTTTCCATATACGGAGCAAAAATGGATTTGGACACCGAAACTTCGGTAAAGATATATTGGGTATCTAGAATAACGCAAATTCGTTAGGTAAACCAGGTTGCACAACTGGTTGTGCCCACATGTTTTGTCGTATGTGTGAGGTTCTGAGTATGACTTGTTGATTTGGTAGGCACTTTGTCTAATAAACGGTTTAATACCACATATAGTTATTCGTTATCTATATCGGCTGACATTAACGTATCATTAGTGATCGTGTCTTAGTTATCATATTTTTTACGACGACATGTTTAGGACTACTTCGAATTTTCCTTCCTTTAGAGGAACAAGAACTGCCCTCACTTTCTTGCATTTCATGAAGAAGTGAGAGCAAGTGTTTGCATACATTTTTAGAATTGGTGGGCCCTGACTGTGCACGTGTATTACCGGTGTAAGTCTGGAACTTAAATCTCACAGCTGATCCAGTTAGCGAGCCAGGTCCAGCCCCTCAATTATAAAACAAATATTGACAAACCGAAATGGTTGTTTGATTATGATCAATAGGTTTGCCTTCGAGGGGGCCTTTAGCTTCTTAGCTGCAATTTTTCGATTTATTTATTCTGCACTGTAGACAAACATACCAGAACGACGGACAGCGATGTCAACATGAACCGATAGTACTATCTGCGTACTGCGCCACTTCAGTGACAATGTACCCATCTCAATCAGAAGTTACTCCTAAACGGATAGCCGGAGGTTTTAACTGGTAACGGCCAGGAGGTACAGCTATCACTGCTGACCATTCTGAACAGTAGGCCGCGTCATTTGACTTTTTGGACGTTCTTTTCTCCCGTATCTATTTTGTCTCGTACTCATACTGGAAGTAGGAATTCGTCATTCTGATTTCTTAGTTGAATAAATAGTTAAGAACTTTGGGTTCATTTATCTAAATTTAACACACTACCTTCAAGCCCACTATCCGGTAATGTTTCTTGTCTTTTCATAATTGTGTGGCTAGAAATTTGGACTTTCGATTCACAACTAACCTCTAGACACCTACAAGTTTTCGTAGTTCTATTGTAGGTGCTAGCGATGGCAATACTCAAAATCCTAAAAAGTAGATTATCAGATAATTTGAATGAGAATTGTTCAAGCTATAATTTTCGAGGGTGTTGTATAATAGTAATAATTTAAGTGAATAAATATTGCTCAAGGATCGATGCTGAAAATGTCAACTTTTGTTTGACTGTCATAGCAATCAACTTCGTACAGATTCAGTTAATTCCTAACAAGTCCTATGTTTTCAAGCGAGTGAATGTGTTTGTGCTGCCTTTGAATCAACTACGGAGAGAGCATTTAGTCAAGACAGCTAGATCACCAGCAGAATAATCTAAACTTGGTGAAGTTACTTTCAAATTTGTTTTGCTGATTGTCTACCAATGCAGGAAGATTAAGTTTTTAGGCTCAGAAATGTTTAGATATTTCAGTTTGTTAGCGAAACTGGATTGCTTCTTATTATTGGTTAGCGGTCAGCTAAGCCAATCTGTTGTCGTAGGCTAATAAAATGACGGGTTGTCATGAGTCCCTCAGTTTCTGTTAACAGGGCGCTGTACAATGTGAGGGTTAGGTAGAATACAGCGACCCCATAGCTTCAAGTGACTATAAATTAAAAACAATTGTTAGACACAATTCCTTGATTTTAATGTTCTACTGTCTGTGGTTGCTTAATAGAAAGTAGAACCGTATTCGATAAGTGACATTACGACAGATATTGTTCAATATTTCGAATGAACATTGCTGAAGTCAAGTTATACGGTTTATTTAATGGCCAAAATTTAGATAAACGTCCTATTAAGGGTAAATTTGGATTTGGTACAATTTGCTGAAGAAATCCTTTTAAAATCTCACAAACATTCGGTTATACTGCACTACCAAATCACAGTTAGACACGATATGCCGGGATCAGTTAAAGCAGCTGTATAAAGTTTATAGCAATTCGTACGATATACTTCTTCGTAGGATGAGAAATGTTAATGCCGAATCTCTGAGAATCAAATAAGAAGTAGATTCTAGAAGTATAATATCGATGCAAGAGGGCGTACAAACGGCTAACGTCTACTCAGCAGAATGGGAACAACACGCTTGGAGCAAGAGAGATAATCTTTAGTACAGATAAGCAAGAGGTGTACAATATAACAATTATTGCCAGAATCCAGTACAATAATAAATGTTTATATTTCAGCAATTGTGTTTTGTTCGTAAAAGTAAACCACTACAAGTTCAATCAACTGCAAAGAGCCAACTAGTATTATGATTCACGCAGTGCCTGGGCTAGTTGGAGGTAAATTGGACAACACCTTTAACTACGAAGGCAATGCAGCCGAGACTAAAGCTACTCTTTATTCTAAGACTACTCAGTCTGATCACATAGAGTTGTTATTAACGTTTGTTAAAACTGACTCACAGCTGCACCCGAATTTATGATGTCATCGTACTCCCATTCAATAGAAGAAACATGCAGCTGCGGGACTTAGTGAAGATAGAAGAATCAAAATGGATGACAGGGTTGAAAGAAAAATTTCAATACTGGGTTATTCCTGCTTATTCAAAGGAGAACCAAAACTGAACCGACCATGCCATACAACATATGATGCACGATAAATCATTCGAATACATTCATTTTGCGAAACATCACAATCACACACACATAGGTAAACCTCCAAAAAATAATACGTCAACGAGTTTAAACCCAGGTACGAGCCCACTTATACTCATAAAAAGTTGTCGTAACTTGGAGTGCTCTCCCAGCCAAAGTGGTCAAAGCCTCCTAAATGGTTAGCTTCAAGAAGAGACTTAACAAACGGATATCTAAATACGGAATATCATCATTCTCTTGCACCAACTATGCCAACTGTGTCTCAAGACCTGATTGTTGTTATCTCTTCAATCCATTAACTTATTCGATCTCAACTATTATCTATGTTCCCTCTTTTCTGCTAACACTTTTGTCCTCTCAAGAAATCTTTAGTTCCTATTAATAAAGTTATTTAATTGTTTATATATGAAACCTTCTCATTAGTAGCAGAGTTGCCACTTTACTGTTGTTATTCATTCAAATAACAGGTCACAAAAACTCACAAACAACTACTACCAACTGACCTAGAATTTGTCAGTCGAGTGGCCAGACCCCCGTCCATCCGGCACTACCAAGCACCAATAATTGTACCGAAAGAACAAAATTCGATCGCAGAGAGATAAAATAGTTTAAACTAGCTGGCCTAAAAGATATTATAAGTATTGGATGATGTAACCCCATGAAACAGACATTGGATATTGGAAGGTTACTAGTTACGGTGACAATTCAATCCTACTAACAGCAGGTTGAAAACTCCAGCTATTTGTTTCTTGTTCGTATTTAGATTTTGTCTTGATTTAGTGTTTGTTCTGTTTTTTTTTACTCCATTTTCGCCCTTTTAAATACTGATGCATTTCGTGAGCTTATTAGGTACCTGACTGACTATTTCCCATGTTTTTCTCTCTTCTAGTTTACCTCATCGATGCTACGCTTAATGCTCCCCTAGTGCCTAATTAACTTCTGGCTATACTTAAACGGCCGCAGTTTGTAACAATCGTTTTGAAGTGACCTTTGATTTAGAAAACATCGATTGATAAATCAATCAGTCGTATCAATTCGCATAGTGGCCGGCAATTATTTGAACATTAGTCAAATTATAAACGGAACCACATCTCATCCTAGGACTTATTAACATAGTAGTTCAGCACACCAGATTGAGCTTCACATTGGTAACGTGAAAATGCAGATGCTAGAAGAAACAGACAACGTGAAAGTTGCTGTACGTTGCCGACCGATGGATAAAAAAGAAATGGCGATGAACTGCAAGTTGGTGATTTCGGTAGTGCTTTTTGTAATGCATTATGAGTTATATATCATTATAGATCAGTGAAATAGATGGATGTGTGACATTAAAGCGCACAAGTTCAGGTGACGACCCTCCAAAAAAATTCACTTTCGATTTTGTTTTTGGATACAACAGTAAACAAACTGATATCTACAACAGAGTAGCTAGGCCAATTGTTGACAAAGTCTTAGAGGGCTATAATGGTACTTTTCTAAATATTAGTCATCAGATATATTTTTGACTTCGAAAGGAACTATATTTGCTTATGGACAAACGGGTACTGGCAAAACATTTACAATGGAAGGGAACAGATCCGAACCAGAACTGAGAGGTATAATACCAAATTCATTTGCCCACATATTCGGTGCGATCGCGAAAGCTGATGCAAATACTAGTTTTTTGGTGCGTGTTTCATATCTGGAGATATATAATGAAGAGGTACTGAATTTTTTTTTAAATTTAGCTTATTCTGAAAATAATTTCTGTATCTTCTATTTTGCCAATTCATGAATGACTGGTTTTATTAGATTATCTGACATTTAAGCTTTAATATACAGAGACCTATTTTACAACCTTCTCGATTAGGCTTTAGTCTTCCAAGTTTGAGAGCAAAAGGTTTGGAGTCTGTACCAATCCTTTTGTCCAAAGCTTCCAAAACATTAGAACTGTTTGCAAATAATTTAGTTTTCAGCAATATCTGATGTGTCAGTTGGCCCGTACACATTTTCGTATTGTGTATAATAGTGAAAATCTTAGAAAGAGCAAACGAACATACCATGCTATCTTCTAGGTTACTAATAATTATATGGGACTGTGACGTGCGATCTAGTTCTACAATAAGATAGGAGAATGGCTATTTTACTACTTCCCATATGATTTATGAAAAGTTTATTGCAATTATCGAGAATTTACTGGTTAGTCAATCGCAGGAGTATGACCATCTTTATTGAACCATAAACTGCCGCTTTGATGGAATTCCGCAAATAAATTCCCACTTGAAAAGAATTAAAAAGCCGTATGTACTTCCTTTTTAAACCACTTGAAGGTTCTAAAAAGTGATAAAAGCATGCAAAGCCGTATAGAAGTTATTAGACTGTAATTTAAATTCATTTTACCTATCGACTCTTTTCTACGATAACATAACAATGCGTTCCATCCACGCTGTACTGATGAATGAAGGCCTGACCAATGCGCACTAATAAATAGTTATCATAACCAATTTTTTGAGTACCAATTTTTGAATCTCTTGAATAATTAATTTAAATCAGCTTGAAGGTCAATCTTATCACTATTTATTGCTTTTTACAATTACAAACAAGAGTGGAGAGGATTTAAGTAGTACTGATAACTTATTGAAGTAGAGCGATAATGACAAAAGACCCTATATTATACCTTTCTAGGATCCACTTCTTGCAGATTTTCATCCAGACATCATTCCATGTACTCTCACTTCCCACCTTTGACTTAATCAAAATTTTTTTTAATCTATCTTTTAGTATGCCTCTCGTCTTAAATGTAGAATATTTTCCCGTAAAATCCACATTATGAACTATTGGTTAAACCCTTTAATAAAATCTATTGATCTTGTCTGGACAGACTGATAAATGAATTCAATCACTACCCAGCCTTCTCTCGAAATGAAAGAGCTTTGTAAGAAAGAATGACCATTCTTGTAAACAGTGGCCTGCTATCCTCAGACTGTATAACTCTATGTAACCTTTCAGCTCATTCCAGACTACTTTTGTGAAAATTTTATCACTATATGAATTAAACTGACGTATCAGTAATTATATCTGAACTTTCCATTTCCATCCTTAAAAACAGGGCTATTTATATTGCCTTTTTGATATCTTAGAAGCTAAGCATATAAAAGAAACTCACCAAATAACTTCAGCAGTAGTTTAGAAGTAATGTCTGTAATAGATACAACACTTGGGAGTATTATTCATCGGTGTTTGATGGCACGTACACTACATCAAACAAAGCCACATACAGAAATATATATAAAATAATGTTAGGCTTTAGTGATGAACTCTCCTACACAATCTCCTTTGGTCTAATCGCGCATCTTAAGCATCAGAAAAAGTGACTGAAACGGGACAGCAGACAGTACCATTTATCATCATTTAAAATCTAATATCTTCTTATCCATGGGTTGGTATTTCTTTATAGTTTCCAAAAAATGTTTTGGCATTATTTAAATATCGGCTATTTGAAAACAAAAAACCCCAAGAAAATACTGGATCTCCATGCACTTTGATAAAATCTTCTAAGCTTATATTCTTAAAAATTGTCTGCCTCTGTACCGTACGAAAAATATTTCTTTCCTATCTCTATGCACTATTTCTATCTACAGGTTCCTCTAGAAGTTTATTACATATCAAAAAGATCCATTTTCTTTTCCTCTAACTTCCAAATTGCCTGACTGATTAACTACTTCGTAGTCATTAGGCATATCGGCAACAATTCTCTTAAGATACATAAGAAAAATTATTAATCCATAGATTTCATTCACACATTTATTCATATATATAGTTACTAGTCTTAATTAAAAATAATACTATTCAAGTGGAATAATACATTCCAAGTTACATTTTGTTCGTGGTTCTAATGTATGTAGTTCGTTTGGATGTAGATGAGTCAAAAATGTCATGATAAAAGTACTTGAAGTAATACATAATACAAAATATCATAATCTCACTTAAATCTTCTTGACATAATTTTGGTTGACAGGAATTGGCCCAGTTAAATTATCAAGTCTAGAATTTAGTGCTTATATGAATGGAATTCAGTATTTGAACTGGATTTGTTGTTTGTTTTTTCAAAATCAAAATAGTCGCCAACAATTATGTGTTCTAATTAAATTACTTTGTTCAACTTACTCGTATTAGTAAACATGTATACTTAAACTGAATACTGACTGGGTACTAATATGTAATTTATTATAGGCATTGTCTTGTACATCTTATGAACATTTATTTGGATAAATAACCGAATACTGATTTATTGTCATTAAACCATGAAAAGTATATGTACATATGTATGACCTCTGCTAAATTCCTAAAATGAGTGAGCTTTACTATTTTTCTCAATGATCATGATTTATAATATACATAAACATGTAAAAGACGGGTGAAAATACGTTCATATATATATATATATATATATATATATATATAATTAGACTTTTGATTTGTTTCATAGGTTCGAGATCTTCTTGGAAAAGATCAGTCTGCAAGTTTAGATGTTAAGGAAAGACCAGATATCGGTGTGTATGTTAAAAATCTATCTTCGTACGTTGTACACTCCCCAAACGAAATGGACAAACTGATGTCATTCGGGAATAAAAATCGTAAGATTTTGTTATAATTTGCTCAGAAGTGTGATTAATCAGGGCACTTAGTTTCTGGAATGGAAATTTTACTATTGTATCATGTATACCTAATAAAATACGCCTAGTCTACCGTATTCATTTCGCCTGTCGATCTTGTTTTCTAAGAACCATTTATACATTATTGAACCGCTAGACGATCCTAGTTTAAGTTAGAAAGAGGTTTACGGTGGACAAAAATCAATCAAAAATGTTCACAGTAAAGGACAACTGTCTACTAGAATACATGATATTGGATAAAATAAGAATTTAAAACGAGTAAATTTTGGATATGATTCTATCATTGTCTAAATGTTGCTTTAGTATATTTTAATTTATGTGGATTTACTTCTTGTTACCGACTTACTTCTATTGATAACGAATGCGCGAAGTTCTTATCGCGGAAAAGAAATTTTTCGGAATATTGTATGTGTATATGTCTTCCTCTATACTAAACGGTTGACAGGAGATTTTAAAATATAACTGTTACTCTGTTAATTAAACTAGATATCTAATAGAGATCTAACTCGCTGAATTCTTGTCAATAATTGAACATTTAAGGATATGCCCATTTTGGAATCATTCTTCTCATAATCACTGGATAGTCATCCAACAACTTGATTTATTAAACTGTTTCTGGAAACGTTTTCAGAGGTGCTCTTGTCAAAATGAAACATATACCTACTACAATTATCAAATTAGCTGGGAAACATTTCCTTCTGAGTATTCAGAGGATTAGCAAATGATATAATAAATCAATGCAAAAAGATATATCCATACGACTAGACATGCTTAAACACTGAAAATGAAGCAACGTGCTTCTGTTTGATTTAAATTCTTAACTTTTTCACTTATCTTGACATACATAACTTACTTTACATAATCAATCTTCAAGTCTGTCCTGTTCATCAGATTAAACTTATTATACATGAGATCTTCAACCCCTGTTGATATACTCAATTTCTTATTATAGCACTTTTAATTGTTACTTTTCCAAAGGTGTAACTGGTGCAACTAATATGAATGAGCACAGTTCTCGTTCACATGCAATTTATACAATTACAATCGAATGTAGTGAACATTCAGATAAGAAGAAAACATTACTTCGTCAAGGGAAATTGCATTTAGTTGATTTAGCTGTAAGTTCAGTTTTAATGAGCTTAAATTAACCAAAATGCAATGATTTTGTAAATCCCCATAGTAATTCACATATTCGATTATCAATATTATTGTCATTTGTGATAAATAGTTCTCAAACCTATACTTTATTAGTTCCGATGTTGAATTACTCTTAAAATGATGCATGGGAATAATATTTCTTTTTAATAGGTAACTGGTGAATTCCAAATAAACAGCCACCATATTTTTAACTATTAAATACAGTAAGAAAACATGTTGTGATTAACGTCCATAATTCCGTTTTTTATCAGAGATTACTATTCTAGAAAATCTTATCTCTTTTAACCTGAGAACATAAACTTATTAGTCTTTGATCATAAAAACATTCGCGTAATTGATCACATTTTTTGAAGACGTAGAATAAATTATTGTAGTATATATCAACTAACGAGTCACCTAACTTGAAGATGTAAGTAGTTATATATATATATATATACATATATATATATATATATATATATATATATATATATATATATATACAAAAAGTACACAAGACAGAATTCGAAAAATTGGTGAAATTACTACTTCTTTTAATGCCTTGTTTGAATGAACTGGTATGAAATAGTCAGTCAGTCAGTCGTCAGTCGTATGCTTCATGTATATACCTTCTCTCGATACATCTTCTTATATATCGTTAATGGTTAGTTTAAAATTAATTCACCAGAAAGTCATACCAGATTTTTGACTGAAAAATTTAAAACTGGCTACTTGATGATTTCTAACCAATAACTAAATATCTGATGCAAAAATTGTGGACTTCCGGAGTTTAGTGGCTATAGTTATTATTTGTTTGGAATTGTACAGAGAACTGTAGTTCTGATAACTCGATATACCTTACTGTGGACATAGGTGTAAGGTACTATCACATTCATCCCTTCACCTTTTTATATTAACTAAATAATGTAGGCAAAATAAATTTAACTAATGCCATAATTTTACAAAATTATATCATCCTATATTGAGACAAGATTACAGTGAGTTTAATGGAAAAAGCATCGATTATGAAGCTAAGTAACTGTAACTTTCAAGAATTTTTAAAAAGATAATTGCGCTGACGTTCTTTTGTACACAGATACTTGAAGTACAAATAAATGATATGTGTGTAAAAACTAACTAAAATTGTATCAATTTTACAAACATTTCAAAACAACCTATACATATGCATGCGGAGATCAAATATCTTTGTTTTTAATAATTGATTGAATTTACCTCACCGAATTGCTAGGAAAATAATCTTACTTGACAATTATATTTTGGAACTAATAAGATTGATGATCACTGTTATTATTATTATCATCATTATTCAAACTATTGTACTCCCTAATCATTCCTTTTCATTTTTTTTGAATACAACATTTCAGGGATCTGAAAGGCAGGCAAAAACTGGTGCAACTGGAAAACGTTTACAAGAAGCGAATAAAATTAATTTATCATTAACTACATTGGGTAATGTCATTTCTGCATTGGTAGATGGGAAGTCAACACATATACCATATCGTAATTCCAAATTAACTCGACTGTTACAAGATTCATTAGGTGGAAATTCTAAAACTGCTATGGTAAGATCACGCATTAAAATGCCTTTAGTCATTATTTGTATTCGCATCTATAATAAGTATTAGAAAACTAAAGTGATTTTCATTATAAGTTTTTAAAATAAATAAAATTGATTGCTTAAGCTATAGAGTTTCATTCTTTTCGGGGAAAATTTATTCACAAACATTCCACCGAAATAAACATATGTCTAAATGGACACATGAATTAACTTAGTATTCAGTGTTTGGAACAGTTTTGATGGAAATCTAACTCCATAGTAAGATCAAGAAATACTTGTACATTTCAAATTAAGCAAAAATATAACATTTTATAATTGATACTTGTCAACCCTAATTATCAGGATAAATAATTATGTTTGCAGAATGAAAAGGATTTTTTAATCTGCATATCTCTTAGCTGGAAACAAATGATTCAGACTGATACACTGTTGTAATTTAACTCAAGTGATGCTAGGATTTCGGAAAGCACAATACATTTAGATAACTTAGTCAAAACCAAATGATCCATTCGGCCATCATTCAATGCCCTGTAGTTGAACTTAATCGATTAGCAGATTCCTCTCAAAACCAGTTAATCCATAAGATATACACATTTGCGACTATTATTAATGTAACAATCATAATAATAATAATAATATCACCTGACACCTTTTCTCTACTATCTTATATTTTAGATAGCAAATATATCACCATCGGATTATAATTGTGATGAATCGTTGAGTACATTACGATATGCAAATCGAGCAAAAAATATAAAGAATAAGGCGAAAATAAATGAAGATCCAAAAGATGCTATGTTACGTCAATTTCAAAAAGAAATTGAACAATTGCGTAAACAGTTGGAAGAAGGTAAATTTAAAAAAAAACATTTACAAATAGAAGATAATACTTGTTCCCTCCATAGATGTATTTTGTATAAGAATTATGTAACAAAATATTTTATAGGTTGACCTGTCATAACGTTTGTGTAATTCATCAAACAAAGTATTAGTTCAGGTACTAGGTTTCGCAATTATACGTGTGAAGTGACAACAAGAAAGATTATTGAAGTTCTCAAAGCTAAGTAGCTTCTGTGCTGTGTCATCAAAGATTGGATGTTTAAAGTAAACTGCAGATCTATATGAGTTGATCTGATTCAAAAAGTAATCAAATCATATCTGAGGATCCTTTTTGATTGCGTGGGAATTATTGAGTAACAAGGAGCGTAGAAATTTTATCTTGTCTCATACGTTTCAAATTGTACAACTTTTCACTTATCAAACTGGGTGCACTCATTTCTCATAGCTGACCAGATTTAATTAAACCTTTGATTTAGAATTCGCTGGTTCACATTTCCCACTTCCAAACATTTTGCGATACAGCATATTCCACAATTGGCATCGATTAATTACTGTCTCATTCATGAAGTGGTTAACTTGAGCAGTCTTAATAACTCACTCAAATGTTCAGAGTATCACACCATATGGTTATTGATAACTAAGGTGTTTTTCGAGAGACATAAATCATTTAGGACCCACTTTCACTACCAAATAATATAAACTTTTTTAACACTAAATATCTACCTTGTTCCTGTTAGGAGCTTCAACTTCAAAACATACGAGTCTTTCTATGAAACGATTCGGTATGTATAGTGTTGTTATGATTATTGTTTGTAGAAACGCGTAAACTGAATTATTAAACTACTCTCACTACTAGAAACGCGTGCAGTTTCAATAAAAAAATAATCTATGAATATTATATTAATCTCTCAAAGCCTTGTAAGAATTATAACAGCGTTGATGATAACAATGACAATAAGCTTTTAGCCAAGAAAAGAGAGCAATAATGAAGTCCTAAGTACATCTAAAACGTCTGTATATACGCCTGAAATTTAGAGGCAATTCACCTAGTGAAATGCTGCTACTAAAGCTTCAGGGCAATCCAAAGAACCTTTAATTAAGCTAAACTACAATTGATGTTTACTAGATGTCTGACGGTCACTTAGATTGATCACCTCTATTCGTATCTATCAGTTCAACTGCTTGTGTGGAGCAAGTTACATCGGCAGGTGTCCTACTAATTTGTATTTTCGTGCTCGCGAGTACATCCCAATTTGATCAAGCAAAGGTATATTTAAATCTGTGAATAGCTTAGTACTAGCTAACTTAGTACAAGCGGGCCTGACAGACAATATGGAGCAATCATTTTCGTTAACATACCATCTTAAAAGCAATCTGCCTAAACCTCTCAGACTAAGAATCCTTCAGACTTCTGAAGCCACGGCTTCTCAAATCAAATATTCAGAGCTTCGGGTTCAGAAAAAATATCATTTTGATATTAATTATCTGATCAATTTATAAGAACATATTTGAACGATTAGTTCGATTAAGATTGGGCACCGAGTATGTAAAAGATATCATTTATGATAATTGTATCTGAAATAATAATTATTATTACCCTGAAGAAGTCCTGACAAGATAGCTGGACGAAACGTTGGAATTATCTAAAATTTCAATCACTGAGATTATTTCAGATACAGTTATCGCAAATAATCTGATCAATGTTCATACAACCTCTTTCTGCATTTTTGTTGCATAAAGTTATTCACAAATGTTATCATCATAACGATTGCAACGTTTAGAGAAATCTATTCAACATCTACCCCTATTAACTAATTCGTACCTCATTCATGTTATGCTACTTATTATGCGATTCTTAATTTGTAGTTACGTTATTATCTCTCCCACTTTATGGATAACCATATTTGTTCTGATCATCAATCTCAAAAACTTATTTTACGTCCAAACTTACTCAAGTGAACATTTCATATCAGTCATCCGAACATTAATGATTTATATTACAAACAATCCTAAATTCACATACTATAATTCTTAAACGATATATTTTGTCTTAAACCTGACCACTTTTCGGATTATTAATATGGATATATAGTTATAGAACCTGAAGAGAGTTGATTGTTAAGAACATTCTTTGTTCATATATCTGTGTTCCAAAATAATTGGAATTTTTCAGAGGTCTTAGTAACACTTAAACAAATTTTTATTTCATAACCCTTTTTGTTCATTCTTGATGTTTCAATTATTTCGTTATGTGATACTTCAAAATCTAAACCGACCAATCAGCGATAAGTAAGTGGTAAAAAAGAACGGTATTTGAATAACGTTCATAGAGTTGTGGTCTGGAAAACGAGGCAAAATAATCGCTCTAATAATAATTTTGTTTACATTGATTGTATTTCTTATAAACTTCATTAAATTATCTATGAAGATGTTTGTGTTCGAGAATGTATGTTTTAGCACGAAACTATCCGAATAATAAACTTACCATTTAATACAGAGTTCACTTGTGGTTACACGTCTCTAAAACGTCGTAAAGATAAGTATCCAGCTTGCTATTTGCATTAATTCAATAATAAAGTTACTTTTGTGATGAATATTTTCAAGGCATCTTTGCGCATAAGTAAAGTAACATTACACTTCTCTGGATTTTACCGTGGAAGGCGATTATGATCCGATGTTTTTGTCATAAAACCTGTTAACAAATCACAATACTCACTTAAGAAGTTTGTGTAAATAATGAGCAATTATTGAAAGTTGCAAAAAACGGCTTACAATATTTTTATAAAGCTGTAAAGTAAATCTCGAAAATTTGTTTAACTATATCAAAAACTAATGCAATCAATTCAAGTTTTTGATTTACTGTAATTAAAGTATATGACCTCACTCCAGTGAGAAGCAATTAATAAAGTACTTTGTTAGGTTATTTTTTCTATGTTAAAAAAAATTTTCTTTTCAAGGTGGAATACCTTCAGACCCAACAAAGGCAAAAGAACAAGACAGTGATGATAACGACAGTAATAATAAAAATGGTACCACCGATAATGATGATCAAGAAAACAAACTGAATAAATCAAAAGGAAATGCGGTAAAATTGAGTAAACAAAAAATGGCCGAAATTCAACGTATGATTGAAGCTGATAGACGTAAATTGGAAGAAGAGAAAGATATGGCTATAGAAGAACGAAATCGTATTCAAGTAAGTATAAAAATAACCAGAACAGTATTTCATGTGAAATTTAACCATACTTTGAATAAGCTTTTGTGTTTGTGCATACCAAGGTAGGGTATGAATTCAAAACATCGATGAAATAGATTTTTATTTCACTAGAATTTTATAAGCCAGGTATTTCGTCCTAGTTTGGGACTTCTCAGAAGTACAATCACGAACCTAAAACCTAGTGGTGAGTGGTATTACCTATGAACCACTCAGTGGCCCAAATTTCATACCTCATTTAATTCGTGTTATTAAATGACTATCTAACAGTTTAATCAGTAAAATCAGTCTAACCCTTACCATGGTCCCACTCGAATAATCATGAATTGTCGAAAGATACTATACTTCTTAAGTTAGAACTGTTGTGTCCTGAAAAAGAGCTTGAGAATTCCTAATTGATATTACGTATCATATTGCTAGTTGAACCAGTGATCAACCAATGAACGACAACCAAGGCCTTGATACTTACAAGTCATCGAGGTCCTTCCTAACCCAGTCGCCAATCAGAAGATGTTGATGGGGGACAGAATGGTTCTTTGTTGATTGCGACTAAAACCTCAATCAATGATATGTTGAAAATTCCCCACCATAGCATATCAACTAAGAAATCGCACTTTAAATATACGATCATACCATAAATGGTATAGCGCAAAGCAAATCGTACATAATCAATTGATAATAATTAGGAAAGAGAAAAACGTATAACAACAGTTGATACGTTTGATAGAAGCCTGAAGTAAGAGGGATATTAAAATGTAATAATAATACACAATAACGATACAATGATAATCCGGAAAGTAGTGCAATGTTTCAGCTTTCCCAATTTTCAATCTATTATAACAAAAACACACAGTTTCTTTCATCTCTCAAATTAAAACAAATTCAAACACATAAAATACAAATTCTTTTACGGTTACATAATAATAGAAACATCTTGAAGCGAAAGAAAACGAATTGAGACTGGCTGAAGTAACTCGTAATAATCTAACAAAACGAATGGAAGCATTACAAAGTCGTATAATTGTTGGCGGCGAAAATTTATTAGAAAAAGCTGAAACACAAGAAAAATTGTTAGAAGAATCAGCTATTGAATTGCAAAAACAACAATTGCGCGCGGAAGAGCTACATAAACAGTTAAAGGAGAAAGAGGAAGAACGCATAAATATTGAGGAAAAATATAACAATTTACAGGTAATTTGCTCTATGGTGTTTGTTTTGAGCAATTCTATGTACAGTTACTTGTTCTTTTTCTAAATTGTTGTTAGTTGCATCGACTAAAATATGAACCGTATCGATGATAAACAGAGCATGTACCTACAAATATCCGTTCGAATAGAAATGATTCAAACAGCTTCCAGGTAATATTTTGGATTGAATGTCGAAGGTGGTAGAAACTAACATGATATGAAATGCTTCGATTGTTAGTCTCCACATTCAGTTCAATAAGTTATTTAGAGTCTTTACGTCAGAATGCACTTTTTTCATTACCAATTTATCTAATACTCAATTTATTTGATATTATCGTAATAAATCATCATGGGGATATTTATATCAGCAATCTGTTTTTCAACCTGATAGTATACAAAGGACGGGAGGATATGCATAGGATCAGTTCGTTAAATTATGTTTCTCCGGAGAGAAAAAGAGATTAGCTAATTCAAGTGTTTTTACTGATGAGTATTTTTTTAATTACTTCTGTGTATTAAACTAACCGAATCTTAAAGTTTGATTCATAGTAGGATGACTGTGAGTATGTACCTTATATCGAATCACTTAAATCAAATTTAAAATATTATTGCTAACGGGCATATTTATTTCTGTAGTATTACAAACAAGATCAAAACTCTCAGACCTCGTTGCTACCACAATAATCTATCTATATTTTCTAATGGATATATGACTAGTTTGATAAAATCATGCCTGCCACAATCAAACTGATGCAACAATAAGCAAAACATCGCAGTTACTAACACGATATAACCTTTAACTAACAATAGTTTGTGGTTATTATTGAAGCAATTATTTTTGACCAGATGACATATTTTTGTAACTAAATCTAAAGTAGTGTTAAACGATGTATGTAACGCCTCTCTGTTCATAAATTCGAATAAATATCAATATTACCAATAAGTGATCAGCACAAGTGTAACTTACTATACAAACAATACCGATATTTCGTTTTTATTATCGTAACGCTCAGCAGTGATGTCATTCATGTTTCGGTACGACACAACAACCCAGTTATATGAAATAGTTCCTTCAGAGACATAACGTACCCAAGAAATAAAACCCGAAATTATTAATTCGGTAATTTTTTAGTAATTAACTTAGGACGAAGGTGAATTGTGTTCAAGCTTTCATTTATTTTTATTACCAATAAATATATTGCTGTAAATTGAGTTTACTTAAATCGATACCTTTTCCTCAGGTTTTTGCATTGATGTGTCTATGTATTTTACTATATTGTTATCAAAAACCTACTTGTCAGATCTAATCGCAGACCTCTATAAATGGCATTACAATTTCAAACACCGAAATATAAAAAGTCTTATGGTATGCTATACGCCCACTCAGTTAGTCATCATCAACTCCAGAGAGTTGCTGGAAAACTTTATATACATCAGGTTGCTAATGAGAAGCTGTGAGATAAAATGAATTCATTTTATTCTGAAAATTTTCTTCTTCTTGTGCTTAAAACTAATACTTAACTTTATGTAGCATGATTCACAGCTAAATGAAAAACCATACCCATTTTATACTAAAAGATAATCACTACTATTTATTATATCATCTAATAACCAAAACCAAGGTAATATCAAATAGAACAACATAAACAACTATCAGTTGACTATCCTACCTCAATGAAATGTAGATGAAAATAGCCTTAAGACATTGCATGCTATTAGTGACAGCTGATTTGAAATTGCTTTGTTTTATTGTGTTAATATTAATTTAATAGGTTGCTTTGATTTTTACCAAATCTAGGAAGAAGCCGCCGGGAAGCGTAGAAAACTACGTAACTTAAGCACAATGTACTTACAGGCCAAGTCAGAACTTGAAGATCTAAACAATGAACACGTCCGTGAAATGGAAGGCTTGCTAGATAATATACGTCAACTAAAAAGAGAATCGGCTCATTATACTCTAATCATCGATCGATTTATTCCACAACCATATCAAGTAATTAGTGAAAAAAGTTATTATCTTGCATTTATAGTTTCTCAGATGAACAGAGTCTATGGTAAAGGCATGAAGTCAGACCGATTCTGTGAAAATATTTCGGCTTTTATATCAGTCAACATAATATAATCGCTGTTTGATGACTAGTAACATTGACTGCAGTTATGTAATGTATGAGACTTATGAAACCAGTCAAAGCTAAGAGGCTTCTTCGAAATTCGAAATACCTATCAACTATCTTCACGGACTATTGTCATTAAAAAAATAGTATGTGAAACCAGGAATATAGCTTGAAAAAAGATGCTAGTTTCTCTACAAGTTTTATCACAATCGTAAAAGTTTGAATAATCATATTTTAAACATGTTTAATCAGTTATCGATTCGGAACACGAGAAAGGGGATGTCCAAGTACTTACATTCAAGATCGTTTTTATGGTTAACGTTTAGGGATTACCTAAACTAGCATAATCAAAGTATTAATTATTCTTCAAATGACTGATTTCATGTTATGGCTTTGTTTTCATAAAACTCAGTTCTGTTTTCACCATTTTCAATTGAAGTGTTATCATGGAAGGATGCAAAAGTAATATGGTCTTTATCGTTGCTTAAGTATGAGCATTTGAATTCTTCAATTCATTACTGAAGTAACATCTAGCTACTTTACTACTTTTCCAAACTTTCGATGCAGATTAAATATATCATAATGAGTGTATTGCTATTCCCTATACAGTAATTAGTTGTTATCACCTACAGAGCACTAAAGAAACTGTAGGTCAAACTTACTATTTAAAAGAAATATCTAGTGGCTTACCTTCTAGGCTGTAAAGATGAGGTTGACTTGATATCATTAGGAATTGCGGCTGAACACTTTAATCGATATGCGCAATATTTTCTAAATATTGACCACATGTTGAGAAATAATCAGAACCTGATTATTTCTGACTGCATAAATTAAATCATAGATAAATAGAAGTGTTTATAAGCAAGACTGTATATATATATATATATATATATAACAAGCTTTTGTATGCATTTTCAAAAACCAACTAACATAAATGATATATGCTCTGATCGCAAGTATGGTCTTAAAACATAATAACAGTAGCTAAGTTTCGCTCATCTTCATTCATTATTCATGATGTTTCCAGTTTTATGACTCATCTTTTAGAAAAGATATCTATCCTAGATATTATCCTATCACCACTGATCCGGTATCATGTTCTCATACAATGCTGCAAAGTCAAGATCATGATTTGAAACAACTAGGCTGCTTGTACTAGAAATAAGGCCAAAAATGTTGATAGTATAAACAAAGGTTTACGAATTCACCTTTGGTTAACAAAAAGCACGTTTATCTACGATCAGTAAATCGAAAATAAGAAATTACAAACCTATTAGTTTCATATTGTGAGTAATATTTAGTTGCGTCGAGTTTCATTTAGGACCCATATTTGAAGAATAAGACTATAAATCAATCAAAAATATATTAGTTTGGTGACAAATGATAAAAAATACTTTCCATATTATTGTGCTTGTAAATTTTGACGGAATCGTCAGTAGTGTAACAGTAGCTAATTGAACGTTCAAATAATTCGATACCATCAACTTTGTGTTTACGTTAGAGGAGCCTAATACAGGACAATAACGAGCAAAATAAAAAATAAAACTGACTCTTTAGAAAATAAATAAAGTAGAAATAAGATTTCTTGTAACTACCAATAGAGTGATCTAAATCGCATATGATGTAGATAGATCAAACTGGGAATGTAGTCTATAATCCACTTGTAAGATTTGGGTCTACTTGATATAGATGTTAGACACTATGGTTGATCAGTTTCTGAAATGTGCATTTTGTAAGGATCGCCTGGGTATTGCCGCTGAGTCATACAATTTCAAGAAAATTTGGATAGTAGCTGGCAATTTAATCCAGAACAAGAATTTCATCAGTTGTGTACATGCACAAGCTGGTGACCATCTGGACTGATTAGCTAAGTAGACAACACGTTTGGCATTTGAAGCGAAAGCCACTGAACAGGAGTCCTGGTCTGAACTTCAGCACAGTGATGCAGGAACGTTCAACTTACGAGTCCTAAATAGGACAAAAACTGAGTCCTGGATTCCACTGCTAGGCACCACGTAACTTTGTTTGGAAACGTTGTCGTCTAAATATGTAAGATTACCTGCATTATGACATAGATACATCTTAAAGCAGTAGAAAACGTCATAAGATTTCTTTGGACAATACGAAGCAGGAAGTTTATCCGCTCCAGCTCAACCACTGAGGCTTGCGAACCTACTTCCAACTAGAAACATATAACAGTTATGGTAGATTCCCGAAGTTAAAAATGAGCTTCATATTTAAGGATATTTTTATACTCATTACTCTTCATTCAACTAGAGTACACCAAATAAGGGAAGCATTTGAGACTGGAATGTTTTTCTTTTTATTTGTGGAGTATGAAAGGCGAAAGCAACACACATTCACTAAATTTGATATAAAATGTACTAATATAACGCCTCGACATTTCAAGATGCATCCCTAGGGATCAAGTTAAATGTTATGTACACCTTTAACGAACGAGAAAATTCGTATTTTGTATTTCAGGCTCTCATCGAAAAAAATGTACAGTGGAACGAGGATATAGGTGAATGGCAGTTAAAATGTGTAGCATACACAGGAAATAACATGAGAAAACCAGAAAAGGAAACACCCGAACCGGTAAGTTCCACACATATTTTCCTTTAGCAACCATGTCTGACAAAGGGGAAAAAAACTTAACTCAGTAGCTATCAATTTAAAATAGTAATGAAGTGTATCATTTAGATGAATCTCTCTCAAACGAAACACAGTTAATAACTTCATGCACTACTTGAAATATACATTGACGTTCAATCCAAGTTTACGAGCAGAGTAGAAATAGGAAACTCTAATTTTATTCAGAAAAGATGGGACAATCAAACCTTCACGCATTTATTGAACTGTATTTACAGACCAGCAGTGTGGAGTGGCTTTTTAAACTGACAACCATTAAAGGGGAGACTTCGAAAAGGCTCAAAGCACAAGTGATATAATAAAGGAAAACTCAGAGGTTTCTGAGCCTTTATTCATTCTGCTCTACTCTAAGAGCAATTTACTTCATCCAAACATTAGCATTCCGTTCATTAAGAACCAACAATCCTCAACACCGTTAAAGCGGTTGATGCTTTTGGTCCCCCACCATATTCATAAGCGGTACACTGGTAGGGATAATAATTGCCTGAACCAAATATTTCTCTCCACATAACGTAAAGCATTTCATGTTTCCCCCCCTAGCTCCACTACAACTCCATTATTTCAGAACATTCAGATTGAACGATTGCCCCTATTCAATATTATACTAACTATATCGCGACATACGCATAATTAAGAAGGATATGAAATGTAGATAATAGGTATAAACACAGTGATACATAGGAATACAAAGGACTGGTCCCACGTGGTGAGGGTTTCTTGTGTGACAAGCCTCCAACAAATTAAGGAATGTATCTCACAGATCCTATGCTAAATGATACTACAACACTGCCAGTTAATTCGTAGAAGTTTTTGCCTGGGCAGCAAGTGGTTATGATCTTTCTATTGGTAAAAATTCGTCAGCTCTTCAATACATAATGATTAGGGAGTAATAATACTTTCTTAATTTTCCCATACCATTTCGCCAAAGATTATGGACTCCAGGATCGTGTCTTTTGAGCAGGCACTATTACATAAAGAAACAAAGTACAGAGCCGCAGGCATAGCTTGTGCTGCTGATCATGTTAATGACACAATTCGAAACTATATAGTTGTTGGGATAAGCTTTAAACAAGACAAGTTATCCAAATTTAGGAGGATCAAATGGACATTTGTAGACAAACACCTTAAGATAAGTGAACGGTACACTGAAAAAGGATAATCATTCCATAATAAAATAGATTTATCATTAGTGTAATGAATTATTTCAAGTCAGCCTGAGTTAAATATACAGTTACTAATTACTAGTGCTCTGAAAAACTGTGCCAAGTGTACATAGTTGGCACCCTTAGTTAGGTGTACTAATTTGCTTATTTTTATAAGATCTGAGCCTCCTGAAACCAATAACTACATCTGTTCCTCAACAGGTTATGGATGTACAACATGCAGAGGCGAAGTACATAGTGGTTGTAGTGTACGTAACAAAGCTAACTAACCTTAAAGAACCACACAAAACTAATTGCGAGGAAATACTAATCCCCAGTACGCCTCACAACACTAATCAATACAGGGTTGTTGTATCAGGTAAGAGCGGACTAAACGTGAGCACGTGATTGAGCTTCGCATGGCACGATACATCCACGCTCGATCGTTCAGCACTACTGATGGCTTCGACACGCATCAACAACAAGCGGACTTTGGTAGGTAGTGCATTAGGCTCGTTAGTGCACATCATAACGAACACCAATGCATTGGAACCCCAGCTAAGCATTTCAGAAACACTGAACAAGAAACGTCAAGCCTCTCAAACAACGTCAATCCTATGCTATGTATCAATTAACCTTACCAAATAATTGCTTCTCGGTACTTTGTTTTTCAGCCAATTGACCTGTCACATGTGTATCTGTCATACTACGCGGACGCCGAAAACTCAGGATCTGTACAGACAAAGAAAACGGAGTTGGACAAGAAGTAAGACGTCACTAACTGCAGCTACCAGTCGGGAGACTAACTGCGAAAACGACAGGGGCCCATTTGCCGATGTACACATCACAATGTATATTTCTTGCCCAATATAATATATTCTAATACAGACTTTTTCTCCTGAACCTCACTTACATTGCACTGACTGCACGGAAGGCTCACACATCGTTACGGTTCTTGCACCTCTTAAGTGTAGAGTTAGTAATATTATTAGCAGTCGGAGATCGAGGATACCGTGGAAGTGTAAGTCCAGTGCTTTAATCTTTAGAAGAAAAGACAAAGGTGATGAAAAATCCTAAATGTTAAGGTTCGCAAAACATAGAGGATGGAAGTACCAGTGACATTGCAGACGATTTAGAGCCATGTCGTTCAGATTCCTACCACTATCATATCAAGGACCAGAACCAGGTAGTCCACGATACCATGTCCCAACGATATCTGCTGATCTGACATCCTTATCTGAGACCCGTTTCCTAACAATATTGCTGAGTCAGTATTTCCAGGATACACGAGCAGAGCTTCAGAGACACCTACGACCAAAAACCAGCAACCTACTCCGACTGGCCATGTTTCACAGAGGCGCACTCGTCTTTAGGTTAGCAGGCGGTCACCTCGCCTATATTACAAGTTGACAAAAGCCGATTGAGCCTTCTGTAACCGCGCTAAAATTTCGTCAGTGACTATACGATCAGGACTGATGAGACCAGCATCTGCAGCGATGCTGCCTTCTCACAAGGAAGGAAGGGTTAGAAAAGGTCGACCCTAAAAATGTCACACCTCACCCTACCTCACGGATTTCCGTCTCCTTGGGTAAGGGTGCCCACCAAGGGCCTTTAAGAGCGGAGCTAATACTCAAAAATCCTTTCATAAAAAGGCCGTGCGTGACCGGCCTCAAGCAGTTGTCCCTTGGACTCTGCGGTCACGCACCAACACTAATCCATCTTCCTTTTCAGGTTCCTCAAGAAACAACCTTCCACGGTGTGGGCAGCCGGGAAGTGACAACCGCCCTCATACCCGTAACAGCACGCGAGACCAAATTGGTCAAAATCAAATCCTTCCTACACCCCCTAATGTCTCTCTTATCTCCACGACTAACTCTTCTCACATTCATTCATCACAGTGCACAGCTAATGCAGACGATACGAGTTCGCGAAACGTCGTTCCTGGTCTCCTTAAACCCCGTTCTAGACTACATGTTGGAGCTTTTAATGTACGGACATTGTGTCTAATAGGGCAACGGGCATCATTAGCTAGGACCTTAGAATCTCGCTCAACCGATGTATGCTGCGTCTCGGAAACGCGCATATAGGATCCTAGTAAAATTATTAATCTGATTTCACCTTGTCAAAATAAAGAAGCAGCTCGATTTACTCTTCGTGTATCTGGAAGCCCTGATGCTACTTCCCGAGGTCTTACTGGCGTAGGCATAGCATTGAGTCGTAGAGCTGAACAATCTCTCCTTAACTGGATCCCAGTATATAGTCGCTTGTGCGCTGTCCGACTAAACGGGACAGTAAGGACTCGTAAGGTTAGGGACATTCGCCGTCGCCTCTTTGTCATATCTGCCTATGCCCCCACTGACTTCAGTGCAGACGAGGTTAAAGATGAGTTTTACAGAAAGCTTTCGGACCTCCTCCAAAAAGCTAGGCGCTCTGATATAGTAATAATGGCTGGCGACTTTAATGCTCAAGTAGGTAGACTAGGTGAAAAAGAAAGACATCTAAGTGGATGTTATGGTGTAGCGACTGAGAGAACAGACAATCGCGACCGTCTGTTGCAACTATACTCAGATAACCGCCTATTCTTAGCGAACACCAACTTTAGGCATAAGGAAAGGCATCTGCTGACCTGGCGACCCCCGAAGTCGTCTCAACGTTGGACTCAACTAGATCACATCGCCATCAGCCACCGATGGAGGGGTTCGATAGAAGACTGTCGCTCGTTCTGGGGCACATGTTTGGATTCAGATCATGCTCTAGTGCGAGCTCGTATCCGTTTGAGGCTTACTGGACGTAGGAAAGACACCGTAAGGAACTTAATGATAATCAAACTAAGAAAACATTTCAGGGGAAACTAGAAAGAGAGTTAGGCAACGATGTAAGTGATTCCCATCCTGAAGCAGGTTGGAATTATATCAAGAATGCTGTGGAAACAGCAATGGTATCTGCTAGCAAGGTAAACCACAATGCTAGGATGAAGCCGTGGATATCAGTCGAATCCACCGAACTGATGGATGCTCGAAAACGCATCCCACCTGACTCTGAGCATGATGAAGAGCGTAGTCATCTTAGGCACAGACTTATAAAAAGTCTGCGTAACGACCGCGAGCAGTGGTGGGTGGCGAAAGCAAAAGCGATGGAAAAGGCAGCGGCGATAGGCAACACTAGACAACTTTTCCGCCTTATTAAAGAAACTGGTATTAAGAACCCGAATGTGAGTGAGACTATCTCGGAAAAGGATGGTCTTATTATTCATTCTCAATCCAGGAGACTGGATCGATGGGCAGAACACTTTAGGGATCAGTTCAACTGGCCTTCAGCCACTCTTCCGTTGCCCACGACCTCCAATCAACCTGAATGGCAATTTGACTTAAGTCCTCATAGTTTTTACGAAGTTTAAAAGCTATAGGAAATCTGAAGCGAGGGCGAGCAGCACGTCCTGATAGACTGATCCCTGAGATATTTAAGGATGGTGGTCCAGTTTTAGCAGCTACGTTGACTGAGATCTTAGGTAGAATCTGGGAACTGGACGTCATCCCATCCGACTGGTCTCAATCACTGATTATCCCAATCTATAAGAAAGGACACAAGTCTTCTTGTGACAATCACAGGGGAATAAGTCTAACTAATATAGTATCTAAAATATTGGCCTCAATAATACTTCGACGCTTACCGAAAGCTCGTGAAGAGCAGACTCGAGAAAACCAGGCTGGTTTTCGACCTGGACGCGGTTGTATAGACCACATCTTCACACTACGACAGGTCCTGGAACATAGACACACATTTAGGCATCCTACAATAGTTGTTTTCTTGGACCCTAGGGCGGCATTTGACTCTGTGGATCGTAAGGTTCTGTGGCAGTGTCTGTCATTGAAAGGTGTACCAAATAAGTACATTAACCTCATACAAGCCCTTTACTCGAACACCACTGGTCGAGAGCTTTTGGCGAACTGTCACCGGAATTCTTCACTTCAAGTGGTGTCTGTCAGGGATGTCCACTTTCTCCATTCTTGTTTAATTTTATCATAGACATGCTCCTAGAAATAACCTTATCCTCGTCTGAATTTGCAGGAGTAGACCGTTTACCAGGTGGCTCGCTTATTGACTTAGAATATGCCGATGACATAGTCCTACTTGGTGAAGACGCTGACAAAATGCAGTCTTCTGACTACCCTAATCAACAATCCAAGCATGTTCGGGATGCGGTTTTCGCCCTCCAAATGCAAAATGTTGCTTCAAGATTGGGTTGCATCGGCACCTGAACTAGTGATAGGGAGTGAAGTAGTCGAACGTGTAGACCGCTTCACTTATCTTGAGAGTCTCATCAGTGCCGATGGCCTGGTGACTGACGAAATCTCAGCTCGGTTACAGAAGGCTCGATTGGCTTTTGCCAACCCGCGTCACTTATGGCGTAGGCGAGATATCCGTTTGCTGACTAAAGGACGAGTGTACTGCGCAGTGGTTCGCTCCGTCTTACTTTATGGCTGTGAAACATGGCCAGTGAGAGTAGAATATATTCGTAGGTTACTGGTGTCTTCGAAGCATTGCTCGTATATCGTGGGACACCCGAGTAAGCAATGCTGTTATTAGGAATCGGGTGCTAGGTAAGAATCAACAGATGAAGTGGTGAAACTTCATCAGTTGAGGTGGTTGGGACACGTGTTGCGTATGCCTAATCACCGACTGTCTCGACGAACCATGCTTTATGGTGTAGGAGTAGGTTGGAAGAAAGTTAGAGGCGGCCAAACCAAAACATGGCAGAAATCCATGAAGTCATTGACTAGTTGACTGAGCCATGTCGGTAATTGTCGACTACCTGGTTGGGGTCCGCGAGATCATAATAATCGATGGTTAGAGACCTTGAATGACATGGCTCAAAATCGTTCGCAATGGCGCCGGTGCATGTATTCCTTGTTTTCTCTCAAACCCTAATCTTCTGGATTTTTCAACACCTCTAGTTTTGTCTCTCTAAACTTTTCTCACTGAATCATACTTCTTGAATAGTATCTTCTGATCCTAATCTCTGCGATTACTTCTAATACCTTTAATACCTCTACTACTATTGGATTTGATTTGACATTTGCGTCTCTGTGCTGATGTGGTATGGCAACATGAACTGATGTACTTACGTACCAAGTTCTACGTTGCATCTGACTGACTGAGACCAAGGTAAACGGTCTGTTCAGTTAAGTGTAGCATCCCACATGCGACAACCGTCTTGCACTGAAGTACGCATCAAGGTATATTACGAGGTATGGCATGTAAAAGACGAAAGGCATTCATTTAGAAGATATATTTTTCGGAAAAATTTGCGGAAAGTAGCTTCCTTCGGTCTTCTGAGAACATCCATCTAAAACGAATAGACACTTGTTTGGTTTCTTTTGTAAATGTTGACAATATTCAGATAGATAACCGTCATCATCCGTTCAGACGGTAACTCCAAATATCATCAACAAATTACACGTGGGATCAGAGCGTTGTCAGGAGATGGCTGATACCAACGGTGCGGCATATCCTGTAACACAAAACACCTCAATCAGTTGAATTCGAATTCACACAAAAATCAGTACAAATTAGTCACCATTTGGTCAGACGGTAACTCCAAATATCATCACAGAGCTTACCTCAACAAATTGCACGTGGGAACATCGGATCAGCAATTTGACAGTATCTTAAGAAGCTGACCTGGTTGCTAGCGTTGTCAGAAGATGGCTGATACCAACGGTGCGATATATCCTGTAACACAAAACACCTCAATCAGTTGAATTCGAATTCACACAAAAATCAGTACAAATTAGTCACCATTTGGTCAGACGGTAACTCCAAATATCATCACAGAGCTTACCTCAACAAATCGCACGTGGGAACATCGGATCAGCAATTTGACAGTATCTTAAGAAGCTGACCTGGTTGCTAGCGTTGTCAGAAGATGGCTGATACCAACGGTGCGATATATCCTGTAACACAAAACACCTCAATCAGTTGAATTCGGATTCACACAAAAATCAGTACAAATTAGTCACCATTTGGTCAGACGGTAACTCCAAATATCATCAAAGCGAAGAAATGCTTACCATGTATTCATCACGCTGTCAATTCTTAGTGACGATTCGTCAGTAGTTCGGATGTGATTTTTGAAAACCATTACGCGAAGTCCAGATGTACATCTAAAGAAAACTTATTATTTATCAGCTCTCATAATCGATATCATTTAACAGAAGCCAAAAGCCAATCGCAAATACTGAACACAAATGAGCTGGGCCGTAAGTATACAGGCAACTCATTTCTTCAGTGGAGGCTAAACATTATGTTGATAGGCCAATTTAAGCCTATTAGGACCAGTCCACGTCTGGACGTACGATCCCATTAAGCTCCTGTGGCACACCAATATAATATTTGTCCTCAATCACAATTAGCCAAAGGCTACCGTTTGACTCAACTGTCATTTGTCATCAGATTACCTACCCTAAGCGAGCGGAAATGAGTGCCACACGACGTGTTGACCAGATAAAAACAATCACTACTCAGTCAAACACCAATACATCTCAAATTCCAACCTTGATAAAACAAAACAAGTTGTTTTAATCACAATCAAAATACCCAAACTTAAAACCCAATTTCTATTTTTTGTTTCTCAGCTCTCAGAATCATTCCTCTACCACTCATCAGTTATTTGCAGTTACGAACGGACCTTTGGTCGGTTGACCTGCGTCTATCCTGGCAATGGTGGTACCTCATTAGATCCAATCCTCTTTGGGATGAATGCATAGATGAAATTTGAGTCACCGTTCCCATTCGTGTACGATTTGATGGAAAAAATCAGCAGTCAGCGGACAACTGATTTATTCTGAGCTTGTTAATCTTTATTGTGTGCTTGTAAATTCTTTCTTGGAAGGCGAAAAACATGCGGGTCCATGGGGTAATTTAAAAGCCGTCATCAATTTCACCTTTGGCATTTCTTAATGATAACAGAAGTAGGTTTGATTTTTCTCGTCTCTTGTCTTACAGCAGCTTCGGGAGCAATTGCAATTCTTTGAATATTTTCCAATAACTCACTGTCTTTTTCTAGGCAGAGATTAGCGGCTTGTATATAGTATCCAAGCTCAAGTTAGATGAATATTACACACAAGTCAAGTAGCTCTCGAAGTCCAAATGAATAAAGGCTCGCAGTATTGATAAGAAAAAGCTGTTGCATAGCAGTGTATACTAGTTTCCGATCCTCTTTCAGCAATCTCTACTGGGTCACTGTGTATATGGACAACAGGTAGATCAACAATGTTGTTTATAATGATATTCACTGTGTCATGAATATACAGATTTTGACAGCGTTTTCGTCCCTAACACCTCTAATCGAGAATACCAGAACTCAGTCAAACCAGAAGTCAGGAATAAAAAAGTCAGAAGGCCTATCTGGAGGACGGTTGGGATGTTGATTAATCGGTGATCTAATCCGACTGGTTGATTCAGGAGGATGTGCAGCACTGCGTACCTAGCGGTGATCCGGTGTGGTTGTACGAACAAGCGTCTTCAGCTTAGGTGCTTTCACTAAAACTAATGAAGTCAGTATAGATAGTCAGTATGGTTAGTCCGAAAGCATAAAAACGCGTGTACTCAGTCATTTAGCAGACCGGACGAACACATCAGTTGACTGACCGTGTGATCAAGTATAGAGTGGTTCAGTTGTAAGTTCTGCGTTTGTAAAACTCCGCGTGAATCCTCTCTGAGGTTATTGCAGGTCCCAAGTTTGGATAAAGAAGGAAGGTTGGGCTTGGGTTTGGCAACCCCATCCCGCAAGAAACTGACTCGCTGAATAAACTATAACCAGAAAAAATAATTAGAGCCATTTAAACTCCGACCCTGGAGTTGGGTCTACATTCAGAAGAGTTATGACACCTTATGATGAAAGCCAAGCTCCTTTGGATGTCACCAGACCGATTCTCCTCCTTGCAACCAGCGCAACCATTAACTTAGGTACTCGGAACGTTCTCACAGTATGGGGGACCAAGAGAGTCATCTAAGTTGCAGCAAAAATGAAAAGACATAACCTAGAGGTGATTGCAATCAAGTTGAACAACTAAGGCTAACTTCAGGAGAGCTGTCGTTATACTCCTGTCATGAAGAAGAAGATGCTTCACACACAAAAAATTGAGCTGGTGCTGTTCAAACAAGCACAAAAGGCACCGATAGGACAAAAACCTCATGGACCCAGGATCATCAAAGCATCCTTCACAGCAAAGAAAGATGGCGTAACAGTGAACCTCATCCAATGCTATACACCTACCAACGACTACAATAACGATGTTAAGGATCAATACTACGAGAAGCTGCAGTAAATCGTTCACAGACGCTCATCAAAGGATTTGACTTTTCTGGTGAGAGACCTAAGTGCCAAGGTTGGCATGGACAACACTGGATATGAAGGCATCATGGGACGACATGGACTGAGAGAAAGGAACAAAAATGGTGAGAAGTTCGCAAACCTATGGGATTTCAGCAACCTGGTCATAGCCGGCACAATATTCCCACACAAGCGCATACACAAAGCTACATGGATTTCACCGGACCACACTACTCAGAACCAAATTGACCATATCTGTATTAACAAAACGTTCAGAAGGACTATGGAGGATGTGAGAACCAGGAGAGGAGCTGATATAGCCTCAGATCGCCAATCGCTGGTCGCCAAAATGAAGCTGAAACTCAAGAAACACTGAACAACAGGGCAGACAATATCACAGAATTTTAGTACGGACTTTCTTCGGGATACCGTAAAACTCAACGAATGCAAGATCGCCATCAGCATTAGGTTTCGGGCCTTGAACAATATGCTCAACGGTAAGGAAACAACCATGGGGAACAATTGGGAAGGGATCGAGTAGGCAATCACTTCAACATGTCAGGACGTTCTGGGCCACAGGAAGTACCACTAGAATGAATGGATCTCTGTTGGTACTCTTGATTAAATTCAATTAAGGAGGAACAAGCAGGCAGCAATCAACATCAGCCGAACAAGAGCAGAGAAAGTTAAGGCACAAGCAGAATACACAGATGTAAAACAAGCAAGTTAAGAAGAACATCACAGCCGACAAACCTAAACATGTGGAAGATCTAGCTATCTCGACGGACAAGGCTCTAAGAGAAGGAAACATGAGACCATTGTACTATACAACAAGGAAGCTCGCTGGAAATTGTCGTAAACCAGAACGACCAGTGAAAAGTGAGGAAGGCAGAGCAAATAATAACATTGAACAACAGCGAAACAGGTGGGTAGAGCACTTCAAAGAACTCGTGAATCGACCAGTTCCACTGAACCCTCACAATATCGAAGCAGAATCCCCGGACCTCTCAACCGATGTTGGTTCACCAACAATTGAAGAGATCGGTATGGCCGTCAGATAAATCAAGAGCGGTAAAGCAGCGAAACCAGACAACGTTCCAGCTGAGGCGCAGAAGGCAGACCAGACAACAACTGCAAAAATATTCCACATTCTCTTCAGCAAGATTTGGAATCAGGAACAACAGGCTGCAAGGAAGGACACTTCATCAGTATACAAAAGAAAGACGATCTCTGCAAGTGGGAAAACTGTAGAATCCATTTTGAAGGCTTCGTTTTGGGAAAATCCGTTCATGTATATTTTAGTGTTGTGATCTTGCTAACTCTTTCTGTTCAGTATTTTGGTACTCTGTTAGTCCCAATTTGGGGATATTAATATTTGTATTTTGTTATATTTTCTATTTTCTGTACTTGAGTTTATATGTTTCCTTCTGAACTGTAAATTTGTTGTTTAAATTGATACTTAATATGGCTACAACCTTATCGGATTTGATACCTTAGCGGTAACTTTGTATTCTTGACTGGAAGGGCGAATTCTTCCAGAATTGGGAACTTATTGTGTTAATTTTGGATCGGGAGTGTATAATATTGTTTTGGCAATTATCTGTATTTCTTTTTTATTAATAATAGAACCGTTCTTACCCAGAATTTGTATTTTGAATTCGGACTGGGCAAGGCGCGTATATTCTCCGTACTGTCTCCGAAAGCAAAGTTCATTGAAGTGAACTTTTTCTATAAAAACTATAGAGGCATCACTCTTCTCTCGACACCAGGCAAAGCCTTCAAACGGGTATTGTTAAACAGGATGAAGGAGTTCGAGATCAACAGACTGGATTTCGTGAGGACCGATAGTGTCCCGACCAAGTTACAACACTACGCATAACTGTGGAATAATCAGTTGAATGGAACTCACCACTCTACATCACTGACCACGAGAAATCACTCGGTCGTGTGGACAGGACAACACTGTGGAGACTTTTTCGACACTACGACGTGCCTGAAAAGATATTCAGTAGCATACAGAATTCTTATGATGGACTAACCTGCAAAATCATGCATGAAGAACAGCTGACAGACTCGTTCGAGGTGAAGGCCGGTGTCAGGCAAGATTGTTTACGCTCACCGTTTCTCTTTATTCTGTAGATCAATTGGATTGTGAAGACATCAACACCTGGAGGACAGCATGATATTCAGTGGAAAGCCAGGATACAGTTGGACGATCTGGACTTCTCAGATGACCTGGCTCTTCTATCACACACACAACATAAATGCAACATGAGACGACCAATCTAACAGCAGCCTCAGCAGCAACAGCAAAAGGCTGTCCCGACTTACCACGGAGGAATAATTCTAACTAATAAAGTATCTAAAATATTGGCCTCATAATACTTGGACTTCCAACCGGAGCTCATGATGAGCAGACTAGGGAAAAATACGCTGGTTTTCGACGTGGACGTGGATGTACAAACCAAATATTCACTATATCAGTGTAAATTTATTTCGACAGTGGCCGTCCCAATTGG